ACTTTCGCATACATATTTATAATATTGGTAACTTTCACGATCTTTCAAAATTAGGGGTCAGTGAGGTTTTAGCCCACTCAAAGCGTAACAATGGGTAGTGGACATCACGCAAAAGCATGTAAAACCCAATCATCATTCCCCGTTAACCTTTGGAAAGATCGATGATTACGGTACGAATGCGACTTCATATACTACGATTGGTAACGAAACCATATTGCAACCTATATCGATCCTCACGCCATCTATCGACATAAGAGGTACTAACAATCAGCGAACATCGACCGCTACTAGCGCTACTTCCCTGAAGTAGCATTACGCTTAACCTATGAACTAACAACCATTTTTGACTCATGCATAGATATTTTAGATAGTTGTTTATTTTATTTTGTTAAGCTCTTTTACATAATATGTATAAGCTCAAATAAAATTGTCGTTATTTCTTTCTAAAAATAATAATGTTATTTTGTAATATATTATGTTTCATCAATAGTTTTTTATTAGTTCCAACGTTTGATATTTCGAAGAACACAAGAAACATAAAATTGAAAATAATAGCCTACAATCAATAAGAATCACTAGCCATTCTCTCGTTTGCTTAATAACTTAAAATTGAACACAATACTAAAGTCAAATTACCATATTTTTCATAACTAAGGCTCGCATTAAAAACTTTCACCTTACCAACATGCAATTATATTATCAATTGAAGAAATTTAATGGATGTCGACCCTTCAAGTATGCCAAAATACGAGGTTGAACTTAGTTTATAAGATCCGACAATACGTGTCATATTCCTGTGTGTCAGTAGAGTCTAAAATGAAATAATTCATATAAAACATGCTTTCAAGAGGAACCGAGGCGAGAAGACGGCGACTTTGATACCACGAAATTAGAGAAACTTTAATCGATCTGTCAATCAAACCGACAGCTCAACAACTGGTGAAATATTTTAGCTTTATAAACTGATGCCACCTGACGCGAATTGAATACAAGAAAGGACCTTTGCAACATTTAGCTATCCCATCACTTTAAATAACAATTATAAATTAAATTAACCAAATCTCACATTTTGTATCCGATCTAACTCACGACCAAAGTTTGAATTAAATGAATAAAAGGAGTTTTATAGCTGATTCACTAAATAAAGGTTTGACCTAAATACCCTCGCGGATGGAATGTGTAGTTCGTCTTATTTATATATCGAGGGCATGTCAATTCACGCAGAAGATAAAACTAAGACAAGAGTAAAAAAAGCAAAAATACCCGAAATTGAAGTTATTCTTTAATCTTGTATATTTATTCAGCAACCATTAGATTTGAGCAGAGACAATTCATTAGCACACATTTTATTGCAAAATTTCGGATATAAAAAAAGAATTACAAATACAATAAATCCCTTTCCAATTTTCTCTTATAAAATCTACGTAAAAAAAAACAGATCTTACATAAATGTATTTTAACTTGGTAAAATAATGAACTACCTTTGGACAGCCATGCTTCGGCACGAATGGGCCGGTTCGACCGGAGTGATACCACGGCCTCACAGAAAACCGATGTTAATCAATTCTTTCGTTGCCTTCCACTGAGTGAGCGAGGTTACCGGAGCCCAAATCCAACATCCCGCTGACTCTAGCGGGAGGGACTCCAAGGGCAGCAACGCACTTGTAACTTTTGAGTTGCAGGTGTCCATGGGCGGCGGTATTTGCTTACCATCAGGGGACCCGTCTGCTCGTTTGCCCCGTATACCATAAAAAACTACATTTTTACACGATAAATTACAGACGTTATAGGAATGTTTATTAATTGAGCAATAGAGAGCAAGTAAACTTTTCCTCACTTTTTGTGATGGCTGGCAGTGTAAACATCGTGTGTGAGAATCGTTTTTCACATAAAAAGCTCATATTTACTATCGCGTAAATACAACATTAAAGTAATTAACAAATCCGAATCAAACAAGAACATTCCCTACCTATCGGAACCTTACTTTCAAAAGCATAACGCAGCTTTTGAAAATTACTTACTAAAATTCATTTTGCTATAAAAATAAATTTGCTATAATAAAAATAAGGACATTTATTTGACACTTGTTCATTTTAAAGGTATCTCTTTATATATATCGTTAAATATATGTAAGGGACGTCATAACGAATACTGAAATAGTGTATTCCGTCATCCGTGTAGACCGCCATTCTGAGGTGAAAGTCATTGGAATTTTCTGCTGGAAAATTAAACGTTTTATGCAATCAACTGTCAAAGGTAAAGGCCATTCGTAGTTAGTCCATTCGCGTAGGTATCGCACAAAAGTAATAACTACATGTGTATTCCGGCCGGCCGGCCTATAATGACGGCCGGCTGGGAGGCCCCGCGCTTCTGCTGATTAATTTTATTGCAGTTTTTGACCGTATGCGGTATTTATTCATTTGTTTCGGTGAAATGTTCTGTTCACTCATTGCGATGTCATTTTTAACCAAAAAAAGGGTTCCGTACCTACCCAGATTTTACGTAGAATATCGCGAAAATTTGTAAGTACCAAAATTTTGCGTCATTTTCATCTTTTTTTTATTTTTTGAATTATTCCTTTATTTTTGCTGTAAGACGTTTCTTTTTGCCAAATTTCGTGATTCTAGGTCAACGGGAACTACCATATAGGTTTTCGACCCAAAACCTATAGGGTACTTCCGGTTGACCTAGAATTGACAATTTTAGTTAAAAGCGAGGTCTTACAGCACAAGTAAAGAGAAAATTCTAAAAAATAAAAGAAGTGGAAAATTAAGGTAAATTTTGGTACTTACAAGTTTTTGCGAAAATCGAAATTTGCCCATATCTTTTTATCGTGTTGACTCAGGACCTTGTGTATACACCTAATAGGGACCATAGACCTCAGTATCTGGTATAAATTTCAACTTGCTAGGTCTATCCGTTCCTGAGAAAATCGGTGGTGACACACGGACAGACGGACAAGAAATTGATCTTATAATGGTTCCTTTTAAGGAACCCTAGAAACGGCAAATTATAAAAAACATTAACATTATCATTCCCAGATATTGCACAAAAGTAATAACTATATTTGTATTCCGCGCAAACAGTCTGCGCACACTAACACAAGATGGCGGCCGCGGGGGCAGCACCGCTCGCTTCGGCTGTTAGAATAATTATCTATATTGCAGTGCAGTTTTTGGAACGAAGTTCCTTATCGCGCGTTGTGAAAGGGGGCTAGACGGAAAAAAAATCTCACGAAAGGTTGTAACGACACTTTTTATGTCAGTCATTCAGCGCCATCTATCGAATAGATAGGAAATCGTTAATGTATAAATTGTTTTAATTAGAAACCAACTGAAAAATATGTAGGTAATAGCCGCTTTCATAGATGGCGTTGTAATTAAAATCGTGTCGAATCAGTTTTACTCGATCGTCACAACTTCGTTCCTATCGGGTGTCCCACGACACCACACGGCTTTTTTTTATTACTTAGTATTTCTGTAGCAACAGAAATTTAGGTATTTCTGTTCGGTTTCGGGTAAAATGTTCTGTTTACTCATTTTAATTTCATTTCTCATCATTTTTTACCAAAAATATGGAAAAAAAAGAGGTTTCTATTCGTTACGATGTTCCTTACACTCTGTATATATGTATAAAGTATCGCTAACTTTTGCTACAAGGACAAACGGTAAAATTGCCAACAAGGCCACTGAACTCTTAAACATTGGGTGCGATTTCCGGATTTTTCGTAGCAAAATAATTAACTGTTGCCTTCAAATTGCATCACATATGTAAATGAGCCGCTGTTATATCGGTATTCTGTAAATTAAAAAAAAAATGACACTAAATAATGTAACAGGTATGTTAATGTAGAAAGCTGCAAAGCGAAATATTCCTTCCTATCTTTTGAATAATTTACATACAAAACTTTCCCAATAGCTATCAAACTTTGGAGGTAATTAATAAAATACTCGACAAGTCAGTCATCATTGGAGTTCATATGGTTGAGGTTTAACATGATATATACTGTCCTTTAGTTTCTATTTAAGTTGTCCTAAATAAACTTTTAAGATTGCTGCGGTTTTCCACCTACTATTTACGTTTCTATTTATTTGACTAAAACACTTTTGTTTCTTAGGGACAGTGTTGCCATAAGTAATGCAAATTACTCTCATTACTCATTATTAACTAAAAGAACACAAGTTCAAGTTTGCTTTATAATTACTGACTGACCTTTAATATTTAGTGGATGGCAGTCAGGTCTTGATTACGTATTTAATAGTTTAGAAAGTTCAAAGAATCTATGAATATACCTAAGTACCGGCTAGGTAATTAATACAATATAGTATTAAGCCGTTAAGCCGTCGATCCCGGTTGCCATACGAACATCTGTGGCAATTGTTACGAGTAGTTGGAGCCCTGAAAACTCCAAAATTCGTCTTTCTACAAAATTTCGATATCGCTCAGTACTTGGGTTGTGGAGATCTTATGGCAGTCGCTCCGTGTAAAAAAATGAAATTCAGAAGTATAATTTTTATTAAATTTATTTTGCTAACTATTTGATAAACAGAAATTGTTGCTATTGTGTGTGCTGATCTATGACTTTCGAGACGATTTTAAATTTTATTTTACTGAGCTACACCAGTTTTTGCATTTCACGGGTTGAGACGTAGTAAATGATTTCATTTATAAGAAAGATAGAAGATATTTCAAAATTAAAATAAAATTGGCTGGTTAGGCAAGACGAGTAGACAATTCAAAGCGAAGAAAATACTTGTAAATATGATTTCCGATAGCATTTGCTTTAAAAATGGTCGCATAAGTTAGAGGTCGGTTCTTTGATCTTCTTATAATTTCAGTGTAATTGAGTGAGGGTGTTCCTTCAAACAAAAGCACTTGAGCAAGTCTTGACAAAACTTTGGAATTAGGCAATATCATTGCCGTTTTTTATATGTTGAGTACACTCTAAGATATGAATACTGAATCTTATAAATTTCTTACTAACTTGCATAGCACGTAAAATGGTGAAGGTACATTTTTGTATTACGAATTATTATGAACGTATAATTCGATTTGCATAGACTAGAAATGATTGGTATTTTACAAACAATCATATAACATACATAAAGAACACAAAGGACGCGTGACTACCACGAGTATTTGTGGATCACACCAATTTTTGTCCACTATATGAATTGAACCTAGAGCACTCGGTGCAGCACGTACATATCACGGACGTCTAAAGCCCAAAGTAACATGGTTAATAAAAGGTAACAACTGCATACTCAAACGCAATGCCATCATAAGAAGTCATAATCACTTGAATCTGTCCTTGCCTTATCCTTATCACTTTTATGGAAATACGTTCTAATCTAATCAAAGACCACTAAAAAAATTATTGATCATTTACATAGTAGTTATACATTACCCTGTACCTCCGGTACATACCTCAATATAAAAATTAAATATATTTTTCATCATTTCAAGTTTTCGCATTATTGTTTGGTAGCAACTATTGTTCTATATATAATCTAAAATAGAAATTTAGGAATTAATATGCTTTCATTTCATTTGTTATACCTATACATATATTTTTTGTTTTTAATTGCGCTACTAATAAAGATTGACTGGTAGAGAATGACTGAGGCCTTATTCAAGTTTATTCACTTGCACTGTGAGTGAAGTTAAGATATCATGTTGAATAAAAGAATTGTATTCTTTTATAATAAAACTCTTTTTAGGGTTCCGTACCTCAAAAGGTAAAAAAGGTACCCTTATAAGATCACTTTCTTGTCCGTCTGTCTTTTCTCTCTATCTCTCTCTTGGTTGGTATTCAAAAATTCGATAATATGAAAAAATTGCCACCTAGGTTGGACTGTTAGCAACTACTATCCACACACATACTACATGCTGTCTGTCTGTTATCTCTTCACGCTTAAACCGCTGAACTGATTAAGATGAAATTTAGTACAGAGATCCGACTCCGAAAAGAACAAAGGGTAGTTTTTATCCCAGAAAACATCCTTCAAGTGGGCGAAAAGTTTGGAAGTTTGTATGGGGAATGAATAACCGCTCAACCGATTTAGATGAAATTTGGTATGAAGATACTTTGATTCTTGAGGAAAGGCATAGGCTACCTTTTTAACGCGATAGCGTAGCCGCGGGCAAAAGCTAGTTATTTATAAACTAATTAAACTCAGCAATTTATAATTTAATTTTCAACGCAAATAGTGTCAAATCCGACTGAGCGAATATTTGCAAAGTCAAAAGTCGTGAGAAAGTGAATTGACAGAGGCTCGGTCGTCTTGAATCGTCTTTGACTTCGCTCGCACACCTGCCCGGCGGGTAGTACCGTTAGAGGCGAAATCGGATGACTCTTGAATTTATGTAAATAGGCCAGTGTTACGAGCTTACATCAAAACAAGCTCACAAGCTCTCTTGCGGTCACATCTACTACCTACAATGTTAAAAGTTTCACTTTTAAGTACACGTTACGAGGATTATACATGTTACACCGTTATACCGCAAAAATGTTGGTTTTCTATCTCAATTTATTATTTTATTCTCGTTAAGTACAGGTTTTTCTAATAATATATTATTTTCTCATTCATAACTTGAGTTGGCATAGTTAACAAGCTATCTGTTAGCACACTTATGGCCTTTAATTAACTTTTTTTTTACAAATACAATTATTTATTTTTTTGAAAAATTAATTGCCGCCGTTACTTGTGGGTGAAAAGGAATTTCCTACTTTTTGTACACAATTCAAATTGGGAGCAAACACCGTAAAATATCTTTATTTTTTGGATTTTTAGATTTTTAAAATAAGTAAGTGCACGTAGATATAATTGAGTTCCGCTACAACTAATAGACCAGCGTTAGTAGAATAACTTGGTTATAGCAAGTTAACCGTCAAGTTCAAGCAACGAGTTAAAAGAGACAGAAATTATAGATGTATACTCAGAACATTGCACGATGCACGTTTAGAAAAGAAAATCCTAACTAATATTATAAATGTATGTTTTTTTAATTGTTTGTGTTTACACTTTCAAGCATAATGGAAATTATATTATCGAGCGAGTTCATCTCTGAATGAGTCTGTAGTTAGCTACTATATTACTGTCACTGTGTATGAGTGGAAGTGGATGAGTATAAACCGTGTAAAGAAAATACCACATTTGTGAACCGTGAAATCGTTCATTTTTATTTTAAATTCGTGTTGCTCAAGGTTGGTTCCACTTAAATTTGTAGAAAATATTTCACCTGGAAAAGCAGAGATGAACAATACAGCTTATTACAATTCATCATGATTTAGGCGCATTAAAATCTGTTTTAGTTTTGTTTATATATGACTTCCTCAAACTATTAGTTTTTAAGTAATCGTCAAAGATAGAGGACTTTTTAAATATTAAATATGCCATATAGAATTTGTTCTGTTTTAATTGAAAGAAGAAGATAATTAATTATTATTTTGTTAAAATTAAGTGAGATTATAAATCGATCTAAGTGGCGTGCAATGGGAGAGGCCTATGTCCAGCAGTGGACTGCGATAGGCTGATGATGATGATGAAAAGTGAGATATACAATTATTACATTTACAATGAATTGTACAAACAACGGTTGTATAACACGAACGTTTGATAACCCCTCTGTAACCCGACACCTCTGTTTGGCACATCGATTATTTCTGGACAGTCGCAAATGTTTGATGTCTACATAGATCAAATGTTTGATGAACATATTGATTATGGCGATATTATTTTCGTCAACAATATCACAGTAACATGTACATACTTAGTACCACCCATGCGTATTAATATCGTATGCGTATTATAAATATATAGTATTGTTTTGTATATTTGATTTACTTTTAAAGGATTTAGGAGCTGAACGTTGAAGCCAATCAGATAGATTTATTCAAGATTAGAATTTAAGATTAGGAATACTGGTAATTTTGGTTACTAGTAAGCCTTTAAAAAAAATAGTACATTACGCGTCATTAGATTACGAAATTAACAATTAATTTAATACCGCAATAATACAGTACCGGTAATCTAAAATTTTGATTTGCATACTCTTGTGGACGATATTGCCCATTACAAGGTAGATACACTTTATTGTTTCATGGTACAGTACGATAGTAATGACGTGTGTAAAGACAAGACAAAGAAAAACAAGTGCATGGAAAGCCAGATGTTCCAAGCTGGTAGACCGTAGCCGCCACGCTACACTTCTCAGTAGTCTATGCACTACCTATTTTTTTTTTTTAATCTTTATTTATTTAGAGGCTTTTATTACAAGAAATATGTTAGCCCCATCGTGGCTCACTACCTACTTAATACCGACTATCTATTACATAATCCATGATTCCCAAGCTTTAAAGCGCTCGTTTCTATTATATAATTAGACGGTCCACAGATTAAATAAACTTATTAAAAGAAAATGTTTGACCGAAAATATGAAAAGTTACGAGACTTAAACGAAACTTTTTCCTTGGACTTATTTTGAATCTCATAAACGAAATCCGACTTCAGTAATTATTTATATAATAAATGCCGACTGCTACAAAGTGACAGTTTGAAAATTGCTGTCTCTAAGATAAATTATATGAGATAACTTTCATGACTACAGGAGGGTTTAAATCCTCATGGTTTGAATATTTTTTAACCAACGCAACTTAGTTTTTTTTTATAAGAATCAACAAAGAGATCCTTACAAGTTTAAACATAAATGTAGTAATTCACGATAAATTTTAATATAATATACAGAATTTTTAACGAAAGCATGTTAAGCTGTCGGTCCCGGGTGCCTTAAGAACATCTTTGGCCATCGTTACGGGTAGTTGGAGCCCTAAAAAGTCCAACAACAGTCTTTCTACAGATCTTCGATATCGCGTACTTGGGTTGTGGAGGTCTTACGGCAGTCACTTCTCGTAAAAATCCGTTCAGTTCAGCCGTATCGTAGCAGACTTAAAGCCGACCCCAACCCAGTTTGGAATAAGGGTCGGAAGACACAGAATTTTATATGAGATTTGAAAATTATTACATAGGATATGCAAAATAGTTTTGAGAAGATTATAGGGAAATCTTAAATATTGAATTTTCCTTCTGTTGTTTGAATTCTCTTTCCACACTATGGAAGAGTTTATTTAAGTAATAAATAAATAATTAATCATTTATTTAAGTAATTAACTCATATACATAGCTACATCGCGTGCTTAGAAGCTAAGACTCGAAATTCATATAGATGAGGCAATTCCGAGAAAAAAATCATTGTTAACTTATTTAAGCGCTTAATAAAACTGTTTACTATAATTAATATTATTTTTATAACTAAGCACACGCTGACAATCATATGTTTAGTCTTTGTTTAAAAAGTCCACTGTTTAGCATCTGCTATTGAACAGAGTCCGGTATTTCAAAATAGGTATTTTTGTTCAATAAAAATAATAAGCAAGCTATTAGGTATGGGATAAGTCGGCCTAGATACTTTAGGGGGTTGTAGTTGAGATGAGTGCTGACAGATTTCACTATGAAATACCATATCCCAAACCATTTTATTAGACTGTTTTTTTTATAAAAATTGCCAAAATTTAGGCTAATATTTTTTTAAACCTATGTATATCCTCTTTTTACTTACTGTTTTTGTTTCGTTGAAATATTGTTTCTTTTTTTTATTACCAAAATTAATACGAATAATATAGTAGTTTTAGTAATAATTAAAACGACTATATTTTTCTACTATTCTCACCATATCGTGTTTCATTTATTTCAGAGAGATTTAAAGCATTCGCGTTCACGAGCCTCCCTGCCATGGATACTGTTCTTTGTAATCCTGCACAGCTCGAACGCACAATGTCCGTGGAAAGAAGAGCCAGAACTCAATGCCGCGTGTGTCTGTGCACATAATCTAGCCAGAGATTTATCGGTCCAATGTGATCAGGTATAATGTTTATGCAACAACTTGTCACATTCGTAATATAATCTAATGAATTTCTAAATTATACAATGCTTTTTTTTATTCTGCAGGTAGACTTCCAATCGTTATTATCAGCGTTGAATATCGGTGCCAGAAATGCGGCCATTGACCTGCTATACGTAAATAATTCAAGCATTCCTGTACTCACGCCAAATATGTTCGCAAACCTTAAAATTCATAATTTACAAATCTCTGGTTGCGGAATAAAGAAAATAGATGACGACGCTTTCAGGGGCCAAGGACCATATCTTAAGAATTTAAACTTACAAGACAACGAACTAACAGAAGTTCCAGTTAAAGCTTTAAAAATATTGGTAAATCTCTCACTTTTAGATTTATCTAAAAATCGTATTAGACACTTAAACAACCAATCGTTTATAACGCTCCGTAAGCTCACTACGCTTAAAGTTTCTGATAACAATGTCACGTTGGAACCAAACACACTTTTTGGATTAGAAAATTCACTAAAGAATTTAAATTTAAAAGGAACAAAACAAAAAACTGTGCCTGAATGCATAAGAGGCCTACGAAGTTTGGCATTTCTTGATTTATCTCAAAATAGTATTAGGGAACTACCCGGACCTGGTAATGGCCTTACTTTCGAAGGCCTGGATTCCCTGACTGCTCTTAATTTAGAAAGAAATTTGATTGTTAATCTCAAAGAAGACGCTTTTAATGGCATAAAAACCACCTTAACTTCTTTAAGCCTTTTGAATAACCTATTGCCAGAGTTTCCGACTGCTGCAATAGCGACTTTAAGCGACCTTCGAGTTTTAGATATAGGGTTTAATTTGCTAAATCAGTTACCTACAGATGCCTTTATAAATAATCCATCCATAACTTTACTAGCCTTAGATGGTAATCCGTTACCAACAGTACCCGAAGAGGCATTTTTACACCTTAATCAAACACTTCGAGGTCTTAGTTTAGGTGGTAGATTTTTAAATTGCGATTGTCGCTTGCGGTGGATCATTGAATGGATTCGCAATGGAGAACTGCAAGTAACATCACGTGAACGAAATCCTCAATTTTGTGGTAATCCAGCCCATTTTCGAGATCGAGGTTTCTACAGTTTTGAGCCTAATGAATTAGTTTGTGAACATGATGCGGATGCAACGACAGAAAAATTTACAACCATAGTAAATAATAACAAGGACTGGAAGATAAAAGAGGTTATAACAACCACGGATACATCAACGTCTATATCAACGACAACAAAAAAACCAACAATAACCACTACTACCCCCAGCACTACAACTGTATTGATCGATACAGAAATAGATAATACCATTGAAATAACCACAAGAGCAGTTTTATCTCAGACGTCCACTGTTAACACATCACGACCAACACGCCTTCCATCTATACGCCCAGCCGCACCAACTTGGCGTCACGCTCCACATCAGCGTCCTCCACTTATAATGAGTTTTCCCCAACAAAAAGGCAAAGAAGATGACTCAAATGAAGTCATCGTTAAGAATGCGTACAGACAAGATAACACTGTAATCATTCAATGGGACTCTGATGTCGCTAACATACTCGGCTTCCGCGTCGTGTACCGTCTCTTTGGAGATAAAACCTTCAAACAAGGACCACCTCTGGAAGCCAGCGAAAGAGAATTTAAAATAAGAAACGTTCCGTCTCAGGTTTGCAAACATTTTATTACCTTAATTGTAATAAGTTAAAATATATATGTATGTTTAGGTTTTATAAACCAAAATGTTTCTTTACAGGAATGTATCGTGGTCTGCGTTATCTCCCTGGAGGAGGTCAACGTCAGTCCAGAGACAGTACCGTATTCTCAATGTCGGGAGGTACGTACTGTCTCCGCCGCTGCTTCTAATATGGACAAGATCACGATAGCTGCTAGCGCTGCTATTTGCGGTACTATTGTCGTAGCGGTACTTATTTTTGCTGCGGCATCACGACGCCGTTCTCGCACCGTGCATCGGCTGCACAGTCAAGTCGCTGAGAAGATGCCCAATCCCTGCTGCGGGGGACTTACGGGGACGCCAAGTCCGAGCGGGCCTCTTTCTTCGTTGGCAACTATCGGCGCTTTTGGAAAGCAGCGTGAGTGGGATCAGGTGTCGGCTTATAGCGCACGTTCGATCCCGCGTGCACGTTCCTATACTGAACCACTTCCTCCGGACCCACTACCAGGTCGTCCGGGTAGAGCGCGTTCACTCGCTGATGGTCAATCGCAACACAGTTATTCTCATTCTGGCCGCTATGGAGCACCTGTATACCCTGGTAGTCTTCTAGGATCACGAGCTGGTAAGTTACACTGTCGCTCCCATACACTATCCCAGAACCCGCTTCTACTTTTTTCGGGAATAGTATTTCGTGGCATCTCATGTAATCTACAAAAAACTTACATTATGTTTTAATTTTTAGACCTTCGACAATCGCGGCAGTCTTTGGGTGCAGCATCAGAACGAGCTTCACGACTGTCTCTAAGTGGAGCAGCAGGTGGAGTCACCGGCACAACAGGGTCTAGGCGTAGACCTCGCTCGAGGTCGCGTCCTGCCAGCCGATATAGTGTTGGCTCCTTGGGCATGGGATACTGCGATACTTCCGACAATTGGACTGATCATGATATGGATATTTACATGGCACGAAACCCAACAACGCGGAGCGGGTTAGTACCCTTATAGCCTGCGAGGGATACGACGCGGGGAGATGTGACGGCTCAGGGGCTCTACTTGCAATCACAGACAGACGGTGGAGCCTCAACCTCTTGGTGCTATCATGAAGGTCGTAAAGGTCAGCGAAGGCACCGCTACTCCCGCCCATACGGCCATAAGAAACTCAAAACTCGTGCTCACCCGCATTGTAACAAATTCGGAGGTTCAAGCCAGTGTACACGACATCCATTAGAATATTAACTAATGTGTAGTAATAATGTTACCTATTTAACATTGCGATGATGTACAGTTAGCTATATTCCCCTTTACTTATAGCGATTAACAAATGTTTATGATAATTATGGATAAGTGACGTAGTGATATAATTAGAAAGTTTTTTTGTCGAGTTGTGTTATGTTTATAAATTTTCAAAAGATAAAAACAATCACTGTTGACATAGGAGTGATTTAAGTTTGCAATATTTTAGCTAAGTAGATAATGTGTATTGTATTGAGTAAGTATAAATTTTAACTGATTGGTTAGTGAGAACTAGTCAAAAGAAAGTTTGTTCTCTATGTTTAGTACTTCAAGTACTAATTCCAGCTACGATGAATATAACCTAACATTTTATATATCGCTTTAATTTGCCACCATTATCGTAGCAAACTGTAAAAAGTTATACTAGAGGTACAGATGAAAACTGATAGCACATACGAGTATAAGGATAGGTATTTAATAATATTTTAATGCATTTTTAACACAAAGTGTTCTTAAACTTACCACTGTGTGTATAATTAAATATATCCATTAATTATATTATTAGGTGCGTATTTATTTGTAAGAAATATATAGGTAAGTTGTATATATAAAATTAAACTACCCAAGGTTATGTAGGCAATTCATTAACAGATTACAAGAATACATTGGTGGGATGAGGAATATTTATGGTTTAATGTGTAAAGCTCGAATTAGGCAAATACTCTTGAAATAATTAGGCATATATGAAGGCAATTAGAAATATAAAGATAGGTATGCATGAACCTTTACGGGTTACTTTAAAATTGAAAATAGTATTAGATTAATTAGGCACTTGACAATAGCAGAAATTATAAATATAATTATGTTGACTAATTATTATATACTCGTTATTTCTGTGACAGGCTGAAAACTTAAGCTTGAATAATGATTGATAGAAGAAAAATATGTTTGTCTTTGGAATCAACCTATACCTATAGGGTAGTACCCTATATAGGTTGATTCCCAACTTTTACCATAATGTAATGACACATTATGGTTAGAAAATGTACATTACATACTTGTAAAATATTATGTATATTGTTTTATATGTATATATTAACTAGCCAAAGGGTGCTGAATCCAAATGGTGCTATTTCATTATAAAAAAAAATATCAACTTATTAAAAATAATAATAAACTTCTATATATTTAACACTCTTGATCTTAGCCATAATCAAAATTGATTATAAAATTTTTGATTACTTTTATGTTCGAAAAGATTTATTTTTGAATTATTATTGTGCATACTTTTGTAATTTGATTGTAATGAACATTAAACAATATTGAAACCTATAAGTAATTTATTTATTTATTAGATTACTAGCTGCGCCCCACGGTTACCCGCGGTTTATCCCACGGGAACACTACAGTTTTTCGGATTAATAAGTAAGCCTACATATGTATTAATTCAGGATGTCAGTTACCTCCATACCAAATTATCATTTATCAAAATTAGTAGAAGCTTGAAGAAGTAACAAACACACACACTTACAAACTTTCGCCTTTATAATATACAAGCTTTAGCCCGCGACTCCGCCCACGTGTATGTCATCGGTACTACTACGGTAGAAAGCTACATTATCAGTAGTGTTACTCACTGATAATGTAGCTTTCCAATGATGTTTTTTTTTTTAATCGGTTTCATTTGTGACAGCGCAACAAACACACTTACTTTCACGTTTATAATATAATAATTATGGATAGTATTAAGTAGTGTTATTAAATTCCTTATCAACCATACAATATAGGTACGAGTACCTAGCAAAAAAATTGTAGATAATATTGGAATCCATACGAAACTAAGTAAAATTAAAGAGAGATATGTAATATGCACCATATTAAACTAAATTGAATAATAGTAATGGTGTGACTCATGTTGCTAGTTTTGTGTGTCAGTACTTTCTTTAATTCCTCTAAGTTCATAACAAAAAATTAACTGACAGCTTTATTAGACCTGTACTAGGGAGATTCTTAATCTCAAATAATCAAATAAAATATATCTCATGTATTTAAGGATAATGTAAAATGAGAAAAGATATATTAATGTATAGCCGCATATATTGGAGAAGATTTTTTCCCGTGTCAAAATACGCGCGGCTTGTGCACCGTGCGCACTGCAAAAGCATGCCTATCTGGTGTTACAGTAGAATAGGCTTTGTTTCGTCCGTGTGGTGACGGATTAAGAATACAGAGTGTCACCACCCCTATTCATCCCGTGGGTGTCGTAAGAGGCGACTAAGGAAGCAAACTAAGCAGGACAACAGCACTGCAGAGAGAAGGAAAACTTGAAACAAACCCTATACCAACCCGTCTGGCTAGCGTGGTATAGTAGGCCAAAACCTCCTTTGTAAGGAGAGGCCTATGTCCAGCAGTGGACTAGTAAAAGCTGTTGATGAGGCTTTGTTTTTGGGTTCCTACGCTTTAAATCGTCGATCGAGAGTAGATCGCAACTGAATTTAAACTTTTTTTACGAGAATTGATCTTCTGATATTGCATTGCAAGCGTCCATAGGATCCAGTTACCGCTTACCATCAGGCGGACCATATGCTTGTTTGCCCCTGACGTAGGGTACATAGACATGCTTTTTAAAACACAACTTACCCAGGTACAAGAATACGATGTTCCCATCTGTACTGCAATTCCTGAGCAAACTCGTACCACAGGTGCGCGAGGTAAGTTAGACCACCAGCATCGTAGAGCCGCGCTGCTGTGACTGACAATCGCCAGACTAGACCGCCCTCTGGACTTGTCTTAACGTAACTGCACAATCTCTGTTCACCATCTGCCTAGAATATTAATCAAACGATGTGATACTGATCCAGTAATAGACTCGGCCAGGATAAACTTTATACTGTAATTATAATTGTCATGCTACAAATCGTAAAAATAATTAAATTGTAGTTTTATTGTATCTTCGTACATTTCATTGATACAAAAATAGCAGGTTGATAGGGTATGTGATATTTCACAAAGAGCATGGTTGACTATCACACCACATACTTTCGAACAACCGATACGATTGCTAGTATTGTAGATTATAGAAAAAAAATGTTTAGCAAAATTCATGAAATCTGCATATTTCACACAATTTCAAAACTGAATAATTCGTATCAGTATTTTACGCAAACCCGTACTAGCGCCATCTAGTAGCACATATAGCAAAACATATTACCTGCTTGAATTCCACTTCCAATTGTTGAGGATAACTAAATTCATCATCCTCTACTGCATCAGGAAATATATAATACAAAAGAGGCATCAGTAAGTCATCTGCTATGGGCCCTTTAAAGTCTGTTCTGTTATTTCGGCCTTGACCAATTGCAGCTTTCACTAGTTTAGAAATAGTTATTGGTGCTTCTGTTATTTTATGCAAAGGGTTTATAATGCCTAAACTTTTGCTCAGCCCCAATGTATCCATTAGTAAATTACTATTATCTAATAAATCCATTACTTTATTAATAAGTTCAGATAATTGGCAATTAAAATTATCTCTCATTTTAAGAGTAATAGTCCAGGTGGGAGCCATTATAGCATCTATTTCAGAAAATGTAGATGATTCCACCATAGCACTTTCACGGAATCTGGGCCAAATGGCATTTAAAGACACACTATGGATTGGATTTTTTTCTGAACCAAAGGGCAGTTCTATAAGCTTCTTTACATCAAAACCCTCTATAGATAAAAACTCATTTGAATTTGTAGTTTTTTTCCATACAAATGCATCAAGATCTTTAAGTTCATAAGAAAACTTTGCAGAAACAAGGACAGCATCTAATGCCACGGGTGAAGAAATTTTAGATTTAAATAAACTTACAAGGCCACTTAAATGTGAGCATTGATTTGATATTCTTTTTAAATGAATTGTGTCAAAACTGACTTTATGTTCACTATCTTCATAAAAACCTAGGTATGTGTGCTGCCAATGTTCCCTTATCTTAACAAACAGAGGCACACCACAATCTACATTAGCAAATGCAATATTAACAGTACTCATTATTAATTTAATTAAATTACCCTCAACTAAAGGAATATTTGAACACAACATGATATATCGTCTCAAACCGTACCAAGCAGACACTGGGAAAGGACTACCATCGACGTCATCCATAAAACAAGTGGTGGAATCCCATAGGCTATTGTGCAATTCCCTTATAATGGACTTATCATCAGTTTCCTCAGGAATTTCTACATTTTTCACAGGTTCGAGAGCGTGATATGATAATACGAATTTTGTGCCCTGAAAAAGTATCTCTTCGGTTTTCCCTATCCATTTCTTTGTGTACTCTTTTGCGGGTTTAGGTACAGTAGATTTAGACAACCGCCAGTCATTTAATATTTCTTCTACACGCGCAATAAAAACTTCCCATTCTGATACAGTTGTGAAATCTTGATGATAAATATCATATTCATCTATTTCTTCATTCATTTTGCTTACAAAGAAATTGATATTTATGGCAACAAACACAATAAAACAAACAGCTGTTTACTCTCTTGACATGTAGGTAATAGAATTTACATGACAGTCGCTGTCATAATTTTTCTGATTGTGTTCCAGACCATATTTGTTGATAAACCGTGCCCATAGAAAACACTATACATTTTGAGCAAAAAGGAAAAAAAAGAATTCTTTTTGTTTTGTCTTGTAAACAGATAATGCTTTTGCATTATACTTGCATAAGAAATGTTTTATATATGAAACGTAAATACAGCCCATTCAGGACTTATTTTTTATAGACAAAACAAACAAAAATATTTAATTTTACAGGTCACCTATCAGTGTTACCATATAACTTCTTTCCAAGAGTTTCCATAGCAACAATAATATAAATAAAAAAGTTAAAGTAGTAAATAAAACCGTAATAATTATTTTTACATAAAAAAGAAAGAATATATATTATTTTACGTCATGTTTCGAGGAGATAATCCACAATCATTGAGTTATGAACAACAAGCTAAATTCATTCAAGACAGGATAACAAATGTGGAAAAGAACTTTGGAGAACTTTGTGTCGCTTTCGGTGATTACACTAGAAAAACTGCAAGGTCAGTTAAAACTTAATCAAGTCATACTACCTACGAAAACCACCAAATAACTATTACTACTAGTACCATTTGGAACTGCCTTCATGGAACTACTGGGAATAAACCGGTTTTCAATTAATAAAGAAATACATATAGATGTTTGATAATGACGGAGTCATTATAAATTAATGTTAGTTAGCAAACTAAGTAGGTTTTTAGATAGATCTCACAAAATGTGAATGTAGAAAATATTAATTGCCGCTTGCTAGACGAAGTTTTTTTACAGGGATTACCATTCTCAAATATTACGATGTTGTACGTTTAGTATTATTGCACATTAAATGATATTTTTATGCAAAAACACGAACGATGAAAATTTTGAGATGTCTTGACTTATTACTAACTGTACACTATAACCTCAGACTACGAGACATGGGAGACGATCTTGTAAAAGTTTTAAAGGACTACGCAAATAATGAAATAGTCAACAAATCTCTAAGCACGGGCCTTGAAAATTTATCTACGACACTAACTGCAATCGAAGAGTATCGGAACTGCGAAGTACAACGATTGGAGGCTAAGGTAAATGTAGACTGTAGGTATGTACTTAGACTATAATATTCTAATGACTAGACTAGAATATACGCGCAAGTACGATCAGCCTTTTTTGGTTAATCGCATTTTCCCATTTCATCTATATTTCTCCGGTTCGTGAACCAATGAAATTAAAATAAGTGATGCATTCAGCTACTTCAAAGGCCTTACCAACGCGCCTAAAGTATTTTCTTTAAATTTTACCATAGCATACCGAAGTATATCATAGCATAGGTTGATTGTCAAGATTTCATCAAAGTTTTAGGTGTAAGTATAGAAAAAAAAGCACTTCCAAATTTTTCGTATTTCTTCAGTTGGAACTGTTCTTTTGCTTAACTCTTAAGCAAAAGAACATTAAGCTTAAGCTCTAACATAAAAGCAAGTATCAGTGAAATCGGTCTGACCGTTCTCACCTGATGAATCTACGTACTAACGAACAGCTAGCTAGTTACGTGAGGGGTTCGAGGGGCGGGCAGGGGGTCGAGCCGAATCTCATTCATTCTTACTTTGGATTGGGGTTACATTAAATAAAACATTTTCCTCCACGGAAATATGGCCAAGTCTTATACAATAATATATATCATAGTATTGCGAGTGCCGTAAAGTTGCACAGTAGCCCGTTGTTTTTTTACGCGCCACCGCCAGCATTTACACCACCTTTACACTAGAAACACATTTTTAAAAACCTCACGTAAGATTGGGGGTTGGAGGAGGGGGTTGAATCAAAACTCACGACATCTCATCACGGTGGGTTCAGAAAATCGCCAAAAACCCCTCACTAGGTAATTAATGGACGCCCCTTAGTTATTGGCAATCATACATTCTGACTAGTGCTCTCTAAATTATCCTGCATTCTTCCTCTAGGTGATAGGAGAACTTTGTCAATATGAAACAATTTGTAAACATGCTAGAGAGGAGTTAAAACATACAATGAACGTACGTGAGAAAGAACTGGCACGCAAGAAAGTATTAGACAAAGCCAGAGAAAGACAACCCTTTAACAGACAGCAAGTGGTATGTGGTCGTGTACTTACTTATATAGGAAAATATGTTTTTTTGCTTTATTATCGTCGCTACTGATAAACATATCACTATTCCCTTATTGAATAGTATTGAAGCACATGTCTACCAAAAAAGTAGGAGTTTATCGGTCCAACAGTTAGTAAATATAAATTCGGAATTATATTGTTGTGTTATATGAGGAGTACAATCGGCAACACATAGTATTGCGTTGCCGACTCTATTGCCCTCGGAAGAGATTTCTGGATCGTCGTCGAAGTCCTTGACGTTTGATCCGCAAGAAAATAGGAAAGTAGTCTTGTTTAACTCTGTTACTATATAAGATCGAAATGAGCCTCTGGCTTGATGTGCCTAATTTTTGTGTTGGAAATGCATTTTTATACTACTTTCACCAAATATTAGTAATTTGTTTATCTATCACAATGTGTTTTTACACCACATTCTCATTCTTATAAAACTATACCTATACCAAAAAAAAAGGTTTTCAACTCAGTTTTTTTCTTAAATAGGTTAATCTCATATTTTTATGATTCAACTCTATTTACAAATAGTTAATGAGAAAAATATGCACTATAACATATAACTATATGCATAGCCGAGCGAACAAAGACTCACAAACAAAATAAGATAAGGTGGTGACAAGTTTGCTTCCGTTGTTCCGTGTTTCATTAATTTGTTTATTGTTCATTCTCGACATTACTTTGCTTATGCTAATTTTTATGCACCTTTGAATAAATCGGTTAAATCTCTGGGTCTCCAGGACATTGCATTTTGTTTCTTCTAAATTTTGATTGTTTTACATACACATATGTTTATTAGACTTACGCAGAATCTGAGCTTTTGAAGGCTTCGGCAGAAATGTCCCGCACTGCCAAAGGTCTGAGTGAACAGACAGATTTCTTCGAGCGACGTAAACTCCAGCAGTTGAAGACCCTTCTGTCTAATTTCGTAATGATTGAAATGACCTTTCATGCGAAGGCTGTTGAGCTGCTCACTGTTGCTCATCAACAAATTGGCGATATAAATGAGAAAGCAGATTTGGAGGTACTTATTACTTTTAGTTTAAATAATACTTAAGATAATGAATATAACTACAATACAATACATACTTCGTTCTTTGTAGGTGTTAGAAATAACGACTAGTTGTTTACCTTAATAATATGTTAAAAATACACTTTACAAGCACCTCGTCATTGCCCGTTTTGCCATCTACTTTTTTATGAATTTTAACCACATCAGATACAAACATACATACCTAGGTACATAAGTAAGAGTAGTAGTACGTAGAGTAACAATTAGTTTTTTCGTTCTTATTTTACCTATAATAAATTGCCATTTCCTTTGCATCGCGTTATCTCTAGATATACCTAGAGGTATTTTTAAAACAATTTGCGTTCTTTGAAATAGTTGTCATATTCTCAATCATGTAACATTTCAATTAATGACATTTAGGGAACATGATCATTTATTTAAACTTTGAAACTGTAAATATAATATTATTTATATTTGTTAACGTTTGTTAATAATAACATGAATTAAAATGTTCCTTTTTCTGTTAAGCGCTTGAACACAGGTCTTTCTGATAACGAGGATCAAACGGTAATTTTTTAGGTACAATAGCTTAATTATTAAGGAATGATAATACCTATCTAAACGATATCTGACCATTTAACAGAACTTCAGAAGAAAGTTACGGTCGCCAGAGAAGCAGGCGAATGCAGGGATATCCGCAAAATCTGCATCTTTGGCGTCACTCATGAACCCACAGTCGCCATCAAATGATGAAGAATCAACGGTTTGATGTTTTATTACTATAATTAGAATCCTAAACCAAAAAAAGATAACGGAAGAGGTGGGGCTCGGCACATTACTGATCGGTACTTGAAACGACCGACTCGTGTTGCACCTTCGCCTTCGGTAATTAATTCTCATAATAAAAGTTCGGTCAAAATTCAGTTCCGATCAACTTTCGATCTCCCACCCAACTGTCATAAAAAGTATTTTCGTTATAAAATAGTAATTACTAAGACTAGCAGATTACCGATTCAGTGTTCGGTCACAATACGATATATTCACATTACAGTCAACGTTGGATGTTTAATACGTTACTACGAAAATATCTACCTTTTATGACAGTTGTGAGATCGAGACTTGATCGGAATTTAATATCGATTGAACTTTTTATTACGAGAAATGTGAACTTTTGGCCTTATAAAATTAGGAAGGCACTTGCTTATCTACTTGTTTGCGTAAAACAAGATGTGCATAATATCTGCTATTAAAACAGTGCCTTAATTCAGTCAAATTCTCGCAAAATTAGTTAAGTGCATTTAATTATTAAGTACCTTTCATTTTATCATTATCTAATTTACTTGGCATCAATACACATATGTTATTATAGACTCTAGAATCATCTCTTTTTTTTTTTTTTCTTTATTTACCAAAAGGTGAGGATTTGATCACGAAGTGATCATGTCACCCCCATAGGAAACTACTAATACAATTCTACTACTACTAATACATAGGAAACTACTAATACAATAGGAAACTACTAATCAACTACATCTATCCTTCAAACCTAAATTAACAATTTTGTACAACAGTTTCGCTTGGTTTGACACGGGCATAGTCAAGATGGTGTTACAAACTCCAACAGAACGCAGAGATATGCCGTGTTTCATTTGAAACCGATCTCTTTCAGCCTTATTTCTTTGGCATTCTACCATTATGTGATAAACATCTTCCCTAACATTGCAAATAGTACAGTTAGGTGAAGAACTTTTTTTCATCATATATGTGAAGCTATTTAGAGGCATATGCCCAGAACGAAGTCTAAGGGCAGTGACAACTTCCTATCCCGACAGATCGGAGTCCGCAAACCAAAGAACGTGCGAGGGGCATGGTTGTATTGTCTTATACCAAATACCAACAGTACGAGACCTTTCATCAAAGTACTCTTTCCACATGTTAATGCAGCGTTCTCTGATCAACGGCAACAAGTCAGTAAAATAAGGTTCTCGAGGAACTGATATACCCATAAATGTTGACTGCTTTGCTAAGGAATCTACTATAGAATTACCTCCTAAACCAATATGTGAGGGAACCCATTGAAGGACAATGTGTTTATCTTCATTTAGCATCTTTTTAATTAATTTTATTATGTCATAAGCTATTGGGACTCCTCGAAAGCCTGATACCGTACATGGCAACAAATGCTGTAGTGAGCTTCTCGAGTCTGTATATATAACGTAATTTCCAGTTTTAAACGAATCAATATACGAAAGAGCCTCTACGATTGCTATCAATTCTAAATTCATTATGCATATATTTTGTGTTTTAATTTTTAACCTAACGAAACTGTTACTTTGCGGATCAAAAAAAGCTGCACCGAAAAACCCGCTAAGCTTGGAACCGTCCGTAAAAATATGGTAAAAATTTGCAAAGTTATTTTCTATAAAGTCACAACAAATGTTCTTAAGAACGTGAGGTCTATAGTGTACCTTTGCTTTATCGAGTACGTTAATGAAAGGCCTTACAACCTGAGATAAATTCACACTGCTTAGCCAAATATCCAGCGAAAATGGCCCTAAAGACTTGCTAACGTAAAAAGGAATCGTCTTAAATTGTTCGTAGGGTAAAAGCAGAAGAGGTTTGGATCTGCGCTTCCATTGAGAATTTTGCACCTGTTGGTGAAGATCAGTAACCACATTAATTATTTCGCAATTATCTAGAGACTTTAACTTTAACCAGTACTTAGCTGCTAAATAGTACCTCCGCACATGCAACGGTTGAATGAGAAGTTCACTTTCCATTACATGCACCATTACTTCTCACAAATCCACCCACCAAACGCAAGAATTGATTTTGTATTCGTTGTAATTTAATAAGATGAGTATTACTACTTGCAGCATAAATATGGCTGCCATAATCTAGCCTACTTCTTATTAGGCTTAAATATAACCGTCTTAAATGGATAGGATGAACACCCCATTGACCACCCGATAATACTTTAAATATATTTGAATATGCTAAAATTTTTTGCCTGATCTCATCAATGTGCTTCGACCACCTTAGCCCTCTATCCAACCATAAACCCAGATATTTAATATTATCCACAGTCTCAAGCGGAGTATCACCCACTGTCAACGTAACAGGTTCTCTTAAAGAACCTGATTTAAAAACACAAACTTTGCTTTTCACAGATGAAATGTTTAGACCAATGTCTTGAAACATCAAATTGACATAATTTAAAGCTACTTGTAATTTATTAGAAATGCCTGTAATTTTTTTACCTGAAGAAAATATAACATAATCATCAGCATATTGTGAAATAAATACATTAGGAAAGTTAATTGAGTGACAAACTTTCATAGTGATAATATTAAATAATAATGGGGATAAAGGGTCTCCTTGGGCTAAGCCGTAGCTTGTTGTTCGAGAAATTTTTAAATCCTCAACTTTGACTTTTAGATTTCTTTCCTTTAAGAAATTCCATAGATAGTTGCAAATTCTAGATCCAACCCCGATATCGTCCATAATTTTCACAAGGCAAGTAACATCTACATTATTATAGGCGTTGTCAAGGTCTAAAAAGCAGCTTATGGTGGTAAATCCTTTAGAGAAACCTATCTGAATTCTAGACGTCAGATTAGTGAGATTATCCAGAGTAGAGTGACATTTTCTAAATCCAGTCGTATTCTTAGACAGAAACTTATTGCTTTCAATGTACCATTCTAATCTATTGAGTAAAATGCCATGAAAGACTTTACACAAACACGAGATCATAGATGTAGGTCGCAAGGAAGATACACTGTTAGGATCTCGACCAGGTTTTGGGATTGGTATTATAATTATGTTTCTCTATTGTTTAGGGACAAAACCATTGAGCAGAAAGTCATTATAAAGATTAACTAAAAACATTTTTCCCTTATTTGGCAAGTGCTTTAACATAGAATAAGTAACGTTATCATCTCCCGGTGATGTATCTTTTGCTCGGATGCATTTTTCTAATTCCTGTATCGTTATGGGTATTTCTAGCTTGGGATTATATGACTTAAATATCGGTTTACCAGGGATAACAGAATCAGGAGTTAGAGTATCTAGAAGATTCCTCGCACACTCTTTGTTTATATATGGTATATTTGATTTGTTACCTTTTAGCCATTTCATTTTCTCCCAAACCTGTTTAGCAGAACAAGATTGACTTATACTGGAACAAAAGTTTTGCCAACTTTTTATTTTAGCCTTGCGTATTAGTTGTTGTGTTATTCTAATTTTATCTTGTAAAAAATGAAAATTTTGTGGAATAGGATTATGCCTGAACTTTTTTAATGCTAACCGACGCTGTGCTACAGCCTTAGACAGTTCGGTTGACCAGTAGGGTTTTGGTGAAAAATTTGAGAGGGGATTAGTATTGATTTTATAAAACGGAATGTGCAGATCTGCAGCTACATACAAACTGTCAATGAACATATCATAAGATTCTTGCAACACGTCCGCGACAGCTAAATTTGAAAATAGTTCATCGAGCAAAGCTGTATAAGAATTCCAGTCAGCTTTTTTATAATTCCTTTTTACATTCAAACCAATAGATTTATTTATTTTAGATGTAATCTTAATTACTTGATGGTCACTTCCTAAAGTTTCACTAAGAACTGCAAAATTCATCCGTAGAGCTATATCGGAAGAAGCTATCGATAGATCGGGAGATGACTGCTGTAAGTTGCCGTTAACATATTTTAATCGAGTCATATTACCATCGTTCAATGTAATAAACGCGTTGTCCATCAATGCGTCAAAAATTTGGACACCTCTTTGGTTGATTTTTGTGGACCAATTTGTGTGATGGCCAATAAAATCACCCAGTAACAAAGTTTTATGCTTAAAACGGGAGAATAGGTAGTCCCAATCACTATATGCCGTATTAATAGATGGAGAACAATATAAAGAAATAATGTTTTCAATAAAACTACAATTGTGTAGCTTAATACCTACAATTTCAATTCCTGCGTTAAGACACGTCATTGGTATGGTGTGTGCATGAATGGATTTATGAGTGACTATGGCAACTCCTCCGTATCCGTCACTTCTGTCTACCCTAAAAATATTGTAACCATTTAATTTTAAACTATCTGAAGGCCGGAGCCATGTCTCACTTATAGCCGCAATATGAATCTTCTCCTGTGACAATAAGCTTTCAAAAGCTGTTAGTTTTGGTTTAATACTCTGTGCGTTCCACTGAATAATGCTCAAAGGTATTGACTGATTATGTCTAGCCATTAAAGTAATCTAATAAGTTTTTCAAGATCGGCCAATCGGAGATATTTTCTACTACGACTAACATTAACCACTCTATTCAACTTTTCACTATATTTTGTATTTTAATATGTAACGATTGGTTTTTCAAAAATAATATATTTTTTAATCTAGTTAAAAGTTCTTCAAATGTTACTTCTCTCTCTTTCACTGATGTTATTGGGGGTGAAGATGATGCAGAGTTGTTATTGAATTTGTCCTGAGTATCGCTTCCTTGTGGGAACGGCGTAGATGGACGAGCTTCTTTGTGCCTAAGCAGAGTGGTCTTCTTTCTAATAGGTTTAGGTTTTAGAACAGAAGCATAAGTTTGACTCCTTTTGTTAGAGGGCTCTTCATCTTCATACTCAATCATGCAATGAGACGAACCATCTATATTTTCAACAAAAATAACTGGTTCTATTGTTGGAATAGGTGAAGTTGGAGGTACGTAAATAGTAAGCGCCTTTTTATATGTACAATTAAATTCAGCCATCAACTGTCTAATATTTTTTTCTTTAATAAACTTAGGACACGTTCTGTCTAAGGGCCATATGAGGTCCCGAACAGTTAATGCATTTAAATGTTTTCGTCTCACAATTAGGGTGATTATTACCACATTTAGGGCAAACAATTTTTTTTGCAGGACAGTATTTGAATATATGCCCGTATTTCCAGCATTTTGAACACTGGGAAACTGGGAAGACGTATTTTTCAACCTTTATACTTAGATTATTAACCAAAATATAAGTGGGTATAAATGAGCCCTTGAAACATAAGCGTATAGTTTCACAATCACTCCATCCTCCTTTGTCTGTATTGCGACGCATTAGACGTTTTACCGATATAAGCACTGCCGGGCTAGGACAAGAAATAGCACTTAAAATCTCTTCTTCAGAAATATTGACCTCAATATCCCTAATGATGCCATACGATATATGTTTTTCTGTAGACTTCTGTACCCTCCAACCCTTCTCTAATAAAGTTTCACAAGTTACCAACTTATTTGCCTGTATTTCATTGGCACAGTCTATTCGGACTTTAAATGGGTTGATATATTTTACCCTAGCAACATCTGTAACGTGGAGTTCGTCTAATATCTTTGCGAATGCAAACTGTTTAGGTAACTTTTCATTACTTGAAATGTATAATTGAATACTACCCTCCTTTAATTTTTTTTCTTTAGACCCAACTACAGTCCATTCTTCTTCTTCTCGTTGTCTTTTTGCCGATTTAATTTGTGTGTCTTCATCCATTTTATCTGTTTGTGTACATTCAACTAATCTTCTTTCGTCTATTTCCGCAATTTCATTGTCCAATAAGGACTCATTAAAAATTGTGTTATCATCTACATTTGTTGCATTTAGTTGCTTATTCATTTACAGGTAAACAAATAGAAATGTTCATAATTACGATTGAGCAGGTTGAATTCCACTGTGATGACTCACTAACTCTATCGTAAACAACTATTAAGAATGCGCGTATAACACAGCTAACCCGTACGAGCGCCGCACTACGTATGCCTAGAATCATCTTAAGTATTTCAATGTGTTGAAATGAACGCTCTTATTAATCATAATAAATTTAGGTACATTTCCTTAAAAGCGTATTAAACTGAATTTTTCTACTACGATTTCTATGCACTAGGTACCTTAACATTGAGTTAATTGGGTAGGTACATTTAGTTTGGGCCTAGTATATACAGATGCATACTACATTGTATTCCGTGCCTGTGGCAATATTTAGGTTTAGTGCTTCACTCACTATCTCGTATTCAAGCACCTAAAACCTATCTGCTTCAGTACTAAGTAATACTTTCGCAGCAAAATTAAACGGAGTGTGTTTATACATATTTTAAGCTTTAAAATAGTATATTTATGGACTTACCTTCTGTAGAATCTGCGAAAAATAAGGTCTCCAGAAAAGCAAGCCATGAATAGAACAAGCTCGTTGGCAGTCCTTATGAATCATTCACCGACTCAAGAAGAAGAGACATCGGTAGGTACTGTAAGCATTACAAAATAGTTTTTTTGTTTGTTGAAATATTTAATTTTATGAATGAAGTCAACTAATTTCTGCCATTTTATTGTCCAGGAATCTGAAGAAACTGACGAACAAGACACCTCCGAAGAAACAGAATCTCGTTAGTTGAAACAAGTACCTCCCTATCTAGAGCTCTAGTTATTGTTTAGTATAGTTCACTTAATTACTTACACACTGAATAATTAAGTATGTATTCATTTTAGCAAAGTTGTAAGTACAATAAATAATCGCTACAAAATCATTCTTTTATTTAGTTAAATATTATTTGATCCCAATCACGTAATAGGGGGGCAGACTATTGCCGTGAACTTAGCACCTTAGTAGTTGAAGGATAAATCGGAAGAAGGTATATTAAGAGGAGAGAGATGGTAAGGTCGCAGACCTGTTACTCGAATTGGCTATTACCAGAAAATCTGAGCCCCCTGACGTCCCTTCTTATCTCCTCTAATACGCCTACTTAAAACTGTACATATATGAACAACGACCATTTAAACATCACGGTACAAAACTACATTAGAAATAGTAGCACTATTCGTGGATGAACCTGATGTGATAGCTAGCTAGACAAAAGTAAATATACAGGATAACATTCAAGCTAAATTAGTACGAAATTTAGTACATTATTAATGCAAAACCCTAAAGGTAGAGTGTTAGGAACTGCGAGGCAAATGACATTATAAAACACCTAATATTTTACATTGGTGAAGAAAGTAAAAAAAATTTGTCGGTTGGATGCAGAATCTAAGGGTGCTTTTACACGATGCAAGTAGCTTGCGCATGTTGAGACACTTGCGCAGGTTATATACTTCGCGGAAAGGACTAAGGGAGTCCAGCGACTCGAGTAGGGGAGAGTGAGGGAATCACGGACGCGGGGTAATCGCGGATACGTTCGTTTGGCTATGTTAGAAAAGGATAGATGATATTCCGAGTAATGCAATCGTGAGTCGATCCCGAACCTAGTGCCGAACAAAGAGTGGTGAAGCAACAACGCACTCGGTGTAAAAGGTATGTTAACTTTTTGTTTTTTCAACAATTTCATATAATCTTTGAGTAAAATTGAATAGATATATAATATTTTAGGTGTAGCATAGAAATTCGGTATTTTTTTTATGAAATAACGTCCTAATTCAAGAATGTTTCTAAGGACTTGCCGCGTGTATCTCGCGATTCTAACCTAAAAAAAAAATAGTTTTGTGAAAACGTGTCTGTTGGATAATTACGGACGATTTCAGTGGGGTAACCCCGACCGTTCGTAATTACCCCTGAACAATTAAATTATTGTTTTTATTTTATAATTTATGTCCAGCAGTCGACTGCATTGCGTTGATGATAATAATGATGAATTTTGATGAAATACCTTTGAGGAAGTTTGTTTTTATGTTTCTCTGCTTTCAGCACTGTACCCTCACGAGCTTATTTATACCTACTCAAATATGTTTCAGATGCCACGAAATTACCAAAGAAAGACGGAGACCAAATACAAATTAGAAGACTTAGAAAGAGCCATTCGGGTTGTTAAGAACAAAAAACTTTCACTAGGAAAAGCAGCTGCTACTTATTCTATTCCAAAAAGTACTATATACGATAATCTCAAAAAGGAAGTTATAAAAGAACCAAAAACTGGAAGGAAGGCTGTATTTTCTGAAGAACAGGAAAAAGAATTAGAAGAACATATCATAAAATGCAGTAAGCTATTTTATGGTTTGACCATAGAAATGGTCCGGCAAATAGCTTTTAAATTTGCCGAAGTAAATCACTTAAAGCACAATTTTGACAAAACATCTCAAATGGCAGGAAAGGATTGGTTCTACGGGTTTAAGAAAAGACATCCTAATATTTCGCTACGTAAACCTGAGTCCACGTCTATCAATAGAATTACAGTTTTTAATGAAACAGAAGTGAAAATGTTCTTCGACAATTTGGAAGCTTTGCAAGCAAAACATCACTTTGATCCTTATCATATTTAAAGGGAAAAGGCTGCTAGTTCCACTAAAGGTTCCAAGAAAGGTGTGAAGAATCGTCAAGCATTTGCAGATACTGATATTAAGATAAAGAAAACCAAAGAAAGAGATGCGAAAGAAAATGAGTATTTTTGCTTAGTTTGTGATGAAAAATATGAAGATCCTCCACATAAAGATTGGATAAAATGCTACAAATGTAATTTATGGGCCCATGAAAAGTGTACGAGTGGTGAAAATACATCAAAAGGATTTATATGTGATTTGTGTGATGATTAGATTATGTCCGTGATTACCCCACACACCATTCGTAATTACCCCCCGTGTTGTGGGGTAATCCCGAACCCCATAGTTTTGTTTTCTTATTAATATTCGTTTCTGTATTGAAAGTTTATCTATGTTGCTTATCAGAACTTAAGGTTTATATATTATTATCAGAATTAGTTAAAGTAAATGTTAAGTAATAAATGACATTCGTAACTTAATCTGGTTTTCTTTAATTTCAATTTCCCCTTAAGTGTTCGTAATTACCCCACTCTCCCCTATGTGCCAGCGCGAGACACCCGCTGGGTACCGGCACGATTTGCAACGCACGCTATATTTGTTAACTCTAGTAGAATAACAATTTTAACAAATGATTCCATTAGCTCCAGCTACTACACCGTATACAAGCGCCCTGGTACCTACTAAACTGTTCTGAAAAATCTGAAACTAGCAAGACCAATACATGTAACACGCGCGAGCAGCATGCACAATTTACTAGCAAGTAACTTGTGCATACTACAACGCAAATAACCCACGTCTTTACCGTGTATAAGCAGCCTAATAATGAAAGCTTCTGCAATAACCTCTCGCATAGGTACTCATATTATTATGTAGGTCCTTTAAAAACTATATACAAATAGTGCTATTTTCAATGTATAGTTACATTTAGTATCTTGCTGAATACACAGGGAAATCAAAATAGAACAAGAATTTCAAACTGATATATGGCAGGTGAATAATTCTTATTTCTTATTCACCCCTAGGCTGTCCCCAAAAAGAACGATCACGCGAGTGTCGTACCATTCCATACCAGGTACGGCACAGATCGATACTCATCCTCCTAAAGTCTGTAGGAATGGTTCATTTTGTCAAAATAAAAGTAAATAAACTTATAATACAACACCATTTAATCAGAAAGTAAACATTTATACCAATAGTTGTGCAAACACATGTAAAAGATCTTATACAAAACTTATTTTCTGACATACCTATGTATGTATAAGTGCCAATCCTTGATAGATTGGTTCATTACTATTGCAATGACTATAGAAGTTTTGTGTAGGTACATAACATTGACAACAACATTGATAATTAGATGCTACAGCAAGTAATGTGATGAAAGTTGATTATCTACTTGGTATCTAAGTTACACATTTTTCATAACTGTTTAAGAATGTTTGCATTTACAGAAGGGGAACTAGACACCAACTTCACATTAAGCATGATTCACATTTAATACACCTAAAATTATAACTAGATGTGTACATATATAGGTAATGTTTAAGAAGGGAATGCTGATATTATCTTAACTATGTAATAAATAGTTGCATAAATATAAAAAAAGCATAAAGTTATAGTCAAAATTTATGCTTTTTTCATATTTATTAGCTTTTTTCAATATTCAACCGCAACAAAATCATTACTATGTGGGTGGTTAGTTTTTATTATCTATGAATACATTTGATAATTCTACAAATTACAGCTGCTGTCTTATTGTTAAAGAGTTCATTACTTTGTTTTCTTTATAAATGTTTTGACATTAAGCAAAAAAAAACAGGCAAATAAGTTGCATGAGAATCCAATTGAGTCGAGACATAGACAAAATGCTGAGATATCGTTTGTTTTTCTTTTCGTATTTAAATTTAACACTGTACTTGCGTGACTTTCAGACTGGCAAGTAACTTCATGATGAGATTATTTTTTCCCTAAATCATGACTCAACATTTTCTTTTAAAACCTATCTGCCATTAGAAAATAATTTAAGTTTCAAAAATGTTGATATCTCAATATAAATAACTTGAATGTACAATAATATTTATTAGTTAGTAGGATAATGAGCAAACAATACAGAATAAAGAATATGTAACAAATAAATTTCTAACTTTATATGCATGAAATTATAATAAATGATGACAAATAAGTTTAAATTTATATTTAAAAAATTGGCTCTCATCACTTCTGACTTACACAATAACATATTGTAATTGATATTATATAGATACAACTTATTTCACAGTTACTAAGACATTTTAAAAGTAGTGTGTAAGACAATGTTGTAACACAAATTGTGATATTTAGTTTTACTTTTTTTAATTTTGAAATCAATCTACCTTCTTGTAAATTGCATGAAGGTTACTTTATTTGTAGAAATGTTAAACAAGTCTCAAATGTAGATACATTGTATTTAAACTAATAGACTTTAAATCAAGATTGAAATGTGCCATATTATGGATGTTAGAGCAATGAAACTAAACAGTTTAATAAAATTTACTGAAAAGGCTTTCCAGTAACATTAAAGTAATAGTTTTCTGGTCTCATTTAGTAAAGTGCTCTCCCATTTTGTAAAATTAATAGAAACACTCTTTTCATTAAAAGAGAGTTGGTTAGTGATTACTAAATCAATCTTTGCCATATGTGATAAATTTATGATTTAAATAGATCTATATATGAGAAGACAGTTTTCTCATGAATACATTATTCCGGCATAAAAGTATTGTGTTGTGTTGTTAATATCTTAGGGTGCGGGATTTACTTTTCATTCTCCACGCCTGCTTGTGTCATGAGATCTGTAATATTCTTCTCTAATTCATCAACGCGGGTCCCCATCTCATCTATACGATTTATTATCTGATCAGACATACTTTGGAACTTGTCCTGCATATTCTGCAACAGTGACTGTACCTAAAAAAAAAAAATATATATTTAATAAAATTGATTGAAAAATTATAAATAAATTCCATAACTGAACATGTAGGTACTGATATTTTTCTAAATTGAAAGAGTTTTTATGAATATCTTCTATATCACCTTATTTGTAAATAAAAATTCTGTTTTAGTGGTTAAGAAAAAATTACACTTACATAAAGTGTCACCTCCTGCATATTTTTATGATCAGGTCCTGGCGTTGAGTATGTATTTTCTGCGTCAGTTGTTGTAGTTTCAGATCCACTATTTTGATCAGCCATTGCAAAAAATCTTCTTTGTAATTGTTCTATTGTCAAAGGTTAAATGAATATCACCACAAGTACACAAGGCCGAGCAACAAATGACTTGAGACAATAGGCTAAGACTGAAAAACTGTAATTATTTCAATTCAATTGAAGTTCAAAACATTGCGTAGCAAATTTATCGATTTATTAAAATGTTATTTTGACATTGAAATGTTACCAGATCCAATTTATAACACAGCAAAGACGAAAAAATTAAAAAGTAAAAAAGTATTTCAATAAATTTATCAAAAGTAAGTGAAAATACGCTACAATATTTGTTATATTTTGTTCATCTAATTTGATAAAATAATACTTTTCAAATGAATTAATAAAACTCAAACTAAAACCGTTTTTTTTATGGAATAGGGGGCAAACGAGCAGACGGGTCACCTGATGGAAAGCGACTACCGCCGCCCATGAACGCCTGCAACTCAGGAGTCACAAGCGCGTTGCCAGCCTATGACGAAGGAGTACGCTCTTTTCTTGAAGGTTTGAAGGAAAGTTTGTGGCCGGTATTAGTCCGAACTATTCATCGGAGCACTCTCCATTATATATACGATAGAGAATGCAGAGCGAAGCTATATCACTACGTAACGCCAAGGAATCGAGCCGGTCGCAAATCTTTTGCCTATCAACGGTTCGAGTCGCTCTTCTTTGGATTCGATCCAGAGGGAGAAGTTGGTACTATGGTGCCCCTGCATAGAGATGAGAGCAGTATTCCATATGCGGTCGGACTTGCGCCTTATAGAGTTGGAGGCGATGGGCTAGAGTGAAATACTGCCTCGATCTGTTCAGCACACCGAGCTTCTTTGAGGCCAATTTGACCTTACCCTCTAAATGACGTCGAAACTGGACTTCGCTCGAAAGCTCAATGCCTAGGATTGCAATACTGGCTGAGGCATTTAGGGAGGTGCTCTCGAACCGAGGCGATACGACAAACGGTATCTGTTTTGTGTGTGTCTTTTTTTGGTTTAAAATGGACAAGATTCAGTCGACCCCAAACTGAAACCTCAGCTAAGGAAGCTTCAATTTTAGACACAAGTTCGTTTCGACTCTCGATGACATTTTCCAGAGAAATATTGGGACGGCCGGTATAAAAGGCATCTCCTGTGCTATCATCCGCATAACATCTGATGTGCAGAAGAAACAGTGTGGGTGATAGCAGACAGCCTTGCGGGACACCAGCATATACTTCAAGTCGGAGCATGCACCAGAGCTTACTGCACAAGCCTCTACCTTGGTCTCGATTGACTGGGGCCACCGATGTGTTCAATAAGCAAGAAGATCACCAGCTGAGCGAACCCGGCGAAAACCATATTGTTGGACATTGAGTAGCTGGTGATTTTCCAGGTACCGGAGGAGCTTACAGTTGATTAAGGATTCCATAACCTTAGAGAACAAGGGAGTTATGGCTATAGGCCTGTAGTTAAACAGATCAGAGTGGTCACCTTTTTTAGGGATCGGGTGCATGAACGCTACCTTCCAGGAGTTCGGCACTACGCCTAGGGAGTAGCAGAGTCGAAAAAGGCGAGTTAAAACCGGTGCCAACTCCGGAGCACATGTTTCAGCTTCTTTCACACGATAGAGGAGATTCCATCGGGCCCACTCGACTTATGAATATCGAGGGAAAAGAGTGCTTTACTCACTGATTTCTGTGTAGTCGAGTCGACTGAGTCGAGTTGGATGCAAAGAGTTCGCCTAGGAGATCGGCTTTCTCCTTGGCATCACAGGCTAACGAATCATCGCCCATCTGCAGGGGTGGAAGGTATTGGCTATAGAAATTCCCCTGGACTGCCTTGGCAAGAGATCAGAATCCACGTGTTCCAGAAGGAAGTCTCACCAGTCTCTCACCAATCCGGCTGATTAGCTCCGATTTCGCCCTGGCAATGGCTCTTTTGAGGGACCTGGAGGCAAAGTTGTATTCCTTTTTTAGCGTGCTGGTATTTACATCACCTTTTCGTCGCTGCATTAGCCCATGCTTGGCAACATTCCTGCTTTCGGCAGGATCTGTTGAACCAAGGCTTGGATCTACCACCAATGGGAATTAGTGTAGATGGAACAAATAGTTCCATGAAGCACTATATCAGTGACAGAATCGGCAACGACGGGTTCGATTGGGATCATCCGGCAAGAAACAGACCTGCCCCCATGGGTAGGACGCAAGGAAAAAGCGCATCCCATCCAGATCCGCTCACCTATAGTGCCATACGCGGCGGCAGCCTGCAATTCGCAGCCGCAGCGAGCACATGAGTGGCACCGTACTCCGTATTAGGCAATGATCTGAAGAGCCAAGGGGGGCCTCAACGATGACTTTATAGCCGTCCGGATCAGAGGTCAGCAGAAGGTCTAACAGTGAGGGCTCATGACTTTTCACATCTGGGACTCGCGTGGGCGTTGATACCAGTTGTGACAAGCCATAGGTCAGGGCAAAATCGTGAACAGATCTCCCCGCGTGATCGGTTTTTCTTGAGCCAAGCCATTCGGCGTTGTGAGCATTAAAATCGCCAAGAATCGCGATCTCTGCGGATGGGATCTGCTGCAGCACAAAATCTGTAGCCATTTGGACGAGGTCCATCAGTCCGTCAATTTCGGTATCACCGCTGTGGGACCTGTAGAGGCATGCATAGACGCGGGGATGGTCGTCGCTGTCTACACGGAGCAACAAAATGGGAGGTTCCGTCCTTCAAAATTGCGATGCGGGGAGAACTGATATCAACTTATGCCTGCTCTTGCCGCGGGTAGGTGCCTTGTTGAGCACAGTTGTGCCCCCCTGCCCCCAGAATACGCGGAGCAGCCTAGACATCCACGCCCAGATGCATGGTGTTCTGAGCGTGGGCGTCTAGCAGGGAATTCTCCAACGCTAGCGCAGCTGGTACCCCTCTTGGGGTAGACTGTTGTTCAACGACGCTATCATAAGAGAGGGTGTAGGGGGGGGTTGGGTTTTTTAGCTATGTGATGGATTAAGAATACCACCCCGATACATCCCGTGGATGTCGTAAGAGCCGACTGAAGCTGTAGCTCACTTATATTACCCCGCTCCAATAGCACTCCCGAACAACACCACCTTAAACTTTTAAACTTGACTACTCGCTATCCAAGCGTCGACAGCTGTCAGTTAACTAGCTGTCCCTGCGCTAGCAGCTAGTAGTCAACACACACAGTAGTCAGTACACTAACTACACTACGCTTTCCCTTTTCGCGTCAGTCATAGTTTGTAATCTATATCTCAAATCACAATGCGTGATCTGGTGATGATTGCTATTGCACTTGATGACGAAGAGGAAACAAGAAAACACGAAGATTATGGGTGTATAAACTGCTAAAAGGAAGAAACGCAGGAGGAGAATTGTGGAAACGAGCAAGCGAGCAGTCTGCGTGCGTCAATCGCGTGGGTCACCTCCTTGAAACGCGTGGTAATCATGCTGTTAGCGAAACGTCTACTATCAACTGGTACGATGGCGGTAAGTCCATTAATTTAGGGCGCGGTGTTGTATAAGTGTCGATGCATACCTTTAGGGAGCAAACTAGGACAAGAGCGGTGCAAGGTTTTTTTCGCTAAATAAAAGTTTTTTCCGCCAGTGCGGATAGTCCTATATAGATTCCATGTGTCACAGAATTTTGTGAAAAAAAACGCCCAGAAAAAACACTGTGCCTAAAGTGCGCTTGTACTATGGGTATACAACAACAGACAAGTGATATAAATACATACATACTTTTTTGTAAATAAATACATATTATACACAGAAACATCCAGACGAAATCAAACATTAAATGTTAAACGCGAACTTTGGCGTAGCAGTCTGTTACACAAACCACTAACCGGCCGTCATAAAGGCTTGATTGATTTGATTGACAGGATTATTTATTTGCCAAATTAATGTAACATAAGTATGACTGTTATTGATTTGTGACTTCACTCTAATTATTAAAAATACTCAAATAGACTGATAATACCAAAGATTAGAGCTTTAATAACAAATAAACAAGTAACTCCATTTTTAATATTATTTAAATGTAATAAACAAACATTATTGAAGCGAAAAAACAAAAAGATGAACTTAACCGTGTATTGTACACGACACCACTGAACATACTAAGGGTGTCGTTTACAATTTTTTTGGTAATGTAATTCTAACACAAAACTTATGCATTTATCTACATCAATTATTTTTTATTCGTAAGATAACGACTAAAAGTTGCTTTAAAGATAGCAGATGAAGTGAAACAAAAATACGTTGAAAAAAATTAATAGATTTTGTAAAATATTTAATTCCACTAAAAAAAAAACTCGAACAAGGTTATAAACTCTTTCATTCTAATCGTTTTTCCCAAAAAACGCTTTTACTGTTGGTCTAGTGACTAGTGGCTAGTGGCCCTGAGCGGTGACGCTAAACCGGAGGTCATGGATTCGATTTCCATCCGGGACAAATATTGTGAAATGACCACAATCATTTAATTTTGTTCTGTGTCTGGGTGTGATTTAACTATAATATATATGTATTCAGAAATATATAAGTATGTGTATCAGTAGTCCGTAGATATGGATATTATTGCTACTTTAAAATAATATTCATTTGATGAAATGGTTGGTTCTAGTCACAGCTAAGTCACAGCGATTTCACATATGATTGTTATGTCGTCATTGACAAAGATAAGTCTTAGTGGCATTAAAATCAATGAATATCCTTTTTATCAAAGATTAAGACCTTTTTTTAGATTAAGACGGCGGCGGCGTATGTGAGATGTGGTCCGAAATTAAAAAAATGCCATTCGTCCTATCGCGATACCCAGAAACAGACTTGACAAAATTGTCTGTCTTGACATTTGTACTGTCAATGTCACAACGCATTAGCTACACCGAAAATTCCGTTTTATTTTCGGTGTTTTTGTAACATTCGCGTTAATGGGTTTTTGTGAGTTTTGTTGTGCTTGTGCTGGTGATATCATTTACAACAAAAATTAAAGTTTCAATAGATACTAATAGCCATGCAGCCCCTATCTATGACTACAAAACATGATATACAAATCGATATAACCCAAGTCAGGATAGATATTTTACATGGAATTGGTGAGTGTGCAGATCGGGGTCTTACACAAACTGCTAAATGGCTAGCAGAATTAAACTACGCTTTAAAGGATCATAAAATTATATATGATCGTCCTCCTAACACATACGATGATCAAATTCCGATGGAAGAGAGAGAATCATATATTTTAGCAAAGAGTTACTTCGACTGTCAAGAATATGATAGAGCTGCACATTTTTTAGAAAATTGTAATAGTTCTAAGTGTGTATTCTTGCACAAATACTCATTATACATGTCAAGTGAAAAAAAGCGATTAGATCTTGCCACAGATCTTGGTGCTGAAAACACAGAGTCAACACAAGTGCTACTGGACTTGTTATCGTATTTTAAGGTGAGATAGTTTTAAATAATAATTTATTATTGCTTAACATAAATATTTATCACTCTAGTGTTTGTTTTGTATTCTAAAACATCAATAAGTGTTTTAGTTTCTTGGGTCAACAAACATCAATTGAAATTTATAAATAATATGTACTTTGAAAATAAATATATTAAATATTAGTAAGTGACATTAGAATATAGAAGTGTAAAATATATACTAATGTATTTTCTTTAATAATATTAATATTAACTGGACCCATCTCACAACCTGCCATCTGATTCCATATTAGACTGAGTCCACTATGAACTATGGTAACCAGAGTGATGAACATATATTTTTTTAAACACATAAATATTACAGATAAATTATGCCCAGACACAGAATCATTTGTCCTGGGTGAGAATCAAACCCATAACCTCTAATTTACTAGCTAAGCTACCGACTACATATATAGGTTGTTTGATAGTTTGAGTATTTATTGAGCAATGTTATAAAGCTTGCCTAAGCTGCGCTTTTTCATACAACCCTGACGACAAAAGCAGTGAACATAATTCCAGATTAAATGTGAGGCTGATCTATTAAATTATTCATAGCAAGAAAACTTCATATTTCAGGCAAATCGTAACAATCTGGATGGATATCTTTTGTATTTGGAAGGAGTGGTTTTGAAGAAGTTGGATTTGCGAAGTGAAGCAGTAACAGCACTTTTATTGTCTATAGCTGCTGCTCCTACGCTATGGGCAGCTTGGGTAGAGTTAGCAGGCCTAGCTAATGAATATGAGGCACTAGATTCCCTCAAACTTCCAAAGCATTGGATGATGTACTTTTTCGCTGCTCATGCTTTTGTTGAACTAAAGCTATCAGAACAAGCTTTGGAGGCTTATCTAGTATTGGTAGCAGCAGGGTTTGAAAAAAGTACTTATGTCACAGCACAAATGGCTATTGCACATCATGACAGAAGAGGTAATAATTGTTATTACACACTATATGACCTGTATCTATCTCGCTCGTAATCAAATCTGTCTACATAGTTTTGAACAACCAAGTTGCACATGTGTGTCAAGCGCTGATGAGAATGAAAAAGATATTAAATCCAATAAAGCCAAGGGATCAAGGTCACAAGGCTAACAAATATTGGATCCTATTGCTTTAAACTTGATTTTCAATATCAGTTAAGGACCAGAATAATCCAAACCACTGGTTATTATCTAGAACAATTTAGAAAGTTATGCATTAAATAATAACATGTGTAATATTTCAGATGTTGATTCATCATTAGCTTTGTTCCGGGAGTTATACCAGAATGACCCATATCGGCTAGACAATTGGGATGTGTATTCTCACCTCCTTTATTTAAAAGAAAAACGGATGGAGCTTGCAAACCTAGCTCAAAAGGCTGTCTCCATTGATAAATATAGAGTAGAAACTTGTTGTGTAATTGGCAAGTACTTTTATTTTAGCATATTTTTTCAATCTTAGATAAAATTACTAAGGAAACTGGTATATTATAAAGAATTAAGCTAATCATTTATTGTAAGTTTAGCAATACCAATACCTGAGGGACAAATTGAAGATTTTTAGTTTTATACATAATTTCTTTTCAGTATAATTTTGAAAGATATTACATGTTAGTAAATAAGACTTTACCAGTTTCCGAATATAATAAACTAACACAACAACTAATGACAGATTTTGGATATTTATGCAAGTCATCATCACATCAACAGCCTATAATAGTCCACTGCTGGACATAGGCCTCTCCTTAGAAAGTAGGTTTTGGCCTACTATACCACGCTGGCCAGACAGGTTAGTATAGGGTTTGTTTCAAGTTTTCCTTCTCTTTGCAGTGCTGTTGTCCTGTGTAGTTTGCTCCCTTAGTCTTCTCTTACGACACCCACGGGATGAATAGGGGTGGTGACATTCCGTATTCGCAATCCGTCACCACACGGTGTATGCAAGTACCTATATGCAATCTAATAAAAGTGTATTCTACCAGCTAAGAATGTAAACCTGATTATAATATACATATTTTATATCCCCTTTCAGGTAACTACTACAGTTTAAGAAGTGAGCACCAAAAAGCTGTAGTGTATTTTCAAAGGGCTCTGTCATTGGACCCACAGTACCTATCAGCGTGGATACTCATGGGACATGAATTTATTGAACTACAAAACTCCAATGCTGCAATACAATGCTATAGACAAGCTATAGGTAAGTCAAGTCTGTTCAGAAATCAGACGATAAGCTTGATCTTTTTAATTTTTATTCATTTAATCAGGAAGTCAGTGGCCACGCCAGGTCAATTGGTCAAAGGTGATGAGCATGATAATTTCTTTTGTGTGTCTATCGCCGCCCACTGCTTAACGTAGGCGCCAATTACAACGGTCTTGAGCACTCGCATCCATCCACTGCCAGCCAGTTTTCTTAAGTCTTTGGTCCATCCTGCTGCAGGTCGCCCTACACTACGTTTGCAAAATCGCGCTCTTAACTCTAATTCGTGTCGTCTCCAGCGACCATCAGTCTTGGAGACATGACTGGTCCACTTCCACTTCAGCGTACTGATTCTCTGTGCGAGTTCTCTGTTGAATAACTTCGTTTAGAATTTTATCAGACATTATATTTCAATAATATCTAAAAAAAAATTATTCTGTTTATGAGAGACTGATTACTATGATACATCTCCAAAAACCAACTCAGCCCATTTTGGGATTTACGACTGTGTATGAAATGTGTCTCAATTAATAAATTTAAGTTTTGTTCTCTTACAATGTCCATTTTGTGACAGTATTTTATTAATGAATTTCAGATGTAAACAGAAATGACTATCGTGCATGGAATGGTTTAGGACAGGCTTACGAAATATTAGGACTTAATGGTTATTGTATATACTACTACTCGAGAGCGGCTCAACTCAAACCTGACGACTCTAGAATGTTGGTTTCTCTTGGTGAAGCATATGAGAAGATGGATAAAATCCCTAATGCGCTCAAGTGTTACTACAAAGCTCACAGCACTGGTGATATTGAAGGAATGGCTTTGTTTAAGTTAGCTAAGTAAGTGTATTTTAGTTTTTATTGACTGCACGGATGGCATAGTGGATTGAGAGGTCACCTTGCCGCTTTCTATTACGCCGAGTGTTGTGGGTCCGATCCCCACATGGCACAGTGTTCCTTGCCTCATTAATGTTTGTAAAGCCTCTCAAAACACAGGATATATTCCAGGCATATTCGGGCAGGGCCTGAGCTCATTAGGATAATGGGGACTATAATAGGCAAAGAAAGTATAGTAGTCAGTCATTAGCGTTGAATGTATTTAAAGTAAATATCTTTTTTTGGTAATAAATACCAATTATCGATCGGTGATCTGGCAGGGGCTAGGGGCCCCCTATCGATCGAGGGGCCCTGGGCACGTGCTCAGAATGCTCAGTGGGAAACAAAGGTCTGGCTAGAGTTGTCTTATAAAAAATAAACATTTCTTGTATATTATTTGTAAATGCAATTTTATAATTTTAATATTTGATTATCAATTTAAAAAATACTTAGAGATAATGGTACAGGATATAGCTTTACAGCCGAATGTCGTAATTAGTTTGATGAGGAGTGGTAAACAACTGATTAACGATAGGAAATGACGGTATTGCAGACTGTACGAGAGGTCGAACATGCCGAACAGCGCGGCGGCGGCGTACACGGCGGCGTGCCAGGACGTGGCCAACGTCGGCAGCAAGGAGCTGCCCGCGGCGCAGCGCTACCTGGCGCAGTACTACCTGCGCTTCTCGCTGCTCGACCACGCCGCGCACTACGCCTACAAATGCCTGGAGCATGAGAGTGTGGGTGCCACTGTATTATTTATTAGATGTATTAACCATATACGAAATGCGTAGTATGTTTAAATTGCGATTGCCTTAAAAATAGATAGGGTCCTGGAGTCCCTAGAGGTCATCGTAGGGTCTATTATTCTGTGTCATGCTCTGCCGCAGAGCCACCCTTTTTTTTTTTTCGGATACCACCCACCGGTGGTTATGTCGGACTCAAACCGACCAAAAACCGCACGCCGTCTCGGGTACCAGTTGCCGGGGAACCAAGTGTACCCTAGGAAGGAAAACCCTGATACCCCGACGCCGCAGAGCCACCCTAATAAAAAGCGATCGATTATATCTCAGAATGATGTCCGTCAAATCTACATAATGTCCTTAGGGCCATTGTCGTTCGACGTTCGTACACTAGGTAACAAAACAATGAGAATCGATTATGGCTCTGATGCGGAGCTTCAGAATATAACGGTATTGAAAACTTTACAACCTAACCCACCTTTTATTGGCATTAACAAAATAGAGTGATAAACAATTTTAATAAAATAATAAATTAATTTTAATACTTGCAGACTAAAGAAGCTGGCAAAAATATCCTCAAAACAATATCTGAGAAGCGGTCGACTGCAGCATCATCTCAACAAGCGTTGCCGGATGATTTGCCAGACGCTATCAAGAATGTATCAGCCGTATCGATCACTCAGGACACGCCTAAAACTCCACTACCGCCGAGTCCAAACGTAACGCCGGACAATTTCTCCACACCAGTGTTTACGCGGAAAAATAGCAAATATAAAATATGACACAAGATCTCAATAAAATGTAAAATGTGAGAGACTGATCGTTAACTTAAGTATATAATACAGTTGTATAGATGTAAAGTCTAATAAAATAAAATAAAGAAACTGATTTTCATTTGCCCGTGTTACTGTTCGAGTTAATAATACTTTAATAATCTTGATAATACAAAGTGAAAATATGCAAGGATTCTAATCCACAAAAGGGTTACTGAATACGTAACTCTATATTAACGGATTACTTCAGACTTTGACTTCAGATTATGGTGACATAAGTTACTAAATGCATTCGATTCATTTTTAATCTTCGAAAGTATGATCACGTCTCCTCTTATTGCTCTGAACTAGATTGGCTGTTGATTAGTCGGCAATGTCATCTGCACGCCCTCACAACTCCATATTCAATACTAAATTCATCCATTTTTCATAAATACCTCCATCTTTTAGTACATTTACTCTAATCATAATAGAACTATTCACTCTTCAAACAATCTGCTTCTATTAGGTCCCAGTGATTAATCAGCTTGTGTCAATTCGACGGGCCTGTTGGTCTGATAGTTAGTGACCCTAACCGCTAACGCCGGTGGTCGTGGGTTCGATTCCCACATGTGTGATAAGTACGATAATTTTTTCTGTGTCTGGGTGTAAGTTATCTATAATTTGTATTATTTTATATATAGTATGTATTTAGAAATATATAAGTATGTTTATCAGTAATTTATTTTATAACTTCTTGCATAAATACATGCATCGGCGGAATGCCTAAGGCATTCTCTGCCAGTCGACCGATTGGGCGATGCTGAGAAAGAATGAGGTAGGTGCATTTATGGGGGGTAATAAATGATAGAGGTTTTCTTAAATACCAACTATCTTAGAATTTGGTTGTATACTTCTGAATACCATACACACATACACATATATAAATCCATATTTATTATAAAAAATAAAATAATTTTAGGCGATGAACTAAGAGCTCGTTGAATCTGCCATATGGTTATTGCATAACAGTTGATATTGTATTGTTAAGTAAGTAGGAGCGGAAGGGGAATTGCGGATAGTGTTCATAATTGTAAGTGCGCGCATTTTCCTGCATTGACGAATAGGTAACCATCTTAGCTGGGAACGAAAACGAGAGAAATGGTCATACTTACGAAAATTCGCTCGACCGATCCGATTATTGTATGAGAGCGAGCGACCTGTGTTGGTAAACAAATCCAAAACAATACAACTGTTATTTTCGTAAATTTAAGTTTAAAAATGAGAAAATTGTAATAATTTGATTAAAACTTACTTACATATGAAAGGTAACGCCATCTTTTTGCAAAACTTGATGTGGCAAATCTCTTTTTGTATCTTCTTTTTGTTAGCAAAAATCTAACCAATTCGGCATTATTGTAGGACAGCTACTATCGTCTACTCAACAGCCCAACTAGATTTAGTCTAGTGAGCGGTACGACCGCAACTAGTGTTATTGTACTCATATGACCGTGTGGACTTATACATATGGCTGACGCTCATTGTCCCCTTAGTGACTATAATTACCCTCAAATGTGGAGAATGGTGGTCATTTTTTTTTTCAAGTTTAATAGCTCTGCACGGATGACGTAGTGGTTTAAGTGGTCGCCACACCGCTTCCTACTACATGACACTTTGAGTGATCCACAAATTGTTGTTCTGAGTCTGGGTGTTCTTTGTGTCCGTTTAATACGTGTTTCTAAAGTCCCCCCAGGAATACATTCCTAATGCGGGCGTTGTCTTTTTCTAAAAAATAAATAAATGAAAGAATAGATATTAATTTGTGATTTCAAAGGCAACGAAACTATCTAAGGCTGATAGTACAATAATTAAACTACCATAAGAGTTAATTTTCATAAAGTCTAATACATGTTTTGTGTTTTATTTATTAATTCTTGCTTAAGTGACTCCCATTATCACCTTTTCCCCTATTCTAACAAGCGGGAACACCCAACAACAAGGAAGGAAGGAAATCTTAATAGTTGGCCCTAATTTACGATTAACACTATATTTTTGCAATAGAAAAAAACATAATAATTGGTTTTATGTTTTTAAAACTACAGTAATCTATTACAAAACAATCTCATTTGCTAGTAGAAAAATGAAAATTAAGAACATTGGAATTTTAAATGAATGAATAATGATGTAAGTAGGTAAACAATATTTAATTAATAGTAAAATTAATACCCTTAACTTTATCATGTTTTAAAATCATGGTTTCCTTAACCGTGTTCGAAACACTACACATGCCATTTACATGAACACCATTATACCTACATTTTAAACTTTTCGCCTAACAGCACTCAATATACTTACAATTAAAAATCTCTTTAAGGTCTCGTCGTTTCTCTTATTCGTCCACGATAGGGGACCATTATATTTATCGTGCAGAGCGAGAGTGCGTGGAACTCTGCCGTCTCCTTCTGCGAGCAAGTTATGCTCGCGAAGGAGACGGCGGAGCGGGACCGTTAGAGGTTTAGAACTCTCCCGGCCCGCCAGGCCCGGGAACGGACCAGGTACCGCAGGCGGCTCAGTCGCCGGAGGCCGCAGAACGACCTCCGTCCTCCATAAGCGCAGGCCTGGGGGTGACAGGTGAGGCCATCTGGCACCTTAGCAGAAGCAGGCCGGGGTGGGGCGGCGAGCGCGTTGCGAAGCGCGCTCGCTTCCAGGGAGCAGAGGGAACATGGGGTTCCCACACGGGGGGCGGTCGTCTACTCGTCTGTAGATGGCCCGAGGTATGTCGGGGCACCAGGGACTTTCTTTCTAGGGTACACCTGGTTCCCCGGCTATTAGTACCCGAGACGGCGAGCGGTTTTAGTCGGTTCGAGTCCGACATGCCACCGATAGGTGGGTGGTAGGTAGGGATTTCCGCACGGACAAAAAAAAGGGGACCATTATATTGTTGTGGACGGAAAAAACTCAAATGACCAAGAAAAAAATAAGGTAAATTTACCTTATTTGATTTAATAAAATTCTAAACGGCCCTTGGGCCATTTAGAATTTTAGATCATTTGAAGAAGTAAATCAATCCTCTTATACAACTTGAAAATCTCGTTGATTCAATCGAGAGAGAATCGAATTATTTAAATTATTGGATTTTTTTCAAAACATGAAAGAAGTCATTGTTTACCTACCATGCAAGATGATCACCAAATCACTATGTAACATCACCTTCAAATATCATTCCTCTCTTAGATTATTGACCTATATGATTGCTCTATTTGTGATTTCAATCAACCTCAATCCTTTGACGGTCCACCGATCAGATGACAGACATTTTTGAAACCCTTTTAACCCTACGATTTTGATTTAAATATACAATTTTACGTAGTTTTAATTCAATATAAGTACAGTGCTGAACAGACTTCGGCAATAATCTTGCTCATTACTGATTTGGGCTTTCAAACTCAAAATATCATTATTTCATAAAAAAAATGTTTGACATCGTCTTACGTAACATCTAAAGTCAGTCATAGATTCTGTTTTATCAAATTCTAACTTTTAGCAGCTCCACCCGCGTAGGTAAATGTCGGTTATCGCAGTAAAAAGTAGCGTGTCTTTTCTCAAGAATCAAAGTATCTTCATACCAAATTTCATCTAAATCGGTTCAGCAGCTATTGATTCCCCATACAAATTTCCACCCTCCTCTAAGGGGGTGAAAAGGGTTTACCCCCTAAAAGATGTTTTCTAGGATAAAAAGTACCCTGTGTCATTTCCTGGGACTCGGACGATCTCCGTACCGCGGTTTAAGCGTGAAGAGGTAACAGACAGGTCTTTTTTCACATTTATAATATTAAGTATGGATTTAGCAAAACCTATCAAAAGCACTAAATCCCTTAAGTTTGTAGATGTCATAAAATAACACTATGATGGCCAGTTTCTTGTTGAGATGTCAAAATTGTTAACTAATCTAAAAAAAAAATACCATTGTAGAACAATTCCCTTGCACTGTCTATATTTAATGGTCACTACAACAGCAGCTGCATTAACACCATCGTACATGCTTGCAAAACGAGCAGTGATCGTTTAAGTTCACACTTGAGCAAGGCCGGTTTTGTCTTGTTTGGTGTATTCCGTCTACACCACACAAGACAAATCCGCCACCTTCACAACACTTGTTTTTCCGAATTTTGAACTCTGGTATATTGGTGATATTAGTTAGAAATAAGGCAGTTATGGAAAGGATTTTTCGCCATTTTCAGTGAACCATTATACTCGTAGTAGGGGAGTTATATAATGTATCCACTTTCAGCGGTGGGAAAAGCTTCTACAGGTTATCAAAAATGTAAGGGGGAAATCGAAAAAGGGAACATTTGGACACATCAGATATTTTGGGGATATGTTATTTGGATGCCGACAATGCTCCCATTGCAAGTTCTGACGATTTTAGACTGAGACAAGCTCGTAGCGAATTATCGAAAATGCAAACTGCAAGTTCTAAAAATCGTCATTTCGAAATACCCGAGCGTGTTAGATTTTATACAGACCGTTCAGCTTAATATTCCTGTCATGCTCGCCAAAAATCTGACGATAATTTTGTAGGGTATTTTAAATCTGACATTTAAAGATTTCTTGCATTGTTTGCTACATTATAAAAAAATTACAAGATCATGTGTTTTTTTTTAGAATTTTGTGACCCTCCCACTGCCTTAAGTCACGCTCAAATCGTGTGATTTTTTAAAAATAAACACTAATGTGTATGTTATTAACCCAACTTACCTTAATCTTACACACTCGAGTATTTCTGACCATCGATTTTTTTTAACTAATCTGATGGGCTGCCCTAGACACTCGGCTCTATATGTAGGGTTCATGTATGGTACAGGTACTCAACTGGGTGTAAGGTATTCCTTATATACTAATCTGAAACGCTCGAGTAAATCCTAAATAATAAATAATTATTACTAATTATTATTGGTATAATTATACAGGTGTGACAAAAACATGTGGTCATAATACTCCGTAAATAAAGTACACCGATAATAATTTTAGGGAACTGATAGTTTTGAGAATTGAGTGATAAAGATAATATTTATTTAGGAAACTACTGACATGATTGTTACCAAGAATACTTGAATACCCAGGATTTTCATAAAATGTTCAATTTTTCATAACAAAATTTATTTTCATGAAACTTCACAACATGTTCTTTAGGTAATATTGTGTATGTACACCAGGCATTTCTCAAAATAAAAGTAACTAAATCATTGCTTTTCAATTTTCTATTCTACTATAAATCGACTACACATAAGATTCCAAAAATATGACAACACCTTTTTCTAACACCGCTATCACGGATGAAAGCAGTTCTATCAAAACGGGATTAATAATAATAATATTTTAACACATCTGACACACGGCGGTCTGATCCCAAACTAGTCAGAGCCTGTACTATGGTTCCCAGACTGCTGAAATGAAATGAAATGATATTTATTTCTGTAAGTAAATCTTTTCAGATATTTTTACAAGTCGGAATCTGATAAACATAATTATATATTTCTAAATACATACATATTATAGATAAAGTACACCAAGACACAGAACAATTGACCGTGCTCATCACACAATTATTTGTCCTGGGTGGGAATCGAACCCACGACCGCTGAAGTAGCAGTCAGGGTCACTAACCACTAGACATACAGGCCAGTCAAATAATTATGTCAGCTATGGCCACACCAATAATGTATATGTTGTAAATATATATTTTGTCGTATTAATTACGTGAAATCCAGCAGACTCACTTTGTTTTATAACAATTGCTTTTACCAAAAGAGATTGTGTCCGCTCAACGGTCTAAGGTGTTTAAGTTTATTTGTTATGTCTGCTTAACGATTTAATGTGGAGACCAAGCGACCTATTAAAGGCCTTGTTTATTAATCAATTTTTTTAACCAGTGTTAGCTTTAATAACAGCCTTTGATCATTGGGAAAATATTAGCAAGATTGTGTAAATTAAAAAACGTATGTATAAAAAATAATAGTGATTATTTTTATTTATACAAATTAACAGATCTTAGTGCTCAAATAGTAAAAAACAATTATATTAATAACTAAATAAATAGGAAAGTGCATGGATTAGAAAATAAAAATTGTTCAAGTTAGCTCCTCGCAAATAAAAATAAAACTGATTATAATCACAGATGAAGCACAAATTTGAGAGCTCAATTTCTAACCGACTAATTATAACTATTTGCAATTCATTTCATTAAAAAAAATAGAGTATATCATATTGACACTTTGACTAAGGAAACATTCAGTACAATTTTGTCATTGTTAAATATTAAATAACATTAAAAATAACTTAAATTACATCTGGTGAAAATACAAATGTAAATAAAAGTCAACAAATACATTAATAATATATGAAATGGTACATTTTATTTGAGGCACAATTGAGCCTCTGGGATTACGTTATAATAATTTTTATGAGCAATTTGTAAATGGACATTAAATATCTTATTTTTTGTTAAATAACCTTGTCTCAAAAATGTAGACTCTTATTCAGTAAATACCAATTATAATCTTAAACTGTTTAATATCTTACATATTTAATCGATAACATTTTTGTACCGTTCCATACAAATCCAAACTATTCTATCAAATAAGGCCAGTAACCCCACAATGACGTCATTGTGGCCACTGGCTGACTCACTGTACAAAACTCAAACACACAAGGCACTGATTTACTAAGAACATAGTACCTGGGTTTTGAAAGTTTGCAATAGACTTACGTGTATAAACATAAATTGTTTTGACTTAACAGGTCAGTTAAATAAAATACTATCTAGATAATTTAGAATAAAGCTAAAACCAGAGTCTTTATCATTATTTCATCATACCTATAAGCTTTGCAAAATTCCTCCATTTGATATATTCATAATAATACTTCCAAAATTTACTAAACTTCGAGATATTCTATATCATTTACACATACATACATATTTAAATTTTAAGGCATTTTGAGGCACTTGATTTTACAACCATATCAAGCTTGTTGCACGGTGGATATAGCTACGGACTGATAACGTTTTAAAATACAGTAACATCGTCACTTACGCGATATTTTACCTTGTTAAGTAAATAAGCGAAATATTGTTTCTACTTACGACACCAGTACCGCAGTCATCCATACAGCATATATCGTTGCTATTACTGTATCCCCACTATGGCAAAACATCAATAAATTATTCAACTACAATAAGATTGTTCGATAATATAAAATTTGTAGCTTGGTTTGTGCTTTTTGTTACGTAGTTTGTTCTTTGACTTCTCACTTAGTTCTTACGTTTTCATGAAGACCAATCAAAGGAATGGATTCGAGTTCACAAATCCGCCGTTGTTTGTAGCTTGCTAAAAAAATAAAATATGATAAGAAACAGCCAGATTCCAAAATTCCAGTTCGTCATAATAATATGATATTCAAGAAAATGAGTCATTTTAATTCGACTCTTTTAAAGCATAATATTTATGTTGACAAAGGTTTTAGGAATTCACACACACTTAAGGCAGATAACTCTACAATATCAGTGTTTCCTGACAAAATGATAACATTATCAAAATACACGCGTCAGTTTATTAACATTCACACAATGTTCCTGAATCATTTTAGTATGCAGTCAATTTATTCATAGTTATTGCTTACGAATAAATATAGGCAACGGTTATAACTCTGTATTCTTTAACATTTCAATCATTTTGCGCTTTGAATGTTACAAAATTATTTTCTTTTTTAAAGAGTTCCTTTGATCAAAAGCACTACACTTCCTATAACCAAAGTAAATCAGCTCGGGCCACAGCCTGACTACATTTCTTCCTTTTAAATTCTCGCATCCACACCTATTCGTACCTGCATAACTCAAACTAACACATCTTATAAATTAGCACAATACTCTCACGCTACACACCTTATCATACACTACCACTGCACACATTATCCACAGAAACACTCTCAAAGCTTCTGGTTTCTAATAAACTTTAACTTTATTCAATAATTTTTGAATTTATTCCTTGATTTTATTTGTTTTCTAATATTGTATCCTAACATCTTTTGGTTCAGTAGATAAAGTACATGCGGAAGGGGCCTGGTAACCCGTATTACAGGTTGTGCATTAGCACAAACCTACAACAAACACCAGTTTCTCACAATGTTCAATGTTGTTGTTGAATGTTAAGGAAAACATTGTGATCAGAAATAAATAATTATTATTATTATCTTATACCGAAAATCTATTGTAACATGTATAAACAAAGTGTTTTATAATTGTGCTATGAAGACAACTACATATTTGTGTGAGTATGGTGGCAACAGATATCAGTAAATCGAACCCACACCTGACGTACAGGCAGGTGGGCGGCTATCAGTATTGACCACCTGTATGCAAATGATACGCGCTTTAATTAGTCACTGCTTATTTATATTTTGTCTCACTCGAAACGCAATCTGAATATGTAATCCGTTAAATGTAATTTATTCATAATCAAAATATTGTAACAGATTTTAATGTTGTCTGTTTTTTTGTTAACTGCTGCTAACCAATGTTAACAAAACGGTGCGGCTGCGTTGGCCTTAAAGCTACGATGTCGTTAATTAGAATGAGTGGATTTTAAAGTGTGGAGATGTAGTTTTTAGAAATGAATGAAAAATGGATTAACAATTATATTTGGAATGATATGATATAACTTTTAAGTAACAATTTTTATGACCCTGGAGTAAATTTTGGAACTCTGCAAGTGAAAAATTTTAGTTTACAAATTATTACCAAAGACTATTTGTAAAAAGTTTAGGTAACATTCAAGTGGTTAGCGGATGACAGATCACAGAGTAGTCAAGGCTAAACAAAAATAGAGGACGGTTCGCCCACCTTAACTGTATGTAGATCGGCAGATAAAATTACTTTGCCAACATTATCTTGCATAGGTCCCCTGAGAAGACATTAGAAATAAACAGCCGCAACTAGGTTAACATGTGAATATTAAAGCGGGAAAATATTTGTATACCTACATCGTCACTAAAATATATAAATATATATAGGTACTGGAATAAACGCGTATAACATGCCTTTGAATCGCCTCGATTACATCGCGAAAAAAATAGTAAAAATATCGAAAATGTGCGGGTGGATGATGAACTGTGTACCTCACGAGTTCGATGACGGACGGACGGAACTACTGAGCCAATGCAACCTGGTTGAAATATCAAGCACTTCAAAAATATTTATTGCGTGATCACGTCAATATATTTACGTATTTGTACCAAATACATTCTCATGGAACGAAAAAATTTAAAAAGCCAAAGACAGCTGTTGGTGCTTCCGGCTAATGTGCTTCCTGTCGAAGCAGAAATGGCCCACGTTTTGAACCACTGTGTCTTTGTGTGTCCCTCTGATTAAAACTGGCTACCAACAAACGGTGGGGGGGGGAGGTTCGCTGACTTCACTACGTCTAAATTCTCTACAAAAAGTTACTTAATAAACTGTTAAATTACTAATTGATTACTAACAATGGTGAGCAGAGACAATCGTTATGTTGAGTAAATCAATTAGAAGTCTTTGCCGTAGTGGTGTTTAATGGAAATGGAAAATGACTAATTGCACAGCAAATAATATTTAACTTAAATAAAGACAATGTACTTATAGATAAAAATAGAAACCAAAAGGTTAGTAGAACGTCATTGTAGTTGTTGATTTCGTGCCAAATATCGCACTAGACTAATTCTAAGTAAATAATCTTTTGGGGACCCGTATCCAAACAGTGGATGAAAAGATTGATGATTTTGCCTTCGATGTCCGTTTGTCTATATGTCAGTCATCGAACGAATCGTAATAAGTAGACAGTTTTAGTGATTATATATTTCAATAGCCGCTATAACAAAGAAAATAACTTTTGAACCTTGCCGGTTTCCTGATTTATACTGATAATTATTATAATTGAACGCGAACTAAAGTGATAAATCAGATTGCCAGAGTCTCCAGTTAATGTAACCTATTAATATGGTTTTCAAAAAAATAAATGTAAAACTTAAAGATGGAGGCCTCCATCCAAAGATGGTTTCTTCATAATAATAATAATAACATTTGAAGTTGACTGTAAACAGTCGTGTATGTTTACTTTAATCAGTACAATATACGAAACTGTATACTGCTAACTAATACATACAACATCCTTCAAGGATACTATGCAGAAATGATCTATACAATGTTTTCGTATGTGTATTGAATTAATTTAATCGTGACTACTAATAATATTATACAACATGTTAAAAATATATTTTTCAGATCAGGAAGAACTAAAATATAAAGGCTAATATATTTTTTTTTTATTTTTTTTTTATATTTTGTAGTATAGTTTGTAAATACAATGTAAGGGGGGAATGAACCTTCAGACTAATTATAACGTAAACAATTTTACTTTACAAAAAGTGCAACTATTTGGTTTTTGGTAGTGAAAGGTGGTCTTTAAAAATGGTTTGAGTAATTCATACGAATTATAAGCAATCTTGGGATAACTTAAATATAGAATTATTGGTGCAGCAATTTATTCTTTTATATATCTAAGGCCCAAGTGCGAGTTTATATCACATTTACCGCCGGGCCTGGCCCGCACCTCTCTTCTTCACCAATCCCAAGGCCGAACGCGCTCACGGTCCAGAGCGAGTTAACGAAAATTGTGTGTGAAATTAACTTGCACTAGGCCATCTGATCCGATTCTATCCGATAGCAACGAAAGTATAATCCGATTTAATTTAACGGCATCGCCACCTGTCGAAGTGAGATATTCTACTATTTGGGCTGAGGCAGATATAAATTTTTGCGTGTATTGTAAACGACACACTGGGGTGTCGTTAACAAATGTTTTTTTTGTTAAAGACAAAAACCGTAATGATATTCTAACACAAATTTATGCCTTTATCGATATCAATTGTTTTGCATAAGATCCCGAGCATAGCCTTTTAAAAAGCTTTTTCCAGAAGATACCACAAGTTGCTTTAAAGATAGAAGATAAAGTGAAACAAAAATACGATGAAAAAAAAAAGAATAGTTATTGTATTATTATGGTAGAACCAACTAAATCTTATATATAAAATTCTCGTGTCACAATGTTAGTTACCATACGAGGAGTATGGTAACTAACGAAACGGCTGGACCGATTTTTACGAAATTTTGTGTGCACATCGGGTAGGTCTGAGAATCGGCCAACATCTATTTTCTACCCCTAAATGACAAGGGTGACCCACCCCTAATTTTTATTTTCAATATTTCCTAGAAATAATGTATACGGCAAAACAACGTTTGCCGGATCAGCTAGTTAATTTATAAAACTATTCAGTTTTATAAATTAATTTAGTTGGTTTTTTGTTGTTATGATTACAATTGTTGTTTTACGAATCCCTGTTAACTCGACCAATTTTAACATTATCATTATAGATTGAACATAACGAATTGTTTTGCTTCACGTTATACATCACTAGTCGGCAGTGGTGTGGGTAACAAAAAAAAAATGTAAACGACAAACAGTTACGTAAATTATAACTAAAAACGCATTATCCTACTGTATCCCTATATAATACGTCAAAATATAAGTATATACCAATAATGCGTGTCGTGTGCTATTTTTGATCTATCTAATTGATCTTTTTCGCGCGTTTTCAGCGGCTTTCAAAGTTACCAGAAAACTTTTACTTTTTACAGTTTTTCTCTTTCGATGTGCGGACCTTATATATTTACGAATCTAAAAGTAGCTAGTAGTATTTTGAATCTGAAACCTAAATTCCCAGTGGGATTCAGACACTAGTGCAGAAACAATATGTTTTTTAGATTGTATTTCATGATAGAAATAAATTAAAGTTTCTTTGTAAAACAGGAACCTTAAAAATTTATATTAATAAATACAGTATAATTTAGAGCCTATTTAATTTAGAGCACAGCAGTGTTTGCTTTGAAGTGCAGGTTAACCGGGACAGCTATTTTAAGATATCAGTAAGGTGGTCCTGACTACAAGGGGACTGCAGACAGGAAATAATAAGTAGCAGGACCTAGTTTATTTGCAAGCCTATCAAAAAAGTGCCCAGTAAAAATTAAATTCCTTCAAATTAAAAACCGCCCCTTATTAGATCAATGAATAAATTGATGTATAAAAAAGTCTTGTATATTTACTCAAGTTTCAACATCATCAGCCTATCGTAGTCCACTGCTGAACATAGGCCTCTCCCATTGCACACCACTTAGATTGATTTTGGGCTTCTCGCATCCAGCTCCTGCCAGCTATCTTGCGCAAATCGTCGCTCCACCAGGCCTATGGGCGACCTACACTATGTTTGTCGAGACGCAGTCTCCACTCAAGAACTCGTCTTCCCCAACAATTGTTACTCAAGTTTAGTATCACTCATTTCTACACCACCCCAAGATAGACTGGCAGAGAATGCCTATACTCACCTATGTACATCTTTTTTGCATGCATTAAAAAGCATGAAATAAAAAATAAATAAATAAAGTTAAAAAATATTTCTTACCATGAAAGGGTTGACAGGTAATGGTGCTGTAGTATTACTCCATCCTCCATTGAAAAAAGGGTTTTTATTAGCAAACAGATCATTGGTTGCAGGACTTTGGAATGGATTTTTATTTGTTAGAGCATTATTTTCCTCTGTAACAAACATAAAGAATAAACATATAGACATATTATATTTGTATACAATGATATTTATAACCTTCCATAATAATTTGAGTAATTATTAAGAAAGGTCCACTACAACACCATAAAAAAGTGTGTTTAAACAAATTAATGTTTTCAGCTGTACTATATGTGTATGAAACATGGTACAAAATAATGTATTAATAAAAACAATTTAATCAGTCACTGATAACTTATATCTAAAAATGTTTTCCTCTTAAAACACATTCCATGTATATTTATATTATACCTAACACTGAAAATTTAATAATATATATACAAATTGTCACAATTATGTAGTAAAATACTTACCCATGTGTTTCATATTCTGCTGTCTAAGTGCCAGATCTAAATCTGCTAACGCTGCATATCGATCATCTATAAAAAAAATATATCAATATGACACTTGTGACCATCACACACTGGCTACTCATAACCATTTATACTTACTCGCTGGAGCGGAAGGACTAAAGGCATTAAATGCAGATGTGTTCATCAACGGAGAAGATGTAAAATTGTTATTGACATTACTGTTGAACTGACTACTGTTATAAATATTTGCTGTTGTAAAGTCAACAGGAAAACTGTAAGAAAAAATAATATTGGATAATGATGTGATATTATCACAATTACATTCTGTAGTAGTTATAGCACTCACTCAGGTACTGGGGCGGGTACTGCAGCAGGTACTGAGGTGTGCACAGTGGCAGGGACTGGGGCGGCATTTATAGCATTCAGTAGAGGTTGCGCTATGTTGTTCACTGGCTGAACTATCCTATGACTTATGTCATTAGAAGGTAGCAAATTGTTCACTACTTTAGCAGTTTGTATTGCTGAATTATTATTGACTGTATTCTTTGAAGTTTGCGGTAAAATCGATATCAGAGGCGTCGGAACAGCATTACTTCCGGCCTTTACTTTCAGTTTGTTTCTCGTTAAATTCCCATTGATTGAAGTGTTAGTATTTACTGGCGCGTCCAAATAATAACGCTTCTTTTCATACTTGTCAGACATGAAATCCTTAACGCTTTGTTCGTCCGTAAAATTAACACTTTCACCCTCGTAAAGTCCTAACCAAACACGCCTACAGTAGTCATTTCCCTTTGCTTTTATAAATTCTAATTCTTCTGGCGTGAATGTGGCCATGGAGATAGACTTCACGCGGTGAGGCGGCGTAAGACCGCGCCTGAAATATAATACAACCATCTATTTGTTGATCTTTTTTATCATCAGACAAAGCAGAATAACGTAGAAACAATACTTACAACATTCCCGAACATTTTGAACACACAAAAGAACCGATCGTAGTATTTACGTATGTAGGTCCTCTTTGGTTACAATCTAAACAATACTTGTTACCATTTAGTGAAATAAGTTCCCGCAAAATTTCTAAATTTTTATCGTCCTGTTTGCGACGATTTGCAGCCATTTTTTGTATTCTATGTGTGAGTGAGTAATGTTTTATTTATGTATCAACTAAATGTTACACCGAATTAAGCTTGTGTGTGTTTGAGTTTTGACTTGATTGGTTGACAGATGCGGTTTGCGGGGTTAGGGGTAACTGTTTGAAAGTATTTATTTCGTTCAATCTAGGCATGGAACAAAATCACAGTGAACTGTGACTGACCGGAGATTTATCATTCGATTTTTTCGTACATTAGATAGGGTTACTTTTAGGTACTCACGCATTGTTGCCAATATGCTGTTTTCAGACAATGTATAAAGACCCTATTTCGCCTATTTAACAGCAAATCTGGTAATTATTTTACTCCCTACATAATAATTGAAAAAATACTAGATTTACTGTTAAATAGCGTCTAGCCTACCTGCCAGCAACCCTAACCTACGAACGCAAAAATCGAATGATAAATTACAATTCACTGTGTCCCATGTCTAGTTCAATCCTGTTCAATCAATTGCTTCTTGTCTTTATCAATGGCGATATTGCCAGATGTCACAGTTTAATTGTATGGACAAACTGTAAAAAGCCTGTGGCCCACCACTATAATATTATTTTTTCTTACCGCGAACTGCATAATTGAAGCCTTCTTTCCATATTACTCCAACAGTATGATGACATGTTACGTTTTTCTTTCTGATAGTGACTACTGACTTAGCGTCCGGCAATTTTTTTTAGAATAAATATTTAAAACAAGGTACCAATTTTTATTAAAGTAAAACTTCTTTACGCACGCTACGACGAGAGCGTTACGAAAAGTGTGATCGGGCGAGTCGAACGAAAATTGAGAGAGAGATATAAAGAGAGACAGTTACGTTTCGTATATTGTTGGGGCTAGAGCGAGAGGTGCGAGCACACATTTTCTTACTCTCTTCACACATAGCCAAGAAGTTTTACTTCAGTCGTGTGGTCTAAAGCACACTCGTTTTTTAGTTCTCCTTGCTAAAGGATTCATTTTTATTATTACAAATACGCAAAATACTATAAAACCATCTTTTTATAAAATAAAATGTTTTTTAGTGCGAGAAAACATAATTGCAAAGAATAAGGTCCCAAATGATCCACCACGCATAATAATAATGTTGGAGAAAATAAAATAGCAGCCACTTTTGATCACGAAAATCGCGGGTGTTAAAAATAAGTTATTTATGTAAAATTAGCAGCTAGTTATATACCTACCTACCTACAAGTTACGATCGTTTTTCATTTGTTCTCCTCCACGAGATTGCAATATTAGCATTAGCAATTAACATGTTAAAATGCAATTAACCTTCTTTCTAAGGAGAGGCCTATGTCCAGCAGTGGACTATTAAAGGCTGTTGATGTGATGTGATGTGATGTTAAAATACAAGTTTTTTTTTTATTAAGTCTAATTTTCTTAATTCAGTTGCTACTAGTTTGCAACATGTCATTAATATGCAGAAGAAACAATGTGGGTGATAGCAGACAGCCTTACGGAACACCAGCATTTACAGATTTGAGGTCGGCGTATGCACCGTCGATAACGACCTTAATGCTTCTGTCTGCAAGGAAAATGGTGAGCTAGTTGCTTAATTTGACTGCCTCGGCGGTACATTGGTAGCATATGCGACTGTTTAGGCGAGGTCTCCGGTTCGATTTGTATGATCTGCAAATATTTGTTTCTGACTTTGGGTGTTTTCTATGTATAATATGTATCTATTTACAAAAAAAAAGTATATAAGTATTCTATTCTATAACTTGATTGACTAATAAGTCAATCAAGTTTTTTAGTACAAGCTCTGCTTAGTTTGAAACTAGATGGAGTTGTGTTTCAGATGTCCTAAATATTATTTTTATTATTAATTTCTCGGGCAGCCAATAGGAAGGTAGTTTCGAGAGAAGCGGGTTATGCCAGATCCGATCGAAGGCCTTCGCTATGTCCAAGCTAACTACACAAGCCTACTGGAGGAACTTGGAGTTTATTACAAATTCCATAATCTTTGAGAATAAGGGGATTATGGCTATGGGCTTGTAGTTGGACGGATCAAAGCGGTTACCTTTTTAGGGAATGGGTGCACAAACGCTACCTTCTAGGAGTTCGGGACGACGCTCAGGAAGTAGAAGAGTAAAAAACAAAACGCGTTAAAACTCGTGCCAACTATGGAGCACACGTCTCTAGCACGAGATAGGAGAGATCCCATCTGGCCAACTCGGTTTATGAATATCGAGGAAAAAGAATACTTTATGCACTAATTTTTAGGTGAACCATATGCATACAGATTTTATACCGCGGTATGGTCGGCGTTACCTTTTCCCCACCATCCAAAGTCGAGTTGGATGCAAAGAGTTTGTCTAGGAGATCGGCCTTTTCCTTGGCATCATGGGCCAACGAATTAACTCCCATCTGCAAAGGTGGAAGGGATTGACTACAGATATTCCCCTGGATATCCTTGACTGCACGGATGGCGTAGTGGTTTAAGCGGTCGCCACGCCGCTTCCTACTACGCCGAGTGTTGTGGGTTCAAACCCCACATGGGACGACACTTTGTGTGATCCACAAATTGTTGTTCTGAGTCTGGATGTTCTTTGTGTCCGTTTCATGTATGTTTGTAAAGTCCCCCGCGACACAGGATTTATTCCTAATGCGGGCGTTGTCTTTTTTAAAGAGAAAGAAAGAAAGAAGAGACCAGAATGCACGAGTTCCAGAAGGAAGTCTCACTAGTCTCTCACCAATCCAGCTGATGTGCTTCGATTTCATGCTAAAATTGGTTCTTTTGAGGGACCTGCTGACAAAGTCGTATTGTTTTTTAGCGTATTTGCCATGCTTGGTAACATTCCTGCTTTTAGCGGGACGCCGTTTTGCAGGATCTGTTGAACCAAGGCTTGGATCTGCCATCGATGGAAATTGATGTAGATTGAACGAATAGTTCTATGCCCTGAAGCCATCCAACCATCAGTGGCAGAATAGGTAATGACAATAGGATCATCCGGCAAGAAACAAACCTGCCTCCAATGGTAGGACGCAAAGAAAGAACGCATCCCATCCCAGTCCTCTAACCTGTAGTGCCATACGCGGCGGCGTCCCGCAAATCGTACATGAGTCCGGTTAAATAATGGCCCGAGGAGCCAAGTGAGGCCTCAACGGTGACTTTGTAACCGTTCAGAGGTCAGCAGTAAAGGCCTTTCCACATCTGGGACTTGTGTGGGTGTTGAAACTATTTGTGACAGTCCAAGTCAGGCCGAAATCGTGAACAGATCTCCCCGCGGGATGGGTTTCGCGTGTGCCAAGTCATTCGGCGCTGTGAGCGTTAAATCCGGCTCCGGAAATTTTTATTTGTATTGAGTGATTTCAATGACTTAAATGGCAAAGTAGGAGATTATTATTTATTGACATATCTTAGTGATAGTTAGTCGTCTTTATGTAGTTTTAGTATAAACAAAAAGAGATTACATAGAATTAAACTTTATTTTTTAAAAAGGTTTTCGATACATCACTTCCTTTTTCCTTTTTGTTAGCTATTCTGGACCCAAATTGTAAAGCTCTTTTAGGCAAAAGGACAGCATCAGATAATCCGAGGCTTAGAGCAACTAGTCTCAACATGAGCTTATCTCCAACACCCACACCCAACTCTTCACTGGGAAAACATCTAAAAAGTATAGTATGTTAATAGTTGTAACATCACGATTTGCATTGGTAAAAGAATACAAAGAGACTGGATTATAAAGACCTTAACCATGGTTTTAAAGATAAAACATATTTTGTGAAATCTTCATCTAGATAAGGCATCCTTGGTTGTCTTCCATGGTCACATATAACTCTATTGTCTCGGGCCAAATTCCTAAAGGAAATTCTTTTCCAATCCAGTTGCAATTCTTTGCTGAGTCCTTGCCAACCATTCCGTCTGAATGCATTTCTATGGCGGACATATCCACCAAATAGTTCATCTGCACCAGATCCTACTAACAATACCTGGAAAGATTGTTGTCTCATAAGTTTGGGTACAACAAGAGTACATAAAGCTATTCTTTATATATTCTCCATATTACTCTGCTAGTAGATATGCTTCTATCATCTTGACCTCTAGCTGCAAACCACAATGCCGTTCCAAGACTTTCATCTAGTATAGTTTGTCTAGGATAAACAAGATCTCCTATAGTCTCAGCTTGGTGTTTATCTAGTTCTTGTTTTGGTACATTAACTTCCTTTAAAACCCACTGTCTAAAATATAGCAATAGTGTAAATGTTACAAATGTATAACAATAAAAGATCTTACTTAATGTGCCTAAAGTTCTAATAGGTTCACCTTGTTGGACACAGTGCTTCTAGTTCTAGTAATGACAGTTTGCCAGTAAGTCTGTCAGGCACATCATAGGAAGCCTTGTCATCTTTCCTAAATGCAACATTAATAAGATCAATACTTTGTTCTTTGGGTAAAAATTTGTCAGCTAACAAAGCCAATATTGTACAATCTAGACCACCTGAAAATAAGACTCCAACTGTGCAGTGATTACAATAATTAATTTCATCACCTATACATTCCTTGCATTTCATAGGCTGTCTTTTTAAACGTAATTCAACACTTTTTTCCAACAGTTCAACAATTTTTAAGACATGCTCTTTTACAACAGGATGTTCTAGTATGTTTTTCAATATGCTCAATTTACATTTTAGTTGTTTTGAAGATTCTATGTGACTTATTACATTGTCCTAAAATATTAACACAAAGGATATTAATAAAACAATTATACTTATATAAATTAGGTAACAAAGGTAGGTGTTTGAAAGATACCTCATCTAATAAGTCTTCCTCATCAAAGTCAAATTCAAATTCATCATCAGGTATGCTTTGTTGCACTCTAAGTTGGGTTAGCCAATCATCCAATGTAAATTCTTCAGGAGACTCTAAGATATTAGTCCATTTATAGAGCTTTAGTTTTTTTGTTACAATATTCATTACTTGAATATGTGTAGCTGGTATTTCAACACAGTCAAATTCTCTACCTGCGAAAAAAAAAGAGACAATAAGATATTCAAACATTATTGTAAATTACAAAGACATTTGGCACTAAAGAAATTGTAAATTAAAAATCAATAATTTGGGTACCCAAGACACTGCTGATAATTATAGTGTCATCAGTTTTGTGAAACAATAAAGAAGTTCTTCCAATTCTATCTCTTGTGAAATATAAATTGTTATTCATTTTGTCATAATAAATTAATGCAAACGGTCCTTTTAATAACTTCAACTGTCCTATAATGTGACTTTCTGAACATTGACCCTGGAAGTTAAATAAATTTGAATTGGTTTTTAGACCCAACATATAGATACAAAAAATATATCAAACACTACTGTAATTTACTTATCACAATCATTTTAATGCTATTTAGTTAAAAAATATAATATAAAGCTACACATAAAAGGTTAGATAAGACAGAAGTCTAATTTATATTTTATTCACAGGATGATTACCTATTATTCATTTATCTGAAGATATAATAATCTTCAGAAAAAATTGCTTTGATTTTGAAATGAATATAAATTTTTAAAATAATTTCTCAGAACTTACAACATCATAACTTAGCTTCTGGAGAATCCGCTGTGTGTCACTGATATTACTATCCCATGTTTCATCAAATATATCACCATTATACAGAAGAACACCTTGATCATGTTTGGCAGGCTGAGGAACTAACTGAAGGCCTTGCATCCATAGCACTGCTCCACAAAAATTTGCAGTTGTACCATCTTCTAAACTAATTTCTAAGGATTGTGTGTGATTTGGGCCTCTATTTCTGATACGTTTTAATATCTTGGCATCCTGAAATTGTACATATCAATAATTTGGTAGTTTTTTGGTAAGGAAATTTGTCATGTCTAGATCGACTCCATGTATTGTATTTTTTTAATTACCTGTTGCACGGCTGAAGCGTTAAAAAAACATATTTTACAAATAATTCCGCACATTGTAGGTTACTTTCTTAAACTTTGAAACTTTTAAATGTCTTTTATGAGTACCTAAGTAATAAAAAGTTCATAGGTTTTATTTAATGCATAATCTATACTACTTTGCACAGAATAATTTTATAACACTGAAAAAACTGAATATTTCTAATAATCCGTTCGGTTAGTGAAAGTATTATAGTAAAAATAATGTAAGAAGCGCATTTTGACAGACGAAACTGAATGAACTTTGAACCACAGAGTACAGTAACAATACTAAATCTTTGTACGAAACTAAAAAGTTAAAACAATTCAATGAATAGTTGATATATCATGTCAAATACACTGCACTGTCGTGCAGTCACAATCTAAACATTAGTCTATGGTATGTTTACCATAGACTAATGTTTAGATTGTGTATGGAGGTATATTTGAGCTAGCTTCACCACTTCACCTTCTGTCAAATTCTGTTTGTGTGTCAAACTGTCAAAGTGAGAGCCTTGAATACGTAAAGTAAAGAAAAACAGAAAAGTAATCGTTTCAAAGCCTTGTTATATGCACTCAAAAATAAGTTTGCGTATATGTTACTCTGACAATGACTTCGACTGATAAAGATGCTGAAAAAAGTGAACAACAAGCTGATGAGAATGTTGAGAATGCAGAAGACGAGAAAGCAGCTCTCGATGAATACATATGTAACCTAGAAGCCAGGGTGAAACAAAAATCTGAATTAAGAAACCAAAATTTAAACTGTGTACGGCCGCCTGAAAACCATTTCTCTAAACTAGACTCAGGGCTAAAGAAGAATACAACTTTTGTGAAGAAGTTGAAGTCATTTAGCGCCGTACAATTGGAGACGCTGTTGAAAGATTTCAACTCCCTGAATCTTACTAAATATATCTCTGAGGTAGCAGGAGCAATCGCTGAGGCTAAGTTGAAAATGTCTGACATTGCAGCTGCAATTACTTTGTGTTCTGTACTTCATCGTACCTATGCTGAATTCTCATCAACCTTCTTTGAAAACTGGCAGAAAATATTGACTTTTAAAACTACCGATAAAATTACAAATTCATCAAAATTACGAGTTGACATAAGATTCTATGCTGAATTGGTTGCTGTAGGCATTTTTACCAACAAGACTGGTTTACCATTACTAGGTAATGTTCTCACTGTACTGATAAATATGGACAAAGAGGATCACAATAATATTCCTATATTGTTATCATTTTGTAAACATTGCGGAGAAGATTATGCTGGTTTAGTTCCAAAGAAAATTAGAGAAACAGCTGAGGTAATGATTTACTTACTTTTTTATTTATTTATTGAACTAAATTTATTTATTTATTAAACTTGAGAATTTTTGCAGAAACTTAATGTGGCATTGCCTAGAAACACATTTTTGACAGCTGAAAAACAAGCGGCTGTAAGAACCCTTTTGAAGGACTACTTCTCATCTTTGAGTAAGCATTTATTAGCAGTGAGGGCACAGTTGCAGGCCCTGCATGCAGCTAATCAACGAACCCTCCACACTAGAGGAGAATTATCACAGGAGAGAAAGGATCAGTTGGAACAACATCAGGTATTTCGGTGTTATTGTTTAGACTCTAAACATTGCAAAGTTCTTTTTTTTTAATGCAGTGTCTGCATGTAGAGAATTAAACGTAGCAAGATAAACTGTTGCTTGAAACACTGCTTGACAGTTGCATGGTTTTAAATGTGTATCTGTAAGAAAATCATGATGGTAACAGTTGATGACAAGGATTGAGAAAGAAGGGTATTACAGCTCAGTTATTCATTTTGACCATGGAAAACCTAGTACAAAATACTTAAAACTATAAGAAGACTAATGATACTGTACTAGTACATAGTTATTTGTTTAAAACGTGCATTAATAGACTGTACATAATATACATAATACTATCTAGTAAAACTTTCTGTTCATATTACATATTATATATACAACTTACACGGTCTAATTGGCTTTCAGGCTACATATGATAAACTTCTAGCAGGTGCCCAAAGCTTTGCAGAAGTTCTTGGAGAGGATTTAGGAGAAGCAGGGGAGCCCCCAACTTTAACATTGACAGTGACTGAGACTCAAGGCACTGTGACTATTGGTGGTAATGAAGAGTTTGCAATGCAGGCTGGTACTGATCCCTGGCAAGACGAAGATACTAGAACTTTTTACACCAGCTTGCCAGATTTGAAGGTTTTCATGCCTAATTACCAGATGAAAGAAGTAAGTTTAAACTAGTTAATTTATTTATTAGCTTTTATTTATTACGTCAATCAAGCTTTCATAATACAAGCTCTGCTTACTTTGAAACTAGATGACATTGTGTGTTAGATGTCCGAAATATTATATATATATTATTATTATTATAAAGACAGGCAGGCAGTTGAAACAACTGATAACAGTCTCTATCCTGAGAGATTCCCATTACTTGTCCTTCATGGATTAAATTTTATATCTGTCGAGTTGTTTTTTTTTTACATTGTAGACAGACATAACTCTGACAAAACAATAGGCTAGTTGACAAAATTTCAATAACTGCTTAATATTTTAGCTTATTAGGCATTTTATCGAAAAAAAAGGTTTATTTATTTTTAATCGAGCGTTTACATTATAAATTTCGCGTATTAAAAAACCAATTTCAATTTGGTTCCAAAACGCACAAGACTGTCATGGCGTCTTGAATGACGTCACGCCGTGCGAAACAAACCAAAGAGCAATCGTGTCTTCATACGTTATAGCTAGTTTTTAACGTTTAAAAATGAATTTCTCATATTATAAGTACTGTATAGTGCCCCAGTGTGATAGCACGACTATAAAAACGCCAAACAAGTTACTTATATATGTTCCAAACAATGGAGAAATACGGAAAAAGTGGCTAAAACTTGCAAGAAGAAATGATGCTCATACTTTATCAACAGGTTCAAGAATGTATTTTTGTGAAGATCATTTTGATGTAAGTATTTCACACAATACAATCTATTACTTAATTCGAGCAAACTAGATGTGTTTTGTAGAATCCCTATTTTCTAAATAATAAATACATGAGTTCAGGTTAAGTTGTTTCACTTTTAGGAGTGAACGTTTTATTTTAGTTTTCTAATTAATGTTACAAACATACTCTTTTTATTATTCTAGTTGCCAAATGATATGATTAATTATATGGAGTATCATATGAAGGGAACAGTATCACAAGTGCGCATCAAACCAGGTTGTATGCCAAGTTGGATGTCAAGAAGACAGAAGAAAACGAACATGCAGCAGTACAGAACGGCCATATATTCTAAAAAACAAAGAAAGATGATAATAGAAGAGTGTCTGAATGAATCAAAAGAAAGTTGTACTCCAAGTTGTTCTCTTATAGATACTTCTGATACAAGTTTAAGTACATATAATATCAAACAACATAACTACCTAAATGATTTAAAGTTTGAAATGGCAAATACCTAGTTATTAACAAACTAGTTATTAACTTACTAGTTATTAACTTTGGAAGTGTTAACATTGCGAAATTCAGATGAGAAAAAGTCACTGTTAGAGGCGAAAAAAATTCCAAGCATAACGGCATCGATTCTGGACAAATTATTACTCTCTGCTTTGCTGAATCCAGATTCCATTGTTAATTCTTTCAAATTATAATTAGAAAAAACTGTATCAACTTGATATTAATTGTTAAAAACCAAAATTTTATCAAGAACCGGTAGTGATACTCGAAACGTCAAAGACAAGATTGGAGTTTCGCACGGCGTGACGTAACGCTTTCTGATTGGTGTTCACTGTCACGTGACTAAAGGTTTCATTTTACAAAATTTATTTTTTAAAAATATTATTAATCTTTAACAAGCTGGTACAAAGCTTAAGATTGTGGCCTCTTAAATGAGTATTGTCATTACTTATAAATATTTTATCAAACTTGAAGGTTGTATTGTCCATTTAAGATCCTATATATTTCAATTAAGTCTCCTCAATCTCTGCGATCCTTTAGAGTTTCAGGATCTTTAGGCGTTCTTCACATGGTCGGTCTTTTCGTGATTGTGGTATCTTAGTCAAACCTGCCTTGTACCTTCTCAAGAAGTTCAATGTCCTTTACGAAATATAGGCTATACATCTGGAATGCATACTCCGACATGGGTCTGACAAATGTTTCGTAAATCTGAAGCATCATTTCTGGTGTTAGAACTCCAAAGGCTTTTTTATTGAGGTAAATTGACCTTGCACCTACCGACTATTACTTTTTCCAAAATTTAGACAACTTTTTAGTGGGTAAAAAATTCAATTCCCGAGAGGCAGTACAAAATGCCTTTGAAGAGTTTCTTGCCTCCCGTCCAGCTGATTTTAACAAGAAGGGCATCAATAAACTGCCAATGCGTTGGCAAAGATGCGTTGATTGCATGGGTGATTACTTCGAATAACACAAATAAAAAAGTTTGAAAAAATAAGTACTTTCACTTATTGCATACAAAACGGCAATTTCATAGGTAAAGACCTATTATATATTTCTTTTTTAATCAGTCCAGAACTTGTCTGGTAAAGATTGCCTTTAAAGATAAGACTGTATTTGACTTCAGCAACATATTCTTGGTGTGCAAAAAAATGAAATTAGTTTATTCTACTCTTGGCCATAACTTGGTTTCATTCTTCATTAATGTCGGGTATCTCATTGTTTTCTTACAGACTGTGAAAAATAAGACTGAGACAGTAACAGAAGAAATGTTGGATGAAGATTTGAAAGAAGATGAACTAAGTGATAATGAAGCCCCCCCTCCTACAGTTCCTGAGATGGAGCAAGAAGAAGTACAGCCTGCTAATGTTTCTAACAAGTCAGTTAACTGCTGTATACAGCTTAACTGCAACAATTCATCAACAGCCTTTAATAGTCCACTGCTGGACATAAGCCTCTCCTTAGAAAGGAGGTTTTAGCCTACTATTTACACAAATTTACATTTTAACATTTCTGTTTTTTTTAGTAATATTTTATGTATATAAGTTACATACATAAAATATTAGTTTTAAACTTAAATTTTTTGTCACATACAAATAACTAGTATCAGTCAAAAATTTGTAATCAATAATTGTTTGCTTTTTTTACAGATATGCTCTAGATGCATTTATGAATGAACTGCCGAACTGTATAAATAGGGAATTGATTGATAATGCTGCTGTTGATTTTGTCCTGAATCTCAATACCAAAAATAACAGAAAAAAACTAACAAGAGTTCTCTTCAGTGTTGCTAGAACCAGGCTTGATTTATTGCCATTTTACTCAAGGTTTGCTGCAATTTTGTACCCTGTGTTGCCAGATGTTTGCGTTGACTTGTGCCAGATGTTGAAACAAGATTTCAAATATCATGTCAGGAAAAAAGATCAAATTAACATTGAGTCAAAGGTATGGAGTCCACAACCATATAAATTTTTTATTATTAATAATTGTCTTGTCCTTAGTAACGGGTAAGAATATGGAGTGTCACCACTTCTATTCATCCCGTGGGTGTCGTAAGGGCCGACTAAGGGAGGCAAACTACGCAGTACAACAGCACTGCAAAGAGAAGGCCAGACCCATCTGGCCAGTGTGGTACAGTAGGCCAAAACCTCCTTTCTAAGGAGAGGCCTATGTCCAGCATAGGACTATTAAACACTGTTAATGTGTGATGATTAATAATAACTTCATAACTTATGTGTTTGTTTGCAGATTAAAGTGGTGCGTTTTATTGGGGAGTTAGTCAAATTTGAACTTTACTCTAAAATGGAAGCATTGTACTGTTTAAAAGTATTATTGCATGACTTTAAACATCACCACATAGAAATGGCATGCAATCTCCTTGAGACATGTGGTCGGTATTTGTATTGTAATCCTGATACCCATCAACGCACAATGATATATTTGCAACAAATGATGAGAAAAAAGGTAAATATTATATTTTCATCATATTTATAAGAAACACATGTAGACTTAGGCCAACAAACTAATGAAGCTTTTTTATTTTCTGTGCTGTGCTGTACTTTTCTATGGCTAATTTATAAATCGTTGTTTTAGACTGTCTCAGCTCTAGATTCGCGTTATGTTACGCAAATTGAAAATGCATTCTATTACGTCTGTCCACCGGAAACTCCTGCCCAACCAAAGGAAGAAGAGCCCCCTATGCATCAATTTATTAGAAAAGTTTTACATGAAGATTTACAGAAGAGTAATGAAGAAAAAATTCTAAGATTAATGCGAAAGTTAAACTGGGATGATTTGGATATCGCAGCTGTGGCTATACAACATTTAGCGGGTGGTTGGAGAGTCCGAGCTAGTGCAAGGAGGGCTCTTGCCAGGTTAACGGCAGAACTAGCAGCTTGGCAGGAAGCTGTAGCCCCAGCAGTTGTTGATACTATACTTGAAGAAATAAGGGTTACTATGGAAGACCCACATCCGAGATATAATCAAAGGAGAATAGCAACTGTTCGGTATTTAGGAGAATTATATAACTATAAGTTATTAGATTCCCGAGATGTGTTCACTGTTTTGTACTCATTTATAACTTTTGGAGTGACAAATGATCATAACAATGTTTCTCCACTAGATCCTCCAGATAATGTATTTAGAATTAGACTAGTGTGCGCCCTACTAGAGACTTGTGGGGCATATTTCAACAGCGGCTCAAGTAAAAAACGACTTGATTATTTCTTAATTTTCTTTCAACATTATTATTGGTTTAAATATGCTGATCCTCATTGGACTGACGACAACATGTTTCCTATTTACGTAAATTATATATACCAAGAGTGTTTGACTACACTCCGGCCCAAATTAACATTGTTTACTAGTTGGCAACAATGTAAAGATGCAATAGAAGAATTGCGCCAGACTCTATATCCTGAATTAGGTGAAGAAGATAATGAAAATGAGGACCAGGGAGATGACAGTGTGAATGAAGGTCTGGATACAATTATTGAGACTGACGATGAAACTGATAATCCACAACTTCCTGAAGAAAGCTCTGATGAAGAACCTATTACAGAAAATACAGGTAATGATGACAATGAAATGCAACAACACGAAGATATTACAATAGAACCAAGACGACCTGCTCCTAAACCTGTAAGCATCACTTGTAATGAGTCTTTAATCAAAACTTAACAAAGCAAATTGAAAATATTTGTTATTATTTTATTTTAGGTCGAAGATGTAGAATTTGAATCAGCGTTTGAAAAAATGGTGATGGAGAATATAGCAGAACGTCAACGTGAGAATAGACCACAACAGCGAGACATCGCTGTACCAATGACCTGTCGGCAGACCACTAAGAAAACATACGAACAGTTATTGGTTAGTTGAGTAGATATATAAAATCTAAACACAGGGTAATTATCGACAACTTACTGTTAATGTTATTTTTACAGCAAGGAAAAGAAGGAGTTGAGTTTGTTCTGATGGTGCGCAAGGGCACTAAACCACAATACAAGTCTTTCAGTGCTCCGCCAGAACTCGCCAGCAACTTACAACAACAAGCTCTGGCAGATAAACAAGAGATGGAAAAGATGAAACTGTAAGTTTTTACATTCTGATCTGTACATTAAAGTCGATGATCTGTAAACTCTTTGTACCATTGATGGTGGCACATGAGTGGCACAGTGTGATTAAACGTATCATATCGTCTGGCGCAATATATGCGCTCACTATACGGCGATCTTTATAATGTACAACGTTGTGCACTAAATTATGCTGCCTGAATGATACATAACAAGGTTTTTCTTGTGACGTGTCATTCAGGCATGCAGTGCATCTTGATTGAGCACAAATTATTTTATGCATGTAGTGAAAATTGTACTTTATTTATTTTGTAGTCAAGAGATAATACTTATTTAAATATCATTCTAGCTAAGTGTCTCTATCGCATTTACCTACTGACAGGTTTAAGGCGTGAATATTATAAGCCCCATTGTGACTGAATGTAATGATGATAGCACATCGGGAAATCTAAATTATATCTAAATTTTCAGCTTAACACTCAATATTTCGGAGAGGCAAGAGGAAGAAGAATATAGCGCAGAAAGTGGGGGTGGTTCCGGTGGTAGTGGCAACCCAAATAGAGGGCAACACGTACGCCAGAAATATCAGCATCCTAAAGGAGCACCAGATGCAGACCTAATATTTGGACCTAAAAAATTTAAATAACTGAGCATTATAATTTATGGTGGTGTGGTTTATTGTTTGTCTGCTTTGATATTTGAAAGTCGACGATATCGGTTGCACATGTATGCACTGTCGGCCGTTTTGGACGAATTCAATTTTATTTCATTCTTCCAATGAACTAATGACATTGAGAATATCAAGAACTCATTGTCAATAAACGAAGGATTATATGAAATAAATGATATATTTACTACTTTTGTTCAAGCGATTTGAAAAAGAAATATTGTTGCTAGTTGTATGTTATTGAACTAAATTTTTCTAAAATAAATTATGGTTTTATTATAATCACAATATGAATGTTTCTTTGACGATGACCCCTGTATTTGTAGTCGGGTTATTTTTATTTTTTACTAACCTGGCCCCTTCGCTTGTGAATAACTATCTAGATGAAAACACTTGTAATGCTATGTAGGTATATGTTCGTTTTTGGTGAGTTTTGAACCAGGCCAACGTTTTGCGACGGTAGCTAAGCTCACGATCAGATAAAACGATTAAACAAACTGTAGTTTATACGTTGCGTTCCGCAAACATTTGTATAAACAACAGTCGTCATGATCCCTCGCTCAGGAGATAATTACTGTTTTATATGATCACGAAACGTGTCACGAAACACGAGCACTTGCTTCGGAGTTTATGCCTATTTTGCATGCGTGCCGAAGCTTGGCAAACGTCCACAAGCTCCAAGCCTATACAAACGCTTGGATGCCATTTACACGCTTGCGACTTCGTTCACGTGGTATTTAAAATGCGCTGCCTTAGTGGGTTCGATTCCCGGACCGTACAATTTATTTTATTTTATTGCTAGTAAAATATTATCAAAATCGGTCCCGATCGTTTTGAAAATTACCCGGAACAAACAGATAGACATATTTGAACTGGTTTTTAGGAATAGGTATCGTGCAAATAACCGTGTGAGCATGAAAATATCGACGACAAACTTACGCAAGCCGAGGCCAAAGACCCCGTTTACACGCTTGTGTTTGAGGAGAGTTGCCGAGGCTTGTCAAGCGTGTAAATGGCCTAATAGTTAAACAAACGATTTTACATCGTGTCGCGGCATTCTCTTTATTGGTGGATACAAACATTGTGAAGCATGCGCCGCACACGCCTCTCGCAACGAACGGTTCGATTTGAATTTGCCTTGAGTAAAAATAAAACCAGGGCCTCAATTCTGCTATTTTATGTTTACGCCAAGCCAGTGTCATACCACTGACACGCTATTGAGATGCCATCGAGTAGCCATTGAATAAAATATAAAAAAAGAAATAAATAAATTATTAAAATAAATAAATAAATTAAATAGGGCATAGGTATAAATATCGGTAGTCTATACTAACTCAGTGTCTTTACAGTGGCGATTCAATGGCAGTGGCTTATCAGTGGTGATATCAAAAAGATTGCTCATATTTGGAAAATCAAATCATTTCCATAAAAAAAACGTAATATATTTTCAAATTATAAAGAAATGATTTATTTATTTTTCGAAATATTTATACCGATGCCAATGGCCACTCGATGGCATCTCAATAGCATGTCTGTGGTATGACAGTGGCTTGGCGTGAACATAAAATAACAGAATTGAGGCCCAGGTCGAATGACCCATGATCGGATCGATCCAACGGCGAGCGAAACACTCACTGTCTCGCAATTGTGGTGACGCATCTGTTACACACCAGGAGAGAGCGAATCAAACGATGTTGTTTTCGTATTTTTTCAATAATTGAATAAATTATTATTAAAGCAGTTACGTGTTATAATTGTGGTATATGGGCTGGATCGATCTTAGCATGCACCGAATGACTCGAATGGAATTATAGAACCTCCACTTCATAGTGAGGTCTGGCTACGTTCATACGTAAGCCTTGAGCGTGGAGCGTTTGTCGACATACGCTGGGTCGTCGTGGCTAATGCCTCGCCACGACTATGAATGGTTCATCGCATGCTTCGCAATATGTGGATAAATTTTAGAATCGTTATTCTGATTAAGAAATTATTATTGTAGTCGTAAAAGTGAAATTAATTTGCTAGTAGTGGGTGTTAGTCTCTGGTTACATACATAGATACATTTCATTTCGCTCTAAAGATATATATCACTCATTTAGCTCACTAGCTCAATGATCCAATTCAATTGATTGATCTCTCAATTAGTTCAATTTTTCGTCTCAATCGTTTAGCTCAGATCACTCATTTCAAACCTCTCTTGCTCATACAAACCTTTCTTTATTCTCATATTAACCTAAATTCAGTTCTTAGAACTTAATTTTGAACCAATTTTTTTAAAATATTTTTTTTTATTTATTGTGTTAAGGTTACATAATTATTAATACCCTTTTATAAAATAATAAACAATAAAGAAATGTGTAGGTACAATTTTTTTTTTGTACTTTTATTAGGTTGTATGTTAAAAATCATACATTTTAAATTGATTTTCCTTCATACCTAGCAGGCTTAATTCTCAAATAATAGTTAAGTAATGTTAAAATTTGATCCTCCAAAAAAAATTTAAATTTTGCCCGAAGAAACTAAATAAACATAAACTGAACTATGATCTATCTCACCATTTTTACTATCACTCGCTCATGAAACAAAGAACAGCGTCGTTGAGCTAATGAATTAGTGAGCTATAACTGAGTTCCTGAAACATTCGGAGCAAGTCTGAGTAAGTGATGCATTTCTTTCTCCTGAGTGAGTGATCTTTTAGATCACTCACTCAGGAGCTAGCTCCTGTGCAAGTGTTTTTTTTTTATCGAAGTTTATCGTATCGATATATTTTTAAACAGTTTCGATAATTTTCGAGTGAAAAATAACGATATATCGTCAGTTTTCGCATAATTACTCATACATATTCCATAAGCATTAAACTTCGTAAAAAAGAAGACGAAAAACGAAGAAAATTGTATTTTTCTTTATGCTCGAGCCTAAACTATTTTATACAATTCAAACAAAAAAGTAGTCATCAGATATGGACATTAGGAGCACTCTCTGTTTGAAGTGCTCGCCTATCAAACGGGTTCTATTGTAGGGTACTGTCAGATTTACGGCTGAAGCAACCCTTTCGGAAGATACCGAGGAATGATATGTATTCATCTTCTCAGCTCAGTGATACATTTTGCGCATAACTAGAAATAGGTGTGTTTGTGTATATGTATATCCGAAATAAGTTCCGGTCCGCTTTTTTGGTGGCGCTGTCAATATGCATGTATAGACCTTTTTATTTTCAGAGCGCATGTCTCTGAGCGTGCTTCGCAATTTGTATGAAAAGTCTCCGATATGTTGGATTGCCCCTTTTAAAACATGGTGGATGCGCTTGCGCTGAACTTGTGAAAAGGGCTATATACTTCTCATGATACTGAAATTAGCCGACGTCTAATAAGTTTTGAAACTTTTCAAACCGATAAATTAAGAAAAAATAAAATTGTATTCATAGTTTACATAACTTTCCACATGTGCAAAAAAATCGAAATTGATACGAATTCGATACTCTAAAATAAATATCGAAAATCGATCTTTCGCCATTTAAAATATCGAAGATATAATTCGAAAATTGTATTAAAAAATATCGATATTTTTTGTCCATGCCTATCAGGAGCTACACAACTCTAATGTATTTTCAAATGTCAATGTAATTTTCAAAGCGATTACCGGTTGTTATTATTTATCTATTGTCTTTTAATTTACTCTTAGATATTAATACATGCGTGTAATTTTGAGACTTTAAAAGTTTGCTGATAATATAATAGTTGAATAAAATATCTTACCGTCTAGTCTCTACAACCATCAAGTTCGGCTAACCTATAGGACACGATGGCGGACGACGACTTTAGCAAGTTATTACAGCAAGCAGAACAGCTAACTACAGAAATTGAAGGGAATGAGGATCTGCCGAGGGTAGAGAGATCTTTAGGACAAGTATTAGAGGCGTCCCAGGAACTTTATTCACGAGTAATTCAGTCTGGCGCTAACGACATTCAGGCGTAAGTACACCTTATTCTACGAACATTTTATTATTTTCGCCTTTTTCTATATTTCTTCATCATATTATTACTTGCAGGCACCTATTGTTTGGCTCGAAAGGCATTGATCTTCAACAAATATCTCAGAAACTTGAGACTCTAAGCTCCAAGCGCACCTTTGAACCTTTGCAGCCTATAGCTGACTCTGATATTGAGAGCTTCTTGAGAAATGAAAAAGAAAATGCAATTTTATCACTTATTGATGAAGTAAATAAAAATGTAAGTATGGTGATCAAACTTTATTCTTCTTATCATTATATTCTCTAATATAGTTATTATTACTCCCTTTAAAATTTATTTTTCATAATATAATATAATATTTACTAAGTTTCTATGTAATAAAGAGTGTATATGATAATGGTTAGATGACATTTCAAGCTTTAAGTTTGATTTTTAAGCATTTTAAGTTTAGGTAGTTTGATTTCTATTTTGTTTACTGTAGAACATTATTTACTTTAATGTTTGCATGTACCTATGAAAAAAAAAAAACAATATTATATTTCATTCATTGTTTAATTACATTTGACATCATAATACATTTCTGCTTGTTAATTTTCCAGTCATTACAAACAACTGAAGACCAGAAATGGGAGCACATGTTGTCTGAATGGAATCGAGAGAAAATAAAACTGATGAATGCAATGATAGGTCCTTCACAGAATTGGTTGGACCTTAAACGGACCCCTGAGCCTCCCAGCATTATGGAAGCACCAAAGAAGTTTGGACACACCATGCTTGATGACATAGAGGCTGCATATGCTAGACAAGTGCACCAGTACAATAAACTTGTCTTCCAGGGATCAAAGTCTAGAACAGCTTTACATCAAAAGTTTGCACAAGTTGCTGAAGAATTCAACGATCCTGTTAGTATTTTTGTTTTATAATTTTCTTTTTTAGGTTTGATTGCAAGAATGTGATAAAGAGAGATTACTCTCTACATTAATCACTTCATAATTACAAACTTCATTAAAGATGGTATAGCCGTGGGATAGCCATGCTTCGGCACGAATGGTCTGGCTTGACTGGAGTGATACCATGGCCTTACAGGAAACCGGTGTTAAGCAATTCTTTCCTTGCCTTTCACTGAGTGAGTGAGGTTACTGGAGCCAAAATCCCCGAAAGGGCAGCAATGCACTTGTGACTTTTGAGTTGCAGGTGTCCATGGGCGGCGGTAGTTGCTTACCATCAGGTGACCCGTCTGCTTGTTTGCCCACTTATACAATAAAAAAAAAATGTATGTACCATCCCTATTCACCTGTAGATGTCCAAAGAGTTGACTAAGGGAGCAAACTATGCACAACAACAGCACTGTAAGGAAAAAAGAAAACTTGAAACAAAACCTATACCAACCTATCTGGCCAGCATGGTATAGTAGGCCAAAAACTATTTTCTAAGGAGAGACCTATTTCCAGCAGTGGACTATTAAATGCTGTTGATAATGACAATATAATTATGTTACAATCTCCAGTGGTTAGAATTGATTGCCTGAGTTTATGTTATGAGGACTTGCATTTGCCTGGCATGATGATCATCATGATGTCCTAATATAGACAGAGACAGAGATAGTGAGAGATATGCCTGGAATGGAACACCTTTTTTTCGGAAAATAGTGGTATTTTCTGAATCATCTAACTTATTAGTGCCTTTTAAAATTGAAAATATACTAAGTTGATTTTATTCACTAGTTTAATTAAATAATTTAATGATAAAATTATAATGATAATTACTTAAATGATATACATACCATGTAATTTATGTAAAGAAGGAATGTTACCATAATTCTTTTACATAATCTCTTATAATAAGTAGCATAAAACTTAGTATTGCACTTTGCGAATCAAAAAATTAATATATGTGCACTATGTGCTAAAGTGTTGGAATTAATTTTAAAATTAATAAAGAAATCTGAATATTAATTGACGACCGAATGGCGTAGTGGTTTGTGTAACGGACTGCTATTCCAAAGGTCGCGGGTTCGATTCCCGCTCAAGTCAAACATTTGTGTGCATGAGCATTTAATGTTTGATTTGGTCTGGGTGTTTCTATGTATAATAAGTAAGTATTTACAAAAAAAAAAGTATATATGTATTTATATCAGTTGTCTAGTACCCATAGTACAAGCTCTGCTTAGTTTGGGACTAGATGGCGTTGTGTGAATGTAAAAGAAAAAAAAATTACTACTGATGAAATATTTTTCAGAAAGTAAAAGAAATGTGGGAAATCATCAAGGTGATGGCAAACATTCCTGCTTTAGTTAGAGATGAAGATCCATTGAAGGCTAGAGGAAACCCAACCATTCAGCAATGCCTTGTGGCACAAGGAAAGAAATATTTGGAAAAGAGGTAGGTTTATTTTTGACATATAGATGATATGAGATATATGATATTGTCTATAGAATCATTAAACTAATAAAATAAGCTTTCTTATTTAAGTGATCTTCTGGCACACCATTACTAACTCTTAAATTGAAAAAAAAAGATTTTTTTCTTGGTAGGAGCTTTTTTAACCAGCAAGTAAATATAAAGATTCTTAACAATTTACTTTTTAAGTCTGATTTTGAAGTCAAATATTTGAGGCTAAGTCAATATCAGGTAAATAAGATATAAATAAGATATGTCAGGACAGGGCATCTGATTGTTTGTTTCCAAATAATTGGGGTTTGGTTTTAAAATCAATCAGCTGGAATTTTTGTTTTTTTCTCGTGTTTGACTACTCGTCGATCTGTGTTGACACAATAAGCCAGTCTTTTGGTATTTAATTATATGTCATTATTAGCAGAAAGAATAGCTGGGAATTCCCTTCAAATTCCTTAATCAAATCTCGCAGTCAGCGTAGGGACATCATGCCGCTTTAATCTGTCGTGTGAGACACTGCCTGTATCATGTAGTTTTGAAGCCAACTTATTTACGTGAGTAGCTATTCTGGTTTGGTAGCGTTTACTGCACTTAGCAATCTCTTGTCTAACTGTTTTTGATGTTCAAATCCGCGTGTATGTATTTGTTGCTCACGTAGTTCGGTATTTTTATCATGGCTCTTAGCGTTTTGCTTTGAAATCTTTCGAGAATTTCAATATTACTATTGCTAGTAGTTCCCCACAGTTGGATACCGTAAGTCCATATCGGTTTTAGTATGTTCTTATAAATCGTAATTTTGCTTTCATGAGACAGGCTTGAGTTACGACCTACCAGCCAGTACATAGATCTGACTTTCATGTCCATCTGTTTCCGTTTGGACCATATATGTGTTATCTCCAGGTTAGCCGGCGATCAAGATGCATACCGAGGTATTTAGCGTCTTCAGCTTGAGGGATGTCTTTGTTGCAGAGCTTGGGGCCCAATATACTTCCTTGAGGCACCCCTGAAAGGGTTTCTTTTAAGGGAGCAGTTTTGTTATTAAATATCACCTCAAAGCATCTTTCGTCCAGGTAGGAGTTGTTTGATTTTGAACAGAAGCCCGTCATGCCACACTCTGTCAAAGGCTTGACTGATATCCAAGAATACGGCAGAACAGAATTGTTTGCACTCCAACGTACGACTTATGGTATCTGTTATACGATGGATCTGTTCAATGGTTTCATACTTCTCTCGGAAACCAAATTGGTGAAGCGGTATGACTGCTTTTAAATATGCGCGCATCCTGTGCAATAATATTTTCTTAAGCAGTTTACCCAATATACAGAGAAGGCTTATCGGTCTGTATGAACTAGCTTCGTGGAGTGGTTTCCTCGGTTTGGGTATCATTACGACCTGCGCCAATTTCCATTGGGCGAGATAAATATTAAGTCTTACACAGGCATTAAAAATTGCTGTGATGTGGATTACGCCCATTTGCGGAAGTCGTTTTAGTAGTCGCAAATCAATTAGATCGTATCCTGGCGCTTTACCTTCCTCCAAATTTAATATTTCTCTTCGTACTTCCCTGGGACTAGCACTTTCCAATGGCATGCACATTTGCAGTGGTGTTTCCAGATATTCGTTAACCTTTCTGTCGTATTCAGGGTACTTACTAGGTAGCGATTGGAACACAGATCGTAAGTGTTCTGCAAACACCTGGGCCTTTTCAAGGTCTGTTCTGGCCCACTTACCATTTATGCGTGGTATATGTACAGAGGCCTTTATGCGTGGTATATGTACTATAGGTCTTTTAAGCTTTTTTGTTATCTTCCACAGAGAGTAGTTAGTGTCAACGTAAGGAGTTAGGTTAGCCAGTTGATTTTGGAGGCGCTCGTTGTTTGCTTGGCAGATCATGTATTTGAGATCTTCTGATGCTTTGTTGAAGGCTTTTTTGTCCGGAGGGTATTTTGTGGTATGCCATATTTTCCGCAGCCTACGTCTTTCGCGTACTTTATTTTTTATCGTATTGGAGTAGGTTGAATTACAAGTGATTTTTTGCTTTATTGGGGGTGTTGAGTCCTTGATCGCTTGGTGTATAAGCTTGCCAAGTGACTCAATAGTTGATTCGATGGTGGCTACACTATTTAGTGGTGAGTTTAAGTTAATGGATTCTGTTATTTTAGCCTTGTAGTCATCCCAGTTCGTCTTATGGTTCTAAAGTCTTTGAGTATACTCAATCTGTACAGCTTTACATTGGACATTGTTTATAACTGGTGTATGATCAGACGAAAGGTCAATACATTCCACGATACTTATTTGGCTCTGCGAGATATTTTTTGTCATAAAGAAATCCAGCGAGTCTGGCACCTTGTTTGTGTCTGCAGGCCAATATGTGGGTGCACCGTGTCAAGCGCAGTTGAGGTTGAGCTCCTTCATAGCTACATATAGCTGTCGGCCTCGTGAAGAAGTTAATCTGGAACCCCAAAACACATGTTTTGCGTTCCAATCACCACCACCACCACCACCAGGAATTATTTATTGTAATAGTGTGCTTGGGTGGATAATATATTGCAGATAGTGTTATTTCAACTGTATTGTCTTGGATTCTTCTGACTGAAGTAGCCTGTATCTTCTCAGTTTGGTATTCCTCAAGAAGATAGTGTTTAATGTTTTCTTTTACCAGTACTGCAGTGCCTCTATGAGAGTTACCTGAGGGATGATTTGTACTATAATCTTTGTAATTCTGCAGTCTAAAATTAGTTTTTGAACCGGGTTTCTGAGATCAAAGCCACATCGACTCGTTCAGTTTTTAGGAACAATTCAAGTTCTTGTATGCGTTCTGTCAGTCCGTTGGCGTTCCAAGTAATTATCCTTAAGCTCAGGGGTGTTTTATAAGGCTTGTGACCAGCTGAATCATACGATCCATCATGTTGTCTAACATAATACTCGTATTTATTATGTTTTGAAATTTTTCAAACGTAACATTGTTTGAATCCTTGATGTTAGTTTTCATTCTTGTTGCTTGTGGGTATGTCATGTTGTTTTTTGTTTGCATATCTTTTTTGTTTTGATTGTTATCTTCTCTGGTTGCGCTGGGATTGATGTGAGGCTCTTGTTCGAGTTTATCTTCTGTAAGTTTGTTCCTTTTTGATTAGTTTTTCAAGATTAAGTCCTTATATTGCTTATATTTTGTGCAGCCTTTATACTCGTAGCTCGCAGGGTGCTTTTCTTGGCAGTTTGCACACGTTGCATCAGTATCCGGTTTCTGTAAACAGCTGGTTGTGGGATGGTCTTCGCCGCATTTAACACATCTAAATGGTCTATTGCATTGGTTTTTGGCATGTCCAAATCTCTGACATCTCTTGCACTGCAAGATATCTAGCTTTTTTTCTCAAATGAAATTTTAATGTGATTTAATTTGTTGATTGTAAAAACTTCCTTATTGTTATGTTTTGGCTCGATGTCCACGTAGAATAGCTGCAGCTGTAAATGGATTAAAACAAACATACTATACTGATAATTACTTGATTAATTCTATTAATTTGACCCACATATTTTTATTTATGTACCAGAATCTTTCAACACATGTTCACCTGCTTCTCAACATTAACATGATAAATTTATACACATCAAAATCCAATGAATATAAATAAAAAAGTAGTAAGGCAAAGTAAAAAGAACTTTAAACTTATTTGTTGTTACTTTAGAGCGTTTTTAAATATATTTTTTAAAGCAGTTTAGTCTTTATTTCTCGAATGTCTACTGATTAATACAAAACTTAATTTTAATCCACCCAGATACAAACAATACATGAGTGATGTAGTTCGAGCAAACCCAGCGGCGGCGTTACGTGGTGGGGAACCTGGCACTTACCCACTAGTGCGCGGTTTTGTAGGCTTACGACTGCAGGGGCAGAATGTCCAAGTGTTATGTGACGGCGTTATTGATGACCGACCACTCTGGCCAATGGTATATTATTGTCTTCGAAGTGGTGATGCTACTGCTGCTTTGCACTGTTTGAGAAAGGCTGGGTAAGTTTCTTTGGTCTATCATACTGTATTGCGTGACTAGAGTAATAGGGCCTGGAATTTCATCAACTACAAATGGATAGTTTTGCTCTAAGAACAATATGATTGTTGAAAGCTAAATAGCTTGTAACTTGTGCTATATATTCTTATCTAGAGATTCAGAATATTTACAATAGCAATATATAATGATACAATCTATGTTATAGACAAGATCATAGCGAGTTTATAGCAGCCTTAGAAGAATATATAAGGAACCCAGAGAAGCCACTCAGTGATAAACTCCAGACTGCCATTAACTTTCAATACAGAATTCAAGTGCGTAACTCTACAGATCCCTACAAACGAGCTGTAAGTTATTTCTATTTGTATTAATTTCTAATACCACGTAGAAGCCCATAGTTTTAATGCGTTTTTTTTTATACTTACAGGTATATTGTGTGATAGGATGCTGTGACTTGAGCGAAGATCATGGTGAAGTAGGGCGCACTGCTGATGACTACCTGTGGCTCAAACTATCATCCATCAAATCGCGCACCAGCAATGATTCAGAAACTTTCTCATATTCAGACTTGCAGAAAATGATTTTAGAAGAATATGGTATGTGCATATCTTTACTGCTGATAATCTTGTGAAGTCACTGCTAAATTCATGCATAATAAAGAGAGCATTTTTTTCTTGCAGGAGAAACACATTTTAAGGCATACGAAAAACCTGTAGTATACTTTCAAGTGTTAGCTTTGACTGGTCAATTTGAACCAGCAATAGAGTTTTTGTCGAGAATACCCAGGTAATATGAGACATACCAATTTCGTGACTGTTTTAATAATTCTTACAAAAAAATATTTATACAATTATTTCAGATTTCAGGTTCATGGTGTTCATATGGCCTTAGCACTTCATGATGTATACATGTTGGGTACACCTCGTAATGTTCAAGCTCCACTTTGTAAGTATCTAAAACCATTTATGTTAACACCAAATCGATGATGATGACGCAAAGTATCTATGGGAATTTTTACTTATGTATAGGAGTTAACGCAAACCAGTAATAGGTATAGTAGGAGACATGCTGGAGTAAAGGCCAAAATCCATTCATTTTAGAATTTACTCGAGCGTGTCAGATTAAGATAGAAGCCTTTACCTAACACCCAGTTGAGTATCTCCACCATACATGAGCCCTACACATAGGGCGCGGCGTCTAGAGCAGCCCATCTGAATATTTTAAAAAATATCGGTGGCCAGAAATACTCAAGCGTGTAAGATTAAGGTGGGTCAATTACATACACATTAGTGTATTTAAACAAATTAGACGACTTCAGCGTGACATAAAGCAGTGGGAGGGTCAAAAAGTTCAAAAGAAAAAACCATGACTTTGTCATTTATTTTGATATTGCAGCAAACAATGCAAGAAATCTTTAAATGTGTACATAATGTTTTGTGCCTTTATTTGTCACATTTTATAAAAAACTTAAAGATCAAAATATTTCTAACCAGCAGATTCAAAATTATGACAGATTTTTGGCTAGTATGAGAGGAACATCAAGCTGAACCGTTTCAGTTTGCATTTTCGATAATTCGCTACGAGCTTGTGTCACTTAAAAAATCGTCAGACCATTCAACTGGAGGAGTCCAAATAAAATATCTTTGAAATATCTGAGACGCCTAAATAAAATTTTTGAAAACCTGTAGAAGCTTTTCCCACCACTGAAAGTGGATACAATATAAAACTTTTATTCATTCTATTATCTAATCTCTCAAATGCAATAGGTCCCCATCACGCTCGAGTAAATCCACATTTAGCATCATAGGCTCCCCTACTATTACATGCCTTTGAATTGCCTGAACTGCAAATAATCCGAAATAGTCAGATTATTTTCAGTTACTTGAACATTTATACTGACATTTTCTCTATAAGTTAATACCTTACACTTAAAAGACGTACTCACTTTTATAAGCAAATGAGGTCCGAGGTATAATACATTATGGCGATTAAATAAATTTAATTGCCCTTATTTAACATTGTATTATTTAACATTTAATTTCTTTCAGTGTCTGTGGATACCGATGATCCGTCCCCACTTAGACGACTAAACTTAGCACGATTACTATTTCTTTATGTCAGAAAATTCGAACTGACGGACCCATCTGATGCTTTACATTATTATTTCTTTTTACGGTGAGTAAAATAGACTATAAATTAAAAAAACAAATTCTTGCTTTTTAACCAAGTTCATACTAGTTGTAATTGAAATATTGTTTCCAGAAATCTGAAAGATCCCAGCGGTAAAAACTTATTTATGTGTTGCTGTACAGACCTAGCGCTAGAAAGTCGCGATTATGAACTTTTGTTTGGTCGGATGGATGGCCTTACGGGGCTTCGCAGCCCTGGCCTATTGGATCAATTTAATAATCCTCACATTGAGAGTAAAGTAAGCCATCTCTTTTTCTGACTTGTGTGATGTTTGCTGAGAATATGTGCTTAATTGTTTATTTGTATTACAGGTCATAGCTCTGAATGTAGCAGAGCAGTTAGTAACCAAAGGCTTATTTGAAGATGCTATTACAATGTATGATATAGCTGGTGTAAGTAAATAACTACTTTTACATTAGATTTGTAACAAATAATTCACTAGCCAACTGTTGATGGATCAATTGCTTAAGCTTATTATGTTTATATTGTCTTGAAAACAATTATTTAGGACATTCACAAGAGAGACAACCCTAAGTGTTTTATATCTACTGTTATTTGCTAATTAAAATATCAATTTTCAAGTTCCTACCATCAAATATCGGGCGCCATGTTTAGTATTTTTACTTATTTTTTGTATCTACTCTGCAGAACATGGAAAAAGTACTCGAATTATTCTGCGTATTGTTAGCACAAGTTGTGAACAGTGGTGGTGGTGCAGACGGCCTTCGCCAAAGATTATCACAACTTGCTGAACACGTATCTAGAAGATTGAGGTCATCTGAATCGCTCGCCTTGCCAGCAGCTTTGGTAGAAGCCTACACTAAGTTGTGTAAACTGATGACATTCTTTGATCAGTTTCACAGTGAAAACTATGAGGGAGCCCTCGAAGTAAGAAAGATTTATAATAATATCTGAATTCATTCATTTTATATCGAAAAGGTAAAAAATAACTGTGTTTTGTTCAGACTCTTCGTGAATGTGAATTAGTGCCACTGAATGCGAGTGAGTTGGACGCTCGTGTGTCGGGAGCGCGCTCGGCTCGTGGGGAGCTCCTACGAAGTTTGCCGGCCGTGTTGCGAGCGCTTTGCACCATACTGTTGGCTCAGCGCCAGCGGCTACGCGCCGCAGCACAGTCACAGCCACTGGCAGCACAAAACAATAAGGTTCATAATATTTTATTTCGTCTCATCTCGATAATATATTAATATATTTCATTGTGTTTATAGAGCTATAATTGTCTACACTTTAACTGGTACATATATATATTTATTTTTTCTCTTTACAGCAAGTGGAGTGGCTTCGTGAACAAGCAGAAGTACTGAATACATTTGCAGGTAACATCGCCTACAGGATGCCTGGAGATACTTACAGTCAGTTAGCTCAAATGCAAATATTAATGCATTAGGATAGGCTGTTAAAAGAAGCATTTAACTAATAAAATATTTGTAAAACTTTTAATTTGTTTTTTATTGCTATAATATGTATTATAATTTTACATTTGTAGTTTAATGAGACGTATATGTACTGTAAGAATAAATGTGTCAAGTCAGTGAGTGGAGATCCCGAAATAACTTATGGGTAGTGTGGGGTTAGGGTTATATCATGGTCATGGCAAACAGCATTCTATTCTCTCTTGCCTATTCCGAACTGCATGGTGTGAGCATATATTTATGTAAATGTTGTAGCCAAGACATGCTGCTATTGTAGAAACTCCTTATAGTATGTAATGAGCGACCATAGTTATTCTCCTTTACATAATTTCTTTTTTTTATGTTAGAGGGGACAGACGGTTAGACGGGTCACCAGATGAAAGCGACCATTGCCGAACGTCTGCAACTCACAAACGCCTTGACAGCCCTTTAGGAAGGAGTACACTCTTTTCATGAAGGTTTGAAGGTCGTATCGGTCCAGAAATACCGCAGACGATAGCCCATTCCACAGTTTGGTTGTGCGAGGCTGTTCATTAACTGTTGTTAATTCAGTGTATAATTCTGTTGGGTCTGAATCACTCTTATTTATGTGATGTCAAACACTGTAATAAATTCTTTCTGCCAGCTGTCTCCTCACTTCAATCCCAATATATAAATCATTAACATTATCATCTGGCATATCTGTTACTTCATTTATTATTGGCATTGGCTCTGGGTCAATATAAGGCTCTGGATCAGGTAACCCAGCTTTGATGCAAAGGTTATGCAATACTGCACAAGCATTGATTATTTTTGCTGCTCTTTGTGGTGTGTAATGAAGTGGTCTTTTGTGAAGACACTGCCATCTTCCCTTTAGCTTGGAAATACATCTATCTATGCAAGTTCTGGTTCTGCCTTGAAAGTGATTGTATTGAGAATCTGAAGTACCTTGTGGCGCATGTAGTATTGGAGTCATGAGCCATGGTCTTTGAGGGTATTTATTATCAGCTGCAAAAATGACAGTACACAATTAACAGAATATGTGAGCTATACAAAAATTTGAAACATGAAGACAATAAAAACTAACCAATAAGCCAACTTATTTCTCCTTGTCTGCTAATATTCTCAACAAAGGATCTTATATTCATTTTACTCCAAATATAAGCACTGGTAGAAGATCCACCAAATCTGCAGCATATTGCTATTATTTTTGTGTCTGCATCACATATCTGCAAATTACACACTGCAGATATACATTTCAGTTTCTTAAAAAGATGTATAAATGGTACCCAATGAATATGCACTCACAATTTGTGCATATATAGAGTATTGACCTTTCCTGTCATAGAATGCTTCTTCATCATCCCTTGGGCATACTATTTCAACATAGGTACCATCAAGACAGCCAATAGTTTCAGGGAAATGATATTTTCTGTAAAACCTGTTAGAAAAGGAACAAGAAGAATTTAAAAGTAGTTTTAAAAATTATGTATCAGATATCTTGAGAACATTATATTATAAGCAAAGCAGGGCAGTCAAAGCAATGTGTTGACTTGATAGATCTAGTATAGTGTATATTAATACTTTAAAGCATTAATAAATATAACACACCCTTCTTTAATTTCCTCTCTCTGCTCACTAGTAGTTGGAAAAATAATATAATTGTTGAGAACCATGTTAAGACCCTCGACTACAATCTTGATGATGCGACTTACTGACTTCTGGGAAATATTAATGTTGTCTTTGCCTACAGATTTCTGATGAGAGCCACTAGCCAGAAATGAAAGAGTTACTAAAACCTGTAACAAACACTTGTTTAAAAATTCGATAAAAAATAATAATTAGATAATTAAAATTATAACTGAAATTCACTACATTTCTTGTCAGATCTATACCAGAAGATATTCCAGTTCCAGTGTCATTAAAGCAAGTTTATTTATTAGTGTTAAATGTGCTTTATTTAACTACTGGTCACAAAATCAGTCAAGAAGGTTGAATAGATTAAGAGATTTCTTTTAAACAAAATAATAATTACCTTCAAAGGAAAAGGTATTCCATTCGATCGTTGAGTTTGTGGTACTATAGGTTCCAATATTCTTAAAATCTGATGAAATACTAATCTGTTTACTCCGCAAGTCCTCAAGAGATATGAGTCAGGTAAATTTACACAGTCATGCAAGTCGGTAGGATGTCTTCGAGCTATTCTTTCTTTATACGCACTGCCTCGCAGCATTTTTAACTTCAGAAATGTATTCATACTGTGATTACTTCTTTTAAAAATTAAAATATATTTTATTTACTGTAAATAAATATCACTTATCTCATTACATTCACAGTCGCTACTATACACCAATCGGCCAATATCACTGTATTGGCAAACACAGCCAATACAGTAAAACTGGCAATAATGTAATTTTATGTTTTATTTAATAAAACTTTTAAACTTGGTCAAAAAACATAATAAACATTGTAAACAAAACGAACGTTTAGTTAACTATGTTTTGCTTACTTATCACGTTTCGTTTACATAACAGACAAAAGTGCACAGAACTTTATTCTCGATAAAATTTTAACACAAAGTACATTAAAACCATAATGATACTCGTACGTAGAAGATATTTGCAAAGAAGCGATTAAGACCTTTGACCTTGAATATCTTAAGACAACTTTCAGAATACGAAAATGAATGTTTTCACAAGTTTATTGATATCTTAAAATTTCTCATCTTTTAATTGAGATTTAATTAAAAGTGACCAAAATTAACAAAGCTGTATAATGGTTGATGATCGTGGATCAGGTGGGCTTTAGGGTTTTGACATTAAAATAATGATAAGTCTAAAATGTTTGTCGTTCCTTGACAGATCAACAAAAAGAATATAAACAAAACCCAGTAAACTCACTGCGGTAACAGCAAATTAATGCTCAAAAGTTAATTTAAGTCAATTTCCTAACAGAAAATGATCGCATCTTCTTATTACAAATGCTAAGAAGTCCGTAATTTACTTATTTGTGTGGTATAGAGTAAAGATAGTTGTTTTATTTTGCGTTATAAATGGATTAATCACAACAATGGAAAGACGAAAAGCGAGCCCGGAACAATTAAATATGCTGTTGCATTTTCTCGAAGAAGACAAGGAATTAGCAATTGGAAAAATTACGGGGATAGAAGGAAGAATTCGTCAAACTAACGCATGGATTAAAATAACCGAGAAATTAAATGCTAATTCTGGTTTTGGTTCTGGTGCTATTAAGACACCAGACAAATGGCAACAGGTTAATTTAATTGAAATATTTCAAATATACATTAAACTCGAGATAACCTATGTTTTAACTGTAGCAAAGTTCCAGTATAACTTAGTTAAATGCCAGTTTGTTGTTTTCTAACAAAATTTACTTTCTGTTTATTAATACCTATTTTCTCGTAATTCTAGACTTGGAGGGATTGGAAATCGAATGTAAAGAAAAAGGCTTTCAAAATAAGAAAGAATAGGTTTACACCAGGATGTAACGCTAACATTCAACTTACAGAGGCAGAAGAAAAGATATTGAGGCTTATATGTACTAATACTTCTGTATTTGGTTTATCTGGTGTACCTGAGACTTCAGCAATCACAAATTCAATGGTAAGTATCTAATAAGATTTTTTTATTATTTTTACAATAAAAGATAACAATTATTATTTTAAATTTGCAACCTTTTTAAAGTTTGAAATTTGTGTGTTGTGTGTAATGGTTATAAAAGTTGGTATTGGCAAATAATTAATATCCATATATTTCAGGCACCATCACAAAGCACTGGACCTGGAGATGATTTGTGCAGTGTTGATCCATCCACAAGTGGTTTGGTAACATACATTCCATTCATTTTAATATAAATAGTAATTTGTTTTAAATGTATTACAGAAGTCAGTGTCATACTGACTTTTATTCTGACTATATTATAATTTATATTAAACTGAATTTTGTTTCTTTGTTATATGTAGGTTGATTATTTAAGGCATTCACACCTTATCTTTAGAATGGTAACATTATGACATATTGCATACACATTGTCAGGGATATAGAAAAGGGTAGGGTACAGGTAGGATAAGGGTAGTAAATTAACATTAACATGAAAAAAGGCATGACCAGAAACTAGTTAATAATAAATAGTGAATTTTACTGTAGTATTCCTTTACAGAAATGGCCAACAGATGCACAACATTTCAGTGCAGCAGAAATAGAAATGAGCTTACAAGATGGAGTTGGGGCAGATCCTGATGCTGGCATGGGGCCAAATGAAGTGTCTTCAGCCCCAGCCGCAGGCAAACCCTTATGGAAAAGGGGGAGGCCAGTGAGTAAGTATTATTTAGTAGGTATAAGAGTCTTATGTCAAGGAACTATTGTTTAACTTTTGAATCACAATACTAATACAATTATTTACAGGACTTGTACACGATAGACTCCTTAACTTAGAAGAAGAAAGAATAAGAATTGAAAAACAGAAACTTTTGGAAAAAAAGCGATGTAATAATATAAGACTTAAAATGGAAAAGGATAGACTTGAGATTGAAAGACAAAGGAATATCTTGTTAGAAAAGTAAGTGTGCAAAATGTATGGCAAAATTTTGCTAAATATACAATTAAATTAATAAAAAAAAATTAATATTCTCTTGTATTTTTCAGGCTTTTAGTTGCTGTAGAAACAGTTGCTACACAGAGATAAGACTATGATTGTATTAATATTTACACAAGTATATTTTTAAATAATAAGACTTGATGTGTGTATAAGCCATTTGTTAAGTGTAGAGTAAGTTTGTGATATTAAATATTTTTACAAATTGAGATTTTATGTTTGTCTGGTAGAATCTCAGTTTTATTTCACAATCTATGCTATAGTTATTGCCTGCATATGAAATTTGGTAGGGAGGTGATACATAGGTAGTAAATTTTAACTAAAAATAATTTAGTGTAAAAGCTAAGGCTTTTACACTGTCTTAGTAACAAATATAAGTATTTGTTACTAAGACATGTAAGGATTTTACGAAAGTTACACTCAGGGGTAGCGCAATTGTTGCCGTCGTGTGCTACGCGGACGACACACTCGTGACGGCGCGCGGCAACACGCACCACGAGGCAACCCTGAGGGCCACGGCCGGGGTTGCCCAAGTCGTTGAGCGTATCCGGCGGCTGGGTCTCGAGGTGGCTCTGCACAAGTCCGAGGCCCTGTTCTTCCACGGGCTTCGGAGGAAGCCGCCTGAGGGATCTAGCCTCACGGTAGGAGGCACTCGCATCGGCATCGAGCCCTTGATCAGGTATCTGGGGCTCGTACTCGATGGTCGATGGGACTTCGGATATCATTTCCGAGGTCTGGTCCCCAAGTTGGTTGGGGCAGCGCGTGCGTTGGCGCGGCTGCTGCCCAACATGAAGGGACCCGATGACTCCTGCAGGAGACTCTACTCGGGGGTTGTGCGGACCATGGCCCTTTACGGGTGCCCAGTATGGGCGGAGGCCCTGAAGGCCAGCAACGTCGCGATACTGCGACGACCGCAGCGAGTGCTGGCCATCAGGATCATAAGGGGTACCCCCGCACGATCTCCTTTGAGGCGGCGAGTCTCCTGGCCGGAACTCCACCGTGGGACCTGGAGGCGAGAGCCCTTGCGGCTCTGTATAAGTGGCGCAAGGAGGCGCGGGAGTTGGGTCGGTGTCCCGAGACTCGAGAAATCGATGACGGGAAATCCCAACTCCGCCAGGTCATCATAGGGGAGTGGAAGGAACGACTCGGGCAACCGGGCACGCCGTCATCGCGGCGGTAAGACCCGTTATGGAGGATTGGCTCGAGAGGCGTCACGGGACCATCTCATACCGACTGACGCAGGTGATCACTGGGAAAGGATGTTTCGGGGATCACCTGTCTCTGATCCGCAAGGAGCCAACGCCTGAGTGCCACTACTGCGATGGCCAGACCGTGCACACGGCTCTCCACACGCTGGGAGAATGCCAAGTCATGCTCGCGAAGGAGACGGCAGAGTTCCACGCACTCTCGCTCCGCATAGCCGCAATCAGGCTATCGAGCGAGAGAACTCCCACTCCGATGGCCACCACGAGGTCTCGCCTCTGCTCTCCTTCTGCGAGCAAGTCATGCTCGCGAAGGAGACGGCGGAGCGGGACCGGGGGAGGTTTAGGACTCTCGTACCGCAGGCGACTCAGGCGCCGGAAGTCGCAGAACCACCTCCGTCCTCCATAAGCGCAGGCCTGGGGGTGACAGGTGAGGCCATCTGTCACCCTAGCAGAAGCAGGCCGGGGTGGCGGCGAGGGAGGGGGGGGGGGGTCGTCTACTCGTCTGTAGATGACCCGAGGTATGTCGGGGCACCAGGGACTTCCTTTCTAAGGTATACCTGGTTCCCCGGCTATTAGTACCCGAGACGGCGTACGGTTTTAGTCGGTTCGAGTCCGACATGCCACCAGTCCCATGGTGGTATCCGAGGGGATTTCCGCACGGAAAAAAAAAGGGTAGCGCAATTGCAGTAATGGTTGTATAGTAGAGATATCTAGATGTCTAGTTCCGGGACCCCTCCTATTTCAAGCGCAGTATAGTACACAATCGATTCAATTAGGACACACTGCCCTACCGCAATCCCCGGTTTGGTGACTACCCGATGGGGTTATCACGTGCACAAAGAAAGTATACTACAGATATAAAATTGACTTAGTCACACAATACTCAAGAATAGTCCGGAATGATCATCGAGGTCGCTGGGTCAAGCTTCTAGGGTCGCTGGGTCAAGCTTCTAGTCACTTCAATCGCTTCGATGTTTATCGCACTATAGCTCGAACTGAATTGACTCCAAAGAAGACGTGTCCGTATTTATAATACTCGTAAAAGATCATTCTAGCAAATTCCAATCCCTACAGGAACCGACTATCTATTTTCTATCTTATGCATATTGGAATATAGCTTATTGTTCCCTTCCAACCTGCATTATTATTAAACGGTTCCTAGAATAACGCGGTTAATCGAACTTGCTTGACCGTGCGTGACTTTCTTTGTGACAATATCATATCATCGGTAGGTCTAAAAACTTTTGTTTTTAAGTAATAATGATGATAAATCACAAAGTAGTAGTAGTAGTACACAAGATAGAAAACCGGTTGATCTTATCTATTAAAGCAATCATACATTGCGTAACAGATTTGAGTACTAACTACACTGTAACCACGAGAGCACGCAATGAACTGCATTTTGTGCAGGAAAATTTCTATACATTTCCCACGAAAGTATTTGGTAAAGTCACAGTTCATATTTGGTGCCGATAGTGATGTAGCCAATCTTGTTTTAATTCATTCGATATTGCAATAATATCGTTATCGAATATTTTGGTTTTTTAAATTATTTTCTGTTTAGTACACTTTTTTTTTGTATTATAATTCCTAACTGATAGCAGAAAAGAGGAGGTTTTCTTTTGTTCGCATAATTTTTAATGACCTTATTCTGGAGATATCTTTGATTAGTTTTATGGAAATACGAAAAACGGAATCACTAACTGACCAACTAAAGGTGCGTAAATGAAAATCGGATCTTTCTGCAAGACTGACGCCTCTTAGTAGGTAGTAACATATTTAATGAAATAAGCTTACATCAAATATGTGAATACCCATCATCACATCATTTATCTGACTTCCGATGGTCACTTTCCATCAGGTGACCCGTCTGCTCGTGTGCCTCTATTTCCCCTATTTAACAATAAATCTAGTAATTATTTTATTAAAATAAATAGCTACCATTCCCTACATAAAAATAAAAAAAATACTAGATTTATTGTTAATTGGCGTCTAATCACCTAGCAACCATTACCAACGTATGCACAAATCGAATGATAAATCACAGTTCACTGTGATTTGGTCCAATGTCTACTATTAAGTAGTTGTAACGATTTTTCATTGGGGACCAGGGATTTCAGGGACCCTGCCTGCCAATGAAAAAACAGGATTATGGGTCTTAGGATTTTAGTGTTTTATCTATGGTTATGGTTAGCATGTAACATGCAGTGTTGCAAACCTAATGGATTTTCGACTAAAACTGGTGGTTTCGACACCCCTTTTAGTAGCAAAATTTTGCTTTTAGTGGCTAGTGGTTTTTTTTGTGGTTAGTAGTAATAGTAAGATTGTAGAGGAGTTAGGAAATATTGTTTAAAGATAATCTGTGAGAAATGTTTGTGTGTGCAAACTTCAAGAACGTTTGATAGGAAAAAAAGATAATCCAGAATGGTAACCATCATCCTACGGCTTGCAAATCATTGCTTACAACAGAAGGACAGGATGATTTTCTTTTATGTCCCCGGAAGGCACAACAGAAAATTCAAAGTTGTCAATTTTGGGTCTGGAAAGACTGGCGATATAGTTCAGGGTCCAACTCAATGTTTGTAAGTATGGAACTTTTATATATTAGAGGTATTGCAAAGATGCCCAAGGTACCAAGGGACTTTGACCGTTGAGGAATTGGCATCCTTTGGTATTACTCTCATAATACTGCCTCGTTTCAATGCCGATGTTAAGCAGAGAGACTATAGGTTTAAACAGAGGAATAAAATGAAGTTAAATATTTAGTCTGCTATGTTAAGAATACGCTGTGGTTAGATGCTGGAAGGAGAACGATGCAACAAATATGAAATTCCAATAAACGTTGTAAAACAAATAGTTAAAAAGAATCGTCTTAATCCGGAACCGATGATGATGGTGCTGACAAAAATGATTAGTTTCAGAATTAAATTTTAATAATACTAAGGAAACTAGTTGTAATTTTTAATTATGGTTTTCTTTCATATTTACAAAAAAAACTAGTGGAAAATTTAGTGCCTATTAGAGTAGCGTCGTTTTTCGTTAGTGGTTTTCTGGTGGTTTTAGTTGTTGAATCTAGTGGAGAGTTCATTTAACTGTTGGCAGCACTAGTAACATGTCAAGGCTGTTATTAATGTCAAAACAATATGCACAGTATGGATATTATTAAATGAAAAGTTTTGATTACAGTACAGTTAAGAATCCTTAACGACTATAAATATAATCACGCTTTGATTGTTGCTCTAAATCCTATTATAAGTATTAAGTTTCCTGTGATATCATAAGTATAATTAACCTAATCTAACCTAACAAATTAAAGCCTCAAATAAAGTTTGTAAAACAATAAAATGGAAAGTAGGAACTTAGATCGAGAAATAGTAGGAATACTTTTTCCAGGAATTGTTAAAAATGATGAGAAAGCCCTTGCATGCATAGGTGGAATCAGAGGCCTTTCAAATGTAGGTAGTTTCAATTTAAAAGAAGCATTTTTTTATTAAAGCATGTTTGACGCATAATATTCATTTTTTTAAGGTTTATAGTAATATGAGTAAAAAGCGTCTAGGGCTAAGCTACCAACCAGATAATCCATTTATCAGAAAAATATATGCAACATCTAAGAAATCTGCAGGCGTTCTCCTAAAGGTCAAAGTTAAGAAAACTAAAGTGGGCAATGAAACAAAGAGAGAAGTAGTATCAACATCTGTTATGGGATCTGTAAAGATAATGTTTAAATTTGATTGTAAGTTCTTATGTTGATATCTTGTTACTTAAAAAATAACACCCTTATGTCATTTTGTATTTTAAGTCGATTACTAATACTAAACACACTCCATTACTAAACAGTTGCTTAACATTTGATGGGCCTGTTGGTCTAATGGTTAGTGATCCTGACTACTAAGCCAGGGGTTGTGGGTTCGATCCCACCCAGGTGTGTGATGACCAACATTATTGGTCTTGTGTCTGGGTGTAATTTATCTATAATCAGTATGTTTATCAGAGTCTGGTTACCATAGTACAGGCTCTACCTAGTTAAGAATTAGATGGCCAGGTGTAAAATGTGTAAAAATTATTATCATATTTGTTTGGCATTTGTTTATTTTTTACAAGAATTACACAAGATAATAATTATGTTTCAGCATTAGGTGACTTCCAATATATGCCTGTCCATAGAGATGAACCACCAGATTCTCCATTAAAGTGTATCTTAGATGACATACTGCCATCAGGATTAGATAATTACAGTTTTCTATCGTAAGTAAATTTTCTGTAATGAGAAATATATTGGAGAGAGAGAGATGGCGTTGTGTGAATGTGGTAAAAGAAAAAAAAAAAACTGTGTGTTGTATATGCATCAAAGTTTTTAAAGTAAAGCATAGATAGATAGAAAACCCTTTTTTGTACACTGCTTTTACAAGTAGTATTGTACATGAACAACATGAACAACATCATAAAGAACTGTGTTGTTTATCAGTATGCTGATGATACATGTCTCATTTCGGCTGATCGTGATATAGAAGTAGCGATGAATCGACTACAAATGGATTTCACGCTTCTAACAAAGTGGTCTCATGATGTAGGGTTAGTCCTGAATGAGCAGAAAACTAAACTGCTTCATGTGTCATCGATCTATAATAAAAAGTACAGTGACTCTGACATTAAATTGATTGCCCATGATCACAACTGTTTGCATGTTAGAACAACTCAATGTAATTGCGAATGCCTTAATAAAGTTTCTCAAACCACGTATTTAGGAGTAATAATAGACAGGTTAGATATATATAGGTTTAGATAGGTTTAGATAAACTACGCGCCATTTTAGCAAAATTCTATATACTTAAATATAAAATACCTTTGCCTATTTTGTTAGATATGTATACAGCCTTAGCGGAGAGTATTATACTATATGGACTCAGTAGTTATGGACGGATATTTCCATTATATCTGCAAAAAATTCATTCCTTACAACTTCGTTTGTTAAAGGCTATTGTACCCAAAAAAATTCGTATACTACTTAATTATGATGATGAAAAATTGATTCAATTTTGTAAAATAATACCCGTTTATGAGAAAGTAAAAATGGTGATAATTATAGAAAAATATTTTAAATTCAAAAGTAATCTAAAAAACACCCAATTATGACCCGTCAAATTGTAAATAAAATGCTAACTACCAAAACAGCTAACAACTACTACGGCAAGCGAACTAACGACTACCTCGTACCAAGACTTATAAATGAACTACCATTAGAAACAAGGAATAAAATAGATTTACTCAACATAAAACGAATAGTCAAACTCACTATAGCCAATTGGAGTTAAAGTTAAGCATACCAGAGTGCAGCTAGTTAATAATAATATTATACACCAGCTTGTACCTACGACTTCGTTTGCGTGGAGTTTAAAAAGCGCTGCCTTAGTGGGTTCGATTCCTGGACTGGGTAAAATTTTAAAGGGTTTTTCTGAGAGGAAAAATAGCCTAAGTTACTCCTTATATAGACAGCTACTTGGTAGTAAAATATTATCAAAATCGGTCCAGCCGTTTAGAAGATTACCCGGAATAAACAGACACAAAATGTTTACACGCTTTATTTACACGCTTTATATTAGCTTCACTTGTATGTTTGTTTTGTATGTTTGTAACCGACTCCTTTGGGCGTGATTTTGACTGACTTTAAACAGTCAGAAATCGTTCAAACTTTGTAGATATATCGAGGACCGATGACAATACACTAATTAAAAAAAAAATAGAAAATAAGTTTGAAAAAAGCGTGGGGTGCTTTTTACTCTTGACAACAGGCACCCAACGCTTTTTTTCAAACTTATTTTCTATTTTTTAGTTTTGTTTTCAATAGAAAGCGTGTTTTTTGGTTTTTTAAAACTGTAATTTCTTTTTAAACTGGTTTTTAGGCATAGGTATGCATAGGCAAAAACTTATTATTTTGACATTACAAACTTTGTATAGATATATCATCGTTTTTTTTTTCAGAGAACCTGCACCACTCTTTTTAATACCTCCCAGCTTTACAAGGTTTGAAAGGCCCATTCGGTACACTTACACTGAGAAAAGGTACCTTATGGACCGATCATCACCAGACACTAGTGAGCGTGAGAGTGTTCACAGCAAAGTTAGGTCGTTGAGAGGTACAAATGCTGCTCCATACATATTTAGTCTGACAGATGAACTACCAACTGAACCAAATGAGAGTACACTGAAAATAAAGGCATTCAAAGAAGAAATTAGTCCGTCCTTGAAAAAGGAATTTGAAATAGTCAAAAAGGTAATTTTTTTTCAAATCATAATTATAGTGATGACAAATATTAACTTAATTAAAATATTTTTTGATAAAAATTTTGATTTAGAGTTTGGTTAGGTTGGGAGGGGCTCTTGGTGGATAAAAAATAAACAACTAATAACCTAACCCCAACTTAAAAGTATAGTACTCACAAAAGTTAAGTTAAGAAACAAAAAAAAAAAATATTTCTTTTTTTGAAGGAAACATGTATTTTAGAGTTCCAAAATTATACTTTTTGAATAGGCAAAGAAATTTATGGGCCACGGTTTCAACGCAATCCAAAGAAAGAGCGCATAAATTCATAATTTTTTGTCGTATTTTTTTCTCAATGGGCTTGAGAAAATATTTCTCAGTTAACTAATAATGTGGGCCAAAGAGCCTGTTCATTCAGTTTTATTTTCTTTTTTATCCTTTCTAGCCGCAGGCCGCAATGAACGAAAAATTACCCCTTTTTTGTTCCTTAAAGTTTTGTGAGTAGTATAGGTTGGGGCACAAATTTTACATATCACCAAAACGCTACGGCTATGATTTTTTAATTACTGTTAATTATTAATAATATATATTTTTTAGCTCTTTGAAGAGAGACCAATTTGGTCTTTGAATTTGGTAAAATTCACCACAAAGATTCGTGGAGCTTCATTGAAGATCATAATGCCTTGTCTGGCTCTCTACCACAAAACTGGCCCATGGCGCACTATGTGGGTTCGATTTGGATATGACCCTAGAAAGGACCCTGCTTCTAGAATATATCAAACCTTAGACTTCAGGTTGAGACATGGACGTGAGTTAATTTATAATGTACTAGCGACCCGCCCCGGCTTCGCACGGTTTCAATATAGATACTAAAGTGGTGTCAGTGTTATTATTATGATTAGGGGATATTATGATTACAGGATATCTTTATATACAATATTTATAGGCACGCTCCGCGCATGCCGGTCACTGTCATCCGGGACGGGTTTAACGATTGGACGGCCGCTTTGCCTCCGCATTTTGATATCGTGTAGATATTGATTTTAATGATATCCTGTAAAGGGTAATTTTGATCTTTAATAAATTTGTAACGTATCTAATTGGATGATCAATAATACTGTATTGTTTAAAATAGTTTCGTAAATAACCCTTTATTTTTGTACTATGTAAAAGATAAAAATGGTTATTGTGGGTAATCCTTAGGAGATAGACGTATTCTACCATCCCGGACTTTTTGTAGATCTTTTTAAGATATACAATTCCGTAGTACATTATTTTAATCTATCTGATAAGGTTTAGAGTTTGCCATATAAGCGCACAAAAACACAAGACAAAACTTTGAATTTCGCAGATTTTCTCTGATATGATATGCATGTATTTTACCTACATATAAAAAAATCTCTTAAATCTCTCTATTGACGAAAACCGCATTAAAATCCGTTGCGTAGTTTGAATGATTCATGCATATAAAAACGGGAAGCGACTGCATTTTTATACTTTGTAAAGATGAATTAGTAAATAAACTTAGCTATATAAAATACCGACAGTATAGCGAGTAGTATCAGAGTTCATTGCATTGTGTATTTGCTGTGTACACTATGTTCTTTTGACCTTCACCAGGTTGAAAGATGACTTCTGATGATGATGGTTTAATTACACAGTGATAAAAGTTATTTACTCTATAGTTGATTAGTTTATGTTGAAATTTCAATGTGACAGCTGACCTCATAATACCGTCCCCATTCCAGTCGTGACAAGTTTTATTCACTTAGTATTAAAGGAAGGCTACTGTTAAACATTTCCACATACGCACACATACATACAATTCTTCTGCTCTCTTGTGTATTTTATTGCGATATAGGGGGCAAACGAAGCAGGTCCACTGATGGTAAGTGACTACCGCCGCCGGTAGACACTTTAAGTCACAACTCATATACCCCCTTTTGAGGCTCTTCCCTGAATTAAGGAGCCGGGCTCCGGGTATCACACTGACTCATCGAAAAGTAACGAAAATATTACTAAATATTGATTGATTTATTTGTCTTGCTTGGGCACCGATTCCTTGACCTCTAGCTCTGCAGTCAAGGTCACTTTATTACAATGCTTGTACTTTATTGTTATCTCAGAGGGTATACGAACGCTGATCATGTCCCGCGAGGAGCCGTCGGCGCGGAGTACGGAGCAGCCTAGGCCCAGCAAACGGATGCATAATCCTGAGCCCTCGACCTCTGACGATGTGGTCGAGGCCAACGTGTTCTTCCGCCCCGACACCGTGCCTACGCAGAGACACATATTGTATCAAGTATGAATAACAAAACTTGTGATTAAATACTTTATATTTTTGCGTTTATGAATTATTTTAGTTATTTTATAATAAGTCTATTTACAAATAATCATGAACGTACAATCAAGTGTTTGAATGTCAGAAATGATTAACTATAAAAAGTATCAGTCTTCAATGTGCGTAGATCATGATGGTTTGTAAAAAACTGTCTTTTTAATTCCCTAATTTCTCCCCCCCCCCCTTTGGTAACTTTTTCTTTAAATTTTATCGGAACTAAACACGAATTATACGCTTCCAAATAAGCTTATAAATGTCAGAGTTCTGATGTCCTGATTTGTAGCCACACTTCGATACCTAGTGATGTCATATGCTATTGAAATATTTGAAATAAGAATTGAATAGTGCCGTCATCTTTGCAGTGGGAAGTCGATGTAGAACAGTACTATATAAAGTAATAAATAGATGTCACTCGTGGTGGAGCGCCTTACTCTAGCAGATGATGATACGCTTAAAGTATTGTAAACTGTTATTCATTGTGTCATTTTCAGTACTGTGACGTCAAGATACCTGAGGTACAAGACATTTTGACTGAGGCCCCTCCACCGGGGTACCTATGCCACGAAAAGCGAGGCTGGCTACCCGCCTCGGCTGACGAAATTGCACGAGACCATATGTTCAAATACGTCAAGCATACTTTGTTATCATCAACTAACGCCGATCTCTGTAAACTTGAGGTATGTGAAAATATTTTCTAAAACGAAATAGCTGTGATTATAATGAACTATCACTAGAGAAATTGAAACTAATAACTCAGAATGATATTGAAACAACAATAATTAATTAATTAATTAATTAAATTAATTCAAGTCAAACATTTGTGTGCATGAACATTTGATATTTTGATTTGGTCTGGGTATTTCTATGTATAATATGTATGTATTTACAAAAAACAAAAAGTATATATGTATTTATATCAGTTGTCTAGTACCCATAGTACAAGCTCTGCTTAGTTTGGGACTAGATGGCGTTGTGTGTGTATGTGGTAGAATATTATTATATTATTATTATTATTTTTATTAAAAATTTGCAAATGTATGAGTGACGAAATTAATTATTGCAATTTACACATAATGTAAACGTATAATAATACTCTTATCGGATTAACACACACATGTAAAGCTGACCAGATATTTTGTTTGTCGTGTGTACATAAACTACATTTTAAAATGATCTCATTCACCTAATTATACTTTTATAATAACCAATACTAATATTATAAATGCGAAAGTGTGTCTGTTTGTCTGTCTATCTGACGGTTATAGTTAAACCGCCGTAAGCTTGGCCCTCCTGATGGTTTGCGGGACGCGGGGCGGGTGATGCGCTCGGCTATACATGACACGATGTACTAACTCGATATCTTCAGATTTATTTGTTTGAGATTTAATCTACACACGATGTAATAAAAATCTAATTTATTTCCATATATTATAATGTCAGTGTATTGTAAGTTTCTATGATTAATTGTAAAATTTAATACTGTAAAATAATTTTAATAAAATCACCTTATCTTCATCATGTAAATTATATTCAGATACAATTTAAAAATTAAGTAAAATAATAAATATTCTTTATTAGAACCTCTGTAAGCCAAACTTCAAGTTTTTAAATCTTTTTGTGACGCAGAGTCTGCAGATTATCCATATTGCAAAATAATACCGTGTGTAGCAGGATTAAGAAAAATCACACGTACAGCCATGCTTCCACGTCAGTCACTGCCGGCGGACAGCGACGCACTAGCTAATTGGTTGAATGCACCCCCGCCCCGCGTCCCCCAAACCATCAGGAGGGCCAAGCTTACGGCGGTTTAACTATACCTCTTGGCGCTTAAACCGCCTAACCGATTTGGATGAAATTTTCTATAGAGATTGTTTAAGTCCCGGGAAAGGATTCATCCTTTAATGGAGTGAAAGGGGGGGGGGGGGTTCATAAATGGATAGTTAATGTTCTAGTAGCCTGTCTAATCTTGGGAAAGACGTTCAAAGACGTACGGTGGACCTCGGTGAGGTCCGAACTTCGAAATAAAAGAATATACATCCACTTTTCATGTTTAAAATGAAAGTATTTTATTCATTTGTTACAGCAAGGGGGCGGTAGTGATAGCGAGGAGTCTAATTCGGATGATAATGATGACACACGAACAAGTGAATTAGATAACTTAGAAGACCAAACAGATGACCTGTGACTTTAGATATAATAAAAAATAATAATACAAAATAAAATATACACGTGATTGTTATTGTTTTATTTGTCTTTATAAGATTATTCTTCTCTCATCCGTGTGGTGAGGGATTAACAATACGGAGTGTCATCACCCCTATTCATCCCGTGGTTGTCGTGAGAGCCGACTAAGGGAGGAAAGTATGCAGGACAATACTGTGGCGTTATGGCAATAGATTGTCATTGTCATGAGGTTGTGTCAGATTGGTGACAGACCGATCAATAAATTTGGCGGCAAAGTGAGACAGAGGGATTTTTGGGTTGCCATTGCTCTCACGCACACCGCTTGGATTATATCTTAAGTTGATTTAGTTTATAAATACTAATTTGTTTCTTAATATAATGCTATAGCATTAATTATTTCCAACTCACATCTGGCGATTCCAACGATAACGGGACCATGGTACGCAATGAAACAATTCCCGGTTCCCAGAAACAGCACTGCGAAGAGAAGGAAAACTTGAATCAAGCCCTTTTTTTTTTTTTTTTTTTTTTAACGTTCTTTTTTTTCGTCTCTATTTAAAAGGACCATGAATTACAGTTAATCCGTGTGGTGACGGATTAAGAATACGAAATGTCGCCACCCCTATTCATTCCGTGGGTGTCGTAAAAGCCGACGAAGGGAGCAAACTACGCAGGAAAACATCACTGCAAATAGAAGGAAAACTTGACACAAACCCTTTTTTTTTTTTTTTTTTTTTTTAACCTGTGGAAATCCCCTCGGACCGTCACCCCTCCGGGGTTTGCGGCGGGGTGGTGTGTCGGACTCGGACCGACTAAAACCACACGGTGTGCCACTCTGCGCCTGTAACAGGAGGGATCCGGGAACAGCTGTTGTTAAGACATCCGGACCCCTCCTAGCGCCAGCCCGCTCCTGGTGCGGGCTCCGTCTCAATGTAGATGTTCCTCTCTTTAGGCGACGTCCGGCACACGCGGACGCCGCCCCCTCGCGGCTGGCCAACTAATGCGGGTGGAGGGGAAACCCACCCCGTCCACCCGCGGCCACACTCAGGGCGGCATGAGGCTGTGGTAGGCGGGCCTCCGCCGCCCGGTTCGCCGGCGGCGGATCGGGTCCGAGTGGAGGTCGTCCTCCCGGGCCCTCTCCGCCGCCTCCTTCCGCGAGATTACTACCTCGCAGAAGGTTGCGACCGCGGTAAAACAACTGTCGCTACCGGCCATGGAGCGTACTACGGCCGGTAGCGAGAGATCCACTCCGATGACTGCAGTGAGGGCCCGGCGCTGCGCCGCCCATGCGGGGCAGACCGCCAGCGTGTGCTGGGCCGAGTCCTCACTGCAGTCGCAGTGGTGGCAGGCGGGACTCAGTTCCCTCCTAGCGACCGTGTGCAGGTACTTTCCGAAGCAACCGTGCCCGGAAAGCACCTGCGTCAGTCGGAAGGAAAGGGTCCCGTGCTGCCGCCCTGCCCACTCGATCAAACCCTAGACCAACCCGTCTGACCAGCGTGTTATAGTAGGCTAAAACCTCTTTTCTAAGAAGAGGCCTATCCAACAGTGGACCATTAAAGACTGTTTATGATGATGATGATTACTCTTTAGTACATCATTTAATGAATAACGTCCTTATGTTCGTACATAATTATAATTTGTTACTTAAGAAAACGGAAACGAGGTACTTAAGTAACGGTAAAGTTATTTGTTTGAAATATTTAAAGACTTCTTATTTGTCCGCTAAATAATAGCTCATTTGTATACGTGTACAAGAAAAGATTATTAGTTTAAACATCCTGCGTCCGCTATGCCTTCTCAAGGTCAGTTTACTCATTATCGACAGATAATCAAAATCAAAGTTAGTATATTATCCATTTACTTTTTAAAGAAAGTTTCGGCATAGTAACTTTTATCTCTATCCAGTTTTCTTATCAGTTGACGCGTTCCAATGACATTAACGACCTTCGAGCTTTATAATATTTATCTCTATTTGTAGCACTTTATTATCAGTATACAAGATGCCCTTTTCCAGTGATCACTTATTGCGTTACGAATCTGGAAGTGAATGTAACTAAATTAAAAGATAGGGTTTATTAGTTCGGGCACGCCGTTATTTCTGCGGTAAGACCTATTATGGAGGATTGGCTCGAGAGGCAACACGGGATCCTCTTATAGTGACGCAAGTGATCACCGGCAAAAGTTGCTTTGGGGATCACCTGTGTCTGATCCGCAATGAGCCAACGCCTGAGTGTCACCACTGCGAAGGCTCGACCGTGGACACGGCGTTCCACACGCTATCAGAATGCCCGGCGTGTGGTGACCTCGTGGCGGCCATCAGAGTGGGAATCCTCTCGCTTAGTACCATGATTTTGCCGTGGTACGGAGCGAGAGCGCGTGGAACTCCGCTGTGTCTTTCTGCAAGCAAGTTATGCTTGCGAAGGAGACGGCGGAGCGGGACCGGGAGAAATTTAGAAGGGAAAGCGGAAAGGGCCAGGTACCGCAGGCGACTCAGGCACTGGAGGTCACGAAACGACCTCCGTCCTCCATAAGCGCAGGCCTGGGTTGACAGGTGAGGCCAACTGTTATCCCAGCAGAAGCAGGCCGGGTTGGCGGTGGCGCAATGTGGAGCGCGCGCGCGCCCCCTTAGGTTGTAGAATGGGAACACCGTGGTTCCCGCAAACGAGGGAGTTATCTACAGGCCGTAGATGGCCAGGGGTCCCTCGGGGTTCTAGGAATTTCCTTCCTAGGGTACACCTGGTTCCCCGGCTACTGGTATTATATTCCCAACTCCTCCAATTTTCTACTGATTTATTTCTTAGCGGGTTCCAAGACAGTTTATTTTTTCCTGGGACTTCCCGAGTGTCATAACTCGGTGTGTCCTTGGGTCACTACTGTTGATCCTGGTGTACAGGAGTTACAGTGGTGGGCGTGTGGGAGGGATTAGTCCCGTAAAATATCAATGTTACATTAATGTAAGAAATTTAAAATTGTAACGAGAAGTTCTTCCTATTTGTGACTTACTATAGGAAAAATTGTAAGTTCTGCTACACATGGACACTTATCGAGAAATATTTAAATACTTCAATTATTTCATTAACAATTAATTTTAAAACCTTACTTCACAATATTTCAATATGTTTTACTCACAAATCGTTGCAGAGAAATATGATTGTCTTCCTTTCTCTATATTGTCATATTTGGCTAAATGCGAACTAAGAAACGAATCATCCGCGAGTAATTCTAAAATGCCCAGATAGTTGTCATTGTGTTGAGATCCAAATCGCAATTACAGATCAAACATTTCAATTATTTTTTTATACAATACGTAAAGCATCTATGTTATTAGTTTTACTTCTCAATACTAGATGGTTCTGTGCTGCAAGTATGAAGTATTTAATCAGCAATAATTAATACATATTGTCTTTGAGGATACAAATTTTGCAATTAAATTTTGACTGAATGTAACATTTTCAATTTATTTTATGCTCGTGCAGTTGCCTATACTCTGCCTCATGGTTAATTCAGCCCTGAGGACACACATATTATCTAACACTGAGATTTAAAATGATACACACAATAAATCTAAACTGGTTAGATGCTGTAAGAATCTCCTACAATGTTTTCTTGCAATATTACTTGTGTAATGTGTATGTACTTATATTTGTTTTATATCAGTATGAATAAAGGATAGTTTTAAACAATTCTGTCTTATCAATTGACTGACCTTTCTCCAACCAATGTCATTATTGTTAATGTATCTATTTCCTTTTCAGCTATATTTTGTCATCATTTCTGGCTATATGTGGCGTTTAGCGCTTACGCTGAACTTATAAGTCTTGACTTATGTTACGAAAAACGATATCAACTGCATGACCATATTTGGCCTCCTTATTGATGTTTTATATCAGACTGTTGGACGCAGATAGAGGTTTCACAGTCATTGTCGAAACACATAAAATTCCAACTAAATGTTATGACAGGTATTATTTGGTTCGAGTCGCCAAAGCGTGGAATTAACAGCTTGTATTTGTTGTTGTGTAGTTTTCCAAATACGTATTTTTCAATCAAGACTATTTATTTTAGTAAAAAAACACAAGGAAGTCAGGAGCGTCGTCTCTGTAACAAGTATTTAAAACTAAAAAAAAAACAGTGTATACCGAAGGATATTGAAAAAGGAATCACTAAGCAATGTACGTTTCACTGTTTAGGTTATAAAGAATGAGCTTGCAACAAGTGCCGATTGCTGATTAAATCTGGGCTTGTGGTCGGAAAATATTACAAATATTCAAAAAAGACGTTAGGCCACAAGCAAACTAACAGAGTTTATACAGACATAATATCAGCATGTCGCATTGTAAACTATAGGGTTGTGTGACATTCCATAATATCTGTTATTTTGTAAGATAACGCCAACTTAAATGACGCACCTAAGAAATAAGGTTACCTACTTTTGAATTTCGTCATTATGCATTCAAGGTTGATATATCTTGTGCACAGGAAAAACATACTTGTCTATTCTGTTTTGGCATGGAGAGGTGAGTACTAATAAAACAATTCAGGAAATCACATTTAAAAAAGGTAGGTTTTTAAGTCTTTTATAAGTCAGTTACGATTTAAAAAAGTTTTAAATTCAGTTGTATAATTTTTATGATTCTTACCTCAGAAAAGAATTATCTGATTAGATCTAATCAATCTATCTGAAAGGGGTTATTAGAGGGCATAATAGGTCGAAACGAAATTAAGAAGAGTATGATATTCTGACTTACAACACTTAAATTGCGATCTGAATAAATGTTGTAAACAAATAAAAATTAAAGAATGAATATCTTGAATTCTAAGTACTTAATACTTTTTATAAATCTATACTAATATAATAAAGCTGAAGAGTTTGTTTGTTTGTTTGTTTGTTTGTTTGTTTGAACGCGATAATCTCAGGAACTACTGGTCCGATTTGAAAAATTCTTTCAGGGTTAGATAGCCCATTTATCGAGGAAGGCTATAGGCTATATATCATCACGC